GACGTGCCGCGATGGCAACACAAAGCAGCCAAATGGTGCGACGCGGTACTCCTGCATCCAGTAAAACTGTAGCTCCTGGCGCTGAGCATTCGATGGTTACTACGGTGTGGGCATTGGATAAGGAATCCTTAGATAAGGAATCCAGGGTCTGGAAGCCAAAGGAATTCCAATCGTGGATCGGCATTAGATACCACCGCCACCCTCATTGGATAAGGAATCCTCCAGGGTCTGGCGCCTCCTGGGACTATTCATTAACAAACGCCTCCACCGTACCCAAACCCAAGAAGGCACATCCTTTCTGAAGCTGCAACGACCCTCTTTGGCACGCCCGGGATGGGTACGTGAGGGAAGGAATCGTACGGTACCCGCCATTGGCAAGGCGATGCTCCCTTGTATCACCTCGACGCCCCCAGACCTCCTCATCAATCCTCCTCCTCCTCCTCCTCCTCCTCCTCCTCACTCAGGTCACTCACATACTCAGATCCTCCTCTTCCCCCACCTTCACTTCCTCAATCAAATCACTCGCATACTCAGACCACCCACGAACAACTCACACTCAATCGCGAATCGTCCCCCCTCACGCGCATGGCACCCAAACTCACTCACACTTGGCATCACCCATACTCAGACGCACTCATACTCAGAATCACTGGCCCTCACTCAGATTCAATCGTGCTCAGAACCACTCACACTCATATTCAGAGTTCATCCTTCTGGTGGTTCAATGCTCACCGCGATGTAGCAGGCGTGGCATATTGGCAATCCAGGGGGAGGGGGGGGCGCCAGGGGTCGGAACACTCCAGGATTCGCGCCCAGACTGCGGGAATGTCTCAGGCGGTTTGCTCGCGTCGCCCCCCAGACTGTTCTCTTTGGGTGGTCCACTGCTCACCGCGATATAGCAGGCGTGGCTCTTGCAGCTTGGGCATCCCATGGGGGGACGCAAGGGGCGGGGACATTCCAAACTTCGCGCTCAAATTGTGGGAATGGCTTAGGCGGCTTGCTTGTTCCCCCCCCCCAGCCTATCCCTTGGTGGTCCAATGCTCACCACAATTTAGCAGGCATGGCACTTGGGCACCCCAGGGGGGGGGCGCCAGGGGTGGGGGCACTCCAGGATTCGCACCCAGATTGTGGGGATTCCTTGGGAGGTTGCTTGCGTTTACCACCCAGTGTTCTGTCTCTCTCTCTTTCTCTCTCTCTCTCTCTCTCTCTCTCTCTCTCTCTCTCTTTCCCAGCTATCATGTGGTGCTGGGTCCTCGTATTGAAGAAACGGTCCCCGCGTTCCTTCCCGCCTTCTTTTCTTCCTCCCCCCCCTCCCTCCTCCCATCCCTGCCTTTGCCCTGCGCGTGTCCTCTGCGTTTCGTGGACGCACACGGAGCCCCACCGAAGGTCCCAGTGGCGGTGTCCACATGCGTCTCCCGCATCCAGTACGGCGTTTCGTGGCTCCAAACTGAGCTCCACCTAAGGCACAGTGGCGGTGTCCACATGCGTCTCCCCATTCCAGCACAGCGCTTCGTGGCTCCATAGGGAACCCCGCCTAAAGTCCAAGGGGCGGTGTCCACATGCGTTTCCCCCACCCAGTGGAGCGCTGGCGTTGGTCATCAGGAGCTCCACCTAAAGTCCCAGTGGCCGTGGCCACATGCGTCTCCCCCGCACAGCACAGCGTTTCGTGGCCACATCTGGAGCTTCACCTGGGGTCCCAGTGGCGATATCCACATGCGTTTCCTCCACCCAGTACAGCGCTGGCGGTGCCCCATTGGGGGCTCCATGTAACGTCCCAGTGGCGGTGTCCACATGCGCCTCCCCCCACCCTGTACAGCGCTTCGTGGCTCCATCGGGAGCTCCAGATAAGGCCACTGTGGCGGTGCCCGCATGCGCCTCCCCCACCCAGCACGGCGTCTCGTGGCCACATAGGGGGCCCCACCTAAGGTCACAGCGGCGGTGTCCACATGCGTTCCCCCAGCCCAGCACAGCGCTTCGTGGCCCCCACGAGCTCCATCTAAGGTCCCAGTGGCGGTGTCCATGTGCGTCTTCCCCACCCAGCACAGCGCTTCGTGGCCCCATAGGGAGCTCAACCTAAGGCCCCAGTAGCGGTGTCCATGTGCGTCTCCCCCGCCCAGCACAACGCTTCGTGGTTCCATAGGGAGCTCCACCTAAGGCCCCAGTAGCGGTGTCCATGTGCGTCTCCCCCAACCCAGCACAACGCTTCGTGGCTCCGTAGGGAGCTCCACCTAAAGTACCAGTCGCGGTGTCCACATGCAGCTCCCCCGCCCAGCACAGCGCTTCGTGGCCCCATAGGGAGCTCCACCTAAAGTACCAGTCGCGGTGTCCACATGCGTCTCCCCCACCCAGTACAGCGCTTCGTGGCCCCATAAGATGCTCCACCTAAAGCTCCAGCGGCAGTGTCCACATGCGTCTCCCCCTTCCAGCACAGCGCTTCGTGGCTCCAAACTGAATTCCACCTAAGGACCCAATGGCGGCGTCCACATGCGTCTCCCCCCCTACCCAACACAGCGCTTCGGGGCCACACGGGGGGCTCCACCTAAGGTCACAGCGGCGGTGTCCACATGCGTCTCCATGGCCCAGCACAGCGCTTCGTGGCCCCACGCGGAACTGTGGAACTCCACCTAAGGTCGCAGCGGCGGTGACCACATCGGTCTCCCCCACCCAGTACAGCGCTTCGTGGCCCATAGGGAGCTCCAACGAAGGCGATACTCACAACTGCGGCACACACAACTGCATATGGTTGGGTCTCTCGCCAGGCTAATGTGTGTCTTCTCTCTCTCTCTCTCTCCCTCTTTTTTCGTTGTTCTCTCTCTCTCTTGTACTCTCTCTTGTTGGTCCATTGCCCACTGCAATATAGCAGTCGTGGCACTCAGGTACCCCAAGGGAAGGCGCCAGGGGTGGTGACACTCCACGATTTCCCCCTATATTGTGCGGATTTCTTGGGCGGTTTGCTTGTGTTGACCCCCCAGTGTTCTCGTTCTATTTCTCTTTCTCTCTCTAGTTCTTTCTTTTTCGCTCTCGCTCTCTCTTGGTGGTCCATTGTCCACTGCAATATAACAGTCGGGGCACTTAGGCACCCGATGGAAGGGGCGCCAGGGGTGGTGTCACTGCAGGATTCTCTCCCTTATTGTGGGGATTTCTTAGGCGGTTTGCTTATTTGGCCCTCAGACTTTTCTCTCTTGGTGGTCCAATGCTCACCGCGATCTAGCAGGCGTGGCAGTTGGGCGCCACAAGTGGGGACGCCAAGGGGAGGAGACACTCCAGGAGCAGGAGGAGGAGAGGAGGCGACGACGACGATCGACGACGACGACGATCGACGACGACGACGACGATCGACGACGACGACGACGATCGACGAGGGGGACCGCCGCCGCCGCCTCCCTCGTCGCCGCCGTCGCCGTCGTCGCCTTAATGTGGTGCTGGTCCCTCCGCCGCCGAGGGAGGATATATCAATGTTTGTTACTCGATGTTCGATGCTCGAATTTTAGCCATGTTCCCGGCCAAGGAAGACGCGAGAGGAAGGAGAAGGAAGGAAGGACGAAGAGAAGAGAGGGGACACGGAGAGGACGAGGAAGACCAGGGGAGAATACCGCCAGGTCGGAGGACATCCCAGGGAGAAGAGAGGAGTGAGGACGGAGGCGAATAGGGTCACGCAGGAGGACAGAGAAGGACGGCCGCCAGGGAGGTGGGAGGGAGGACGAAGGAGGAAAGAGGAGGACGCAGGAGGAGGGAATTGGGAAGAGGGAGGAAGAAAGGACGGGGCTAGACGAGGAGGAAAAGCAAGGCGAGGGGATGTGGCCTGCTCACCGCCTGTCTGTCTGTGAATTGTCACCGCCGTTGCCCCTCATCGTAACCGCTGACGTCAGCGTACCCGTCGTCCAGCCAGATTCACGCTCACACCCAGACGCTCACAGCCAGGCGCTCACGACGTAACGTGCCAGAAAATGAGATGCACATATGGGGATCTCTGCATCGAGAACTTTCCCACATTCGCCGGCCCAACGGGCCAGAGGTGTGCTAAGATCTCCGGTAAATGGTTAACAATATTTCTCGTTCGCGCGCGCGGGGTGGCCCCTGGGGGTCCCCAGGCGAAAAGTATCCCGACCGCAGCCCGACCATGTCTACTCAGAGATGGTTTTGAGGGCCTTTTCTCGACACCCCTCACGAGGATCGTGGCCTCCGAGGGGGGTGCACTCGACTACCCCGCCCCAAGAGGCCCCCAAGAGCCCCCCAAGAGGCCCAAGGGGGCCCCAAGACGCCGCCAAGGAGCCCCAAGAGACCCCCAAGAGGCCCCCAAGAGGCCCCTAGGAGGCCCCAAAGCCTCTAAGAGGCTTCAAAGAGGCCCCACAGAGCGCTCGAGGGCCGGCGGAATGAGCGAAACGATTAAATAAACAGCACCCGCGGCGACACTGACACAGAACCCTGCCCAAAATTGACGAGAACTGCTACCCCTCCGCCGAATGCACAAATCCCCGCGGAGACGCCCCGAAACCAAAGAGGAAAAAACATCCCAAGGCAGAGAGCCCAAACACGAAGAAGTTTCAGGGCACCCCTCAAAGACTACGGTTTCTGAGGCGCGCGGAGAGCGCCAGAGGCGGCGCCGGAGGCGCCGCTGGGGGGGGCCCAGCGCGGATCCAAGAAATCCGCGCGGAGCGCCGACAGTCTAATGTTTACGCCGCTCTTCCTTCTTCGGCAGGTGCTTGTCGGAAGGCCCCCTGCTTTCGAAAGTCTACGGTAGGTTCGTGCGGCGTCGGCGCACGCAAAGGTTTTTGACACCGCGTCGATCGTTCAACCTTGAATCGATCGCAGCCTCGATCGTTCAAGGTTAACTTCAGTCGGGTCCAATGGCGAACCGTGTCCATCGGTGCTTCCGCGTCGCAGAATTCAATCTTGAACGCCTTCGCCAGCGTCGCCGGCGCGCCAACGCCGCATGAACCTACCGTATACTCCCAGCCCCCCTGCCAGCGGCACCGAGCTGCTCTAGAAGGAGCCGCGGCCTGCAGCGCCTCGGTCACGAACGCCCAGAACTCCCGCGCGCCCCGGCCACAGCCGCCGGCCGCAGGCCCGGCACGCGGCCCGGCGGTCGCCTCATCGTCGTCGTCGTCGTCGACGACGACGTCGTTGTCGTCGACGACGACGTCGACGACGTCGTGGTCGTCGTGGTCGTTGTCGCCGTCGTCATTTTCGATGCCGAGGTCGTCCTCGTCCTCGCCGGCGCCGTCCTGGTCTTTTCGCCGCCGTCGCCCCCCCCCGCCGTCGTCATGCTCGTCGTCAAAATCGTGGTCGTCGTCAAGGGTTTCGCCGTCGCCGCCCCCCCCCCGCCGTCGTCATCGTCGCCGTCGTCGAGGTCGTCGTCCTCCCTCGGCAGCTCTCCGTTTCCGTCTCTGCTCGTCGTGGCCTTACCCCTCGTCGCCCCCCCAAAAAATGTCAGCGGGGGCCCCTGCGGCGGGGGGCTCCGAGAGGGCGTGCCTTTTCCGGCTGTTCTGGTCACGGCAAGCCTCGGCCACGAAGAGGCCTCCCGACAAGAGGATCTCGGGAGCGGCCCGAGAAGCAGAGCTCCTCCCGAGCCCAGAGTGGTCCTGCTTTCCAAATCTTGACTGCGGGGCTCTCGAGCGATTCCGGAGGTGCCGTGCGACCCGATGTGATGTGCCTGGCTCCCGTCTCAAAGTCCCCGCTCAGCTTGTGTTGCGGATGCCACGACAATGGACACCCTGACAGTCCTATCATTGAACTTAACATGTGTTCAAAATGTCGGAAAATGTTCTAAACAGGTTTTTACATGTTGGAAACATGTTTAACTCATGTTTTAGACATCTGGGAATCATTTGGCAACATGCTTCTTCTCCATTGATCGTCCTCCACAAAGCTTGTGGCCGTGCAACTGAGCATACCCAACAGCAGTCCAGACGGAAAACAGTCCGGTCTCAAAATCGGGCTCTCACCTGACAACTGCTCGCACTCATTGTGCTCCTGAACCGGAACTGTTCCAACAACAAACCTACAATAATGGAGGGCTGGCCGTACTTTAGCACGCGTTCTCGCGCCGGGGCCGCGCACGTTCGCCAACCAAGCGAAAATTGTGCATGGAAGAAATTGAAGACGAGTATCTGGAAACGCATGATGCATGATTGTTCGCTATGCACCGCTGATTCGCCCAGCAGCATAAAATCCAAAGCGTCCAGCGGTGCCAGAAAATCCGAGCCATGCTTCTCAGCGTGGCCCCAAAACAGGAAGTCATTACGCTGTCGACGTGTGAGCTATGTGTGGAGCAACGTATGTGCAAACTACCTGGTGCCAGACATCTGGTGAAAGCTGTGCGTGAGCCATGTGGTGCTAGCTATCCGGTAAAGGCTAGGCAGCACAATTCACGCGGCGGCACAGCGCACGAGGCGCTCGCGAGGGGCCGATGGGCGGGCACCATGCGACACCTCGTAACACCCGCCCAGCGCACGAAGGGCCCAGGAGGCGCCCACGGGCGGACGCCCGTGGGCGAAACCTCCGCACGAGGCGCCCACGGGGCGGGCGCCGGGCGAAACCTCGGCACGCCCGCCCAGCGCACGAGGCGCGCACGGGGCGCCCCCGGGGCGGGCGCCGGGCGACACCTCGGCACGCCCACCCAACGCACGAGGCGCTCACGAGGCGCCCACGGCAGGGCACCCGCGATACCTTCTGCTCCTCCTCCTCCACCTCCTCCTCCTCCTCCGCGTCCTCCTCCTCCTCCTCTCCTCCTCCTCCTCCTCCTCCTTCTCTTCCGCCTCCGCCTCCTCCGCCTCCTCCTCCTCCTCCCCCTCCTCCTCCTCCTCCTCCTCCTCCTCCTCCTCCTCCTCCTCCTCCTCCTCCTCCTCCGCTACCAAAGCGGCACGCATGACCAATCCCCCCCAGGAAGCCGAAGTAAGAACCCCTATTTACAAGCACAGTCTGGACCACCTGAAGGAACGTGTTGCCATGAGGAGCCTTGCCTTGCACAAGAATCGAAACTCACGTTCGGCTCCAGTTGTGCCTAACCAAAGGGAGGCCTTTCGGAAACCCGAGCCCCTTCTGAAGCGCAAGCAACGCAATTGCAATCTCTAGTCTGTGCCACTCCAACGCTCCGAAAGGTTCTGAATCCACGGCGGGCCCATAGAGAGGCGCGCATGCACTGACAGACCAAGAGGGGCATTGGACGGGAGGGTGTGCAGTCGGGGGGGGTACCATTAGGTCGGGCATATCCTCCTACAGGCGGATGTTGGGCGAGAGCGAGAAAATAGTTAACACATGCAAGAATGAACTGGCCAAACCTAGCGCTATATATATATACACCTATACGACCACCCTTCGGGTGATAAGGAGTTTTTTTTTGGGGGGGGAACCAATGTCTCACTCGATCGGTCTCACTATCGATATCACTATAAATCTCACGAGCGGTCCCGTTCGATCGATCTTACTCGATCGATCTCACAATTGATATCACTCGATCTATTTCACTCGATCGATCTCACAATCGATATGGCTGTCGATATCACAATCGGTCTCACAATCGATCTCACGATCGATCTCACAATATATGTCACATGCGGTCCAACTACCAATATCACTATTCAGACCACAATCGATATCACAAACATCGTCACCATCATCATCATCATCATCATCATCGGCATCATTGACATCATCGTCATCAACATCAACATCATCATCATCATCATCATCATCATCGGGACACCACCACCATCATCACCGCATCACCATCATCATCAACATCATCGTCATCACCGTCACCGCCATGGGGACACCATCATCAATAGGACCCCATCATCATCAGGACCCCATCATCATCATCGGAACACCACCATCAGCATCATCTCATCATCGCCATCATAGTTAAGCAACATCGCCAACATCATCACCATCATCGGGACACCATCATCATCAACAACACCAGCATCACCATCAACCTCATCATCATCGGGAGTCCATCATCATTACCATCATCATCACCATCATCATCATCGGGGCACCACCATCATCAGCATCCGCATCATCTACATGATCGGGTCACCATCCTCAAAATCATCACCACCTCATCATCATCCTCATCAACAACACCATCCTCACCATCGAACACCATCATCGTCATCCTCATCATCAACATCATCATCGGGACACCATCATCATCATCACCATCATCATCGACCACACCATCATCAACCTCATCATCATCACCGGGACACCATCATCATCATCTTCATCCTCATCATCATCAGCATCTCATCATCTCAGCACCACCAACATCATCAGGGTCATCAACATCATCAGCATCGGGAAACCATCATGATCATCAACAACAATCGCATCATCACTCCATCGTCATCGTGACACCATCATCACCACCATCATGTCCATCATCATCATCATCACCATAATCACCATCACCGGGTCGTCGTCACCATCATCATCACCATCGACATCATCAACATCGGGACACCAACATCACCATCACCATCGAAACACCACCATCATCAGCATCATCATCTCATTATCATCATGAACAACGTCATCAACATCATCATCATCATCATCATCATCATCATCATCATGGGTACACCATCATCATCATCAGCAACATCGTCATTATCAGCATCATCATCGGGACACTATCATCATCGTCACCATCATCATCACCATCATCATCATCGGGACACCATCATGATCATCAACATCAGCATCACCATCATCGGGCCACCACCATCAAAATCAGCGTCATCACCTCATCATCATCCTCAGCATCAACATCATCATCATCAACTGGACACCGTCATCGTCATCGCCATCATCAACATCATCATCATCAGCATCATCATCATCGGGACACCACCATCATCAACAGCATCATCATCAACCTCATCATCATCACCGGGGCACCATCATCATCACTCTTCATCATCATCTCACCATCTCATCATCATCAACATCATCAGGATCATCAACATCATCGTCATCATCATCGGGGCACCAGCATCATCATCAGCAACATCATCATCATCATCATCATCATCATCATCATCATCATCGGGACACCATCATCATCATCACAACCATGGCCATCATCATCATCATCATCATCACCAACATCGTCATCATCACAATCACCATCACCATCACCATCACCATCACCATCACCATCACCATCATCATCATCATCATCATCATCATCATCATCATCTCATCATCATCATCATCGGGACACCGACGGGACACCGGCGGGACACCGGCGGGACACCGCGCGGCACCGGTTGCCGGAAGGGAGACTTCTGGTCCGGCCGCGCCTCAGCCAGAGGCGGGACATTTCTCGCCCGCCCACGCAGCTTCGCCTCGCCCGCACGCACAGCATGCACGAACACAAAACCGAAACCGATTTCCCGGTAGGGGGGCTCTCCGTTCCACTTCGATCTCACCCCCTCACCTCCGACATAAACAACAAAACTCGTTACCATACCATTTGTTTACCATGTTAAGTATTCCTCATGTAGAGGAACAGGCCCGACTCAAGCTTACCATAAGAAGCCCAGGACAAGGCACGACGCTACCATACGATTTGTTTGCCTATGTAAATTACTCCGCCTGTAGAAGGACAGGCCCGGCTCAAGTTTACCATAAGAAACCCAGGACAAGGCACGACGCCTCCGTGGGACCTGTGTGGCACCCCACGTGCACGAGGAGCGCCAGGGCAAGGCCCGCGGACGTCAGCACCAAGTAGGTCTAGGTCGGGCGTGTCCCCCTACAGGAGGAGTTTAGACAAAACATACCCCAAAAATATTCAATCAGAGGTTAAAAAATAGTCAAGAAGTCGTCGCCGACTATTGTTTGACTATTTCTGAATATACCCCCTGTAGAGGGACAGGCCCAGCTCAAAAGTAGGCAACACTGAACCCCACTGCGACAAAAACAACAAAAAGGGCCCCTCCTGCTGCACTGCGCAGAACCAGCGGCGCGTGCCGAATTTCATAATTGTCCCCATTCGTCGTAGTCGTCGTCGCCCTCATCCGCGCCCTCGTCCCTTCTTCCCAGAGGAGGGCCAACTGAGACAGCGGCGGCTCTTCCGTCCGGCCCCAATCCCGTGCTCCATCCTGAGCGGTTCTCCCAGGCGGATCCAGCCGAGGCGACGAGGAACCTGCGGGAGGCCCAGCAGAGGACGAGCAACGCTGGGGAGGCCCCGACACTGTCTCGGCATGGCCCTCCTCCGATCATGCGTGATCTCCAGGACAAGTACGGCAACTTCAGCACACGGGGCAAAACATCATGATTCAACACATCGCGGGACACATCCTCCGTCGATCTTTTAGGGGGACGTCCGCTGCCCCAGTGCGTCGATGAGTCCATGTGACCACCGGGGGAGGAGAGGTTACCATGTGGCGCTGGCTGGCGGGAAGATCTCTTACTTGCCGTGCGCTCTGTACATCGCAGTCTCTCACATCCGCCGACCCAATCGGCGCGTGTGGGAGGCCATTCGACGCCCCGCCAGCCCAACCCAAGCCGAAGTAATTACCCCAGCCTCCTTTGAATCGTCGAAATCTTAAGGAATATGAGGAATTGGTTTACTGGTTTTATTGGTTCATGGTGCTGGAAGGTGGAGGTACGTTTGGACCCCTCCCTGCAGCCGTCTTCGTTGGCCGAGGGGCTGCAGGGAGGTCCTCGGCCCCCTCCGGTGGCAATTGACGCCCTCATGAAAAGTTGAAATAATGGGAGCGGGGACCCACGCAACTCCATTGATGGAAGCTGCGCGTGGTGTGAGGCCTATCGACGGTCCTCACAAGCGAGGCCTAATGACGGTCCTCGCCGGGGGGGAAGTGGGGAGGAGCGATGATGTTCAGGATGTCGTCGCCCTCCTTGGCGCACCGTCCTTTCGGGAACGCCTGGAATTGGCGGCCCGAACGTCCACCAAGGATTGCCATAGTCCCCCTCCGCCCCCCCCGAACGGGGGGACGGGGGGAGAGGACGTGGGACAGGGGAGCATCGGCATAGCATCGGCATGAGTAGTCAGCAGTGGCTCAAGACCCACCCCCCTTTTTTGCCACGCCCCCTTTTGTCAGTAGCGTTGCTGGGGGATGCCAGCCCATCCTCGGATGTCAGAGTTTCCCCCATACCATACAGGCGGCAGTTGTTCGTTCCGACTGAGAAGAGCTGATAGATCAGCTCACGGCAACGAATACACCCTACTGAGATTGAAATTCCGACTACCCCCACCCCCTCACATGAAACACTCATTGCCCATACCGCCCTCAGAGGTCCTTCGGCTTCTCAGGGGGGTGGCGGCGAGGCGAGACATCTTGGACGAAACATGTACAGCAGCAGTGGAGGAAGAGAGGGAGATGTCGGACACGGATCGCTGCAAAGGAGGAGGGGGGGGGGGAAGGTAGCCTCCCGACGGCCCCGGAGCAATAGTCACGGCATCCGGGTGGGTGAACAGAGGAGGGGGGGGGCCGAGGGGGACCGAGAGGAGAGAAGGCCGAAGCTCACACGACAGCAGCGGGTGCGATCAGCTTGCACCTACAAGAAATTGGCTACCGCCCCCGGGGGGCACGATTTGTTAACACCACCGGGGGGCACGATTTGTTAACACCACCCGTGACACGGCTTTATGGTCCCCTGGATAAGCCAGTGTCCACCTCTGTCCCGGCCGCGTGGCCGATGACGTGTCCTGACGGCTCCTGGAAGAGTGCGTGCGCCTGGAAGGGAAGACGAGAAACCTGGCAGGGATCAAACGCACACTGTCGATACTTGAGCCGGGAAGTCGGGTTCTTTGTTAACACCATCCGTGACACGGCTTTGGTCCCCTGGATAAGCCAGTGTCCACCTCTGTCCCGGCCGCGTGGCCGATGACGTGTCCTGACGGTTCCTGGAAGAGTGCGTGCGCCTGGAAGGGAGGCGGTCCTGGCAGGGTCACCTGAAAACGGGGGCGAAAACATCACCAACACTTTACTTCCGCCGTCTCCTGCGAGCCCCGCGCCGCCGGCCACAAGTGAACGGGCCAACGCAGGCGACCGCCCCAGCCCCCCGAGCATAGACAGAGCCCACACCGAAACCCAAAGGCCCAATGTGGCCGGCGAGGGTTGCCAGGGGGGACAGGGGCCGGGGAAGTTAGAAGGCGTAGTAGAAAAAGGCCAAGGACCGCAATTGTTTGGCTCAAGGTGAATAATCACAGGTAAACAAATTTTTTATATTTGTTTTGTTCGCATTCCCGTCCTTGAAGAGCTCGGCTAATGGGTGGGGAGCGGGCCCGACCGCATGAGTGACACCGCGGCGGCACATGTGACACCGCGGCGGCACGGGTCGGGCCATCACCCTTGGTGTATTGGTGTACTGATGGGCGCATGACGCCATAAGGTAAAATGGTGTACTGGCATTGACAGGCACCGTCAGCCGGCATGGGATAAATCCCGTTCACGGCCCCAACGAGGAATATGAGGAATTGGTTTACTGGTTTTATTGGTTCGACAAACACAAGGGGGATCGAACAACGTCGCAATTACGTCGATAGGAAGCCCCGATCCTCGCGTCCCTTCCCTGCCGGGGGGGTCGCAGGGGGAGTCCTGGGGGGTGGTCCGTGGTCCCGCGGGGTGGTCCGTTGGGCGGCCCGGGAGAGTACCAGGCGTGCCCCAGGGGGGTCGTGACCCTCCCCCCCTCGGGAAGTACCCCCTGTGGAGAAGGGAGACACGCGGGGGTGGCCTCCCTGTCGGCCCTGCCTCGGCCCTGGCTCCAGCCCTGGCCCCAGCCCTGGCCCCGGGCCCCGACCCCTGGCCCCAACCCTGGCCCGGGTCCCAGCCCCGGCACCGGCCCCGGCGCCAATGTCGGCCCTGGCCCTGGCCCTGGCCCTGGCCCCGGTCCCGGCCCCAACAGCGGAGGCAGGCGGGTTCCAGAGCGTCGGCGTGGTCGTCGTCGTCGCCGCCGCCGCCGTCGTGGTCGTCGTCGTTGTCGTCGTCATGCTGGGTCGGCGGCATCGGTCGTAGTAAGGCCTTCACGATCGGGTCCAGGCAAGTGGGGTCAGAGGATCGCGGATCGCGCCGCACCGACAATACACCGGCGATGCATCGTCCACGTCAACGGCGCAAGCAGGCGACGTCGACGCGAAGCAAGACGGGATCCACATCGAGCCGCATCGGCGATGCGGAGCGATCCTCCAACACCCCATTGAATTGACCTAGGCCGCATCGGCAATGCGGAACCCTCCTCCGAGCCTTCTCCGCCGCGCCCCTGGGCGACCCCTTCGCGTGCACGCCGGGCGCCGCCGCGGCGGCGGCGGCGGCGGCCGGCGGCGCTGCCGGGCCGGCGGCCGCCGGGGCGGCGGCGGGACTGGCGGCCGCCAGGGGCGCGGGCGGCGGCGCGGGCAGCGCGGGCGGCTGGCCCCGGGCGAGGCGGGCCGTGCGCCAGCGCGCAATGTCCTGGGTGGCGCGCGGCGCGCGCGGGGGGCGGCGGCGCTGCCCGCCCAGGCCGTGGCGGGGCCGCCGGGTGACCCGGCTTCGCCGGGAGCCACCGCGGTCACCTGTAGCCTCGTGGGGCCACCACTACCATATTGGTCCATGGGTCGGAGAGGGAGGAGGAGGAGGAGGAGGAGGAGGAGGAGGAGGAGGAGGAGGAGGAGGAGGAGGAGGAGGAGGAAGAGGAGGAGGAGGAGGAGGAGGAGGAGGAGGAGGAGGAGGAGGAGGAGGAGGAGGAGGAGCTCCTCATCCTCCCTTCCCCCGTCCTGCAGGTGGCAGTGGTGGTGGAAGAGTTGCACATCTGCAGAGGCACCAGGTCACACGAGTGACGAACCCAAACATGGGTCTTTTTCGCGAGGTGGCCGAGGCCTGGTAGGGGCCCCCAGAGGACGAAAATGACGAGAGACCTCCCGTCGTGATTTTTCGTTGCTCGAGGGGGTCTGGGATCGCGGGTCGCGGGGCCGTTGGGATTAGGTCGGGCGGGCATGTTCCCCTAATTGCACGCGGACTTGTGACGAAACATCAAAAATAGTCTAATATACAAACAAAGATTCAAAGATGGTTTTCCAATCGTCCCCAGACTATTGTTTAAACTATGTTTGAATATTCCCCCCTTGGAGGGACAGGCCTGGCTTAACACTGGGACCCAGTGGTTCCGGCGCGGAACCGCCAAGTCACCGAGCTTTTCGCGGGTCCCGCCCGGCGGTGCGCGACGCGCGGCAAGCGTGGCGCCCTGGCGCCTGGGAGACGGACAATCCGTGTTTCTTAATCAGTGTAGGGGGGGACCCTCCCGACGGGGGTCAACCTCGCCTGGTCGTCGCGCAGCGACGGGGGTCCGAGCGCCTGCGGCGCGCGGTGGCTGCCCGCGACGGGGGTCGATGTGGGGCTGTCGGCGGGGGTGACGCTCCCCCCGATGCTCATTAAGAAACTCGGAGTAGTTCTTGTTACGGCCCATGCAGGCCGCGGTGCGCGAGGCGCGCAAAAGGACAACGACATTGCAGACGAGGTGCGTACAGTGGAGGCCCGTCCACAAGAGAGCCTCCACAGAACACCCAACCCAAAGACCTCGGGATGTCACTTCATGTTTCGTGCGGGAAAGTCACGCTTTCCACCGCAAACCATCGACACCCAAGAAACCCAGGGCACCCTGGAGGCAAGCTGGGTGGTTCTTGGCATGGGCCTCCACTGTATTCTATGCGTCATCGAGGACGCGCTCTCCGCCCGCCACATCTCCCTGGCCGCCCGCATGCAGAGGAGTGTGAAGGAATGAGGCAGGCCGCCACCACCGCCGCCAAATCAGGGTGGCACGAGGGGTGTGTGTCAGGGGCGGTGCATATCGTATGCTCGGCGCTTTCGCAGGGCCTCGTGCACATCTGCACACCGCATATCATGGAACTCGGCACTCTCGAGGTGGGCGCTGGTGGTGCATTTCGCAGTGCCCGTACTCTTTGGCGGCAGGCTGTCTCCAGACCTGAAGCCCTGGACGTCTCGACGTTTCCCCTATGGCCGGCCCAGAACCGGCCTCCAGAATTCGAAAAAAACCTGCCAGCCGGATCGAGCCGCCGGATGTCTGGGCTCAGGGATCGCAAATCTGCCCTTTGACGGGGTGCGTCTTGACGGGGAACCCATGCGTGGTGAGCAGGCCGCCTCCAGAGGACTCAAACATGTCGGACATCCTAGCCGCTAGCCCCTGGATCTACACCCACCTCCCATGGAGCACTAGGACCGCACTGCACAGAAGCCGTCGGCGGTAGAGTGGGGGCGCGCTTGGAAGCCAGCGCGACGAGCCTCAGGCGGGACGAGGGGAAACCTCGCGACTGCCGGCAGAAAGAAACCGCTCGCCACGCTCATTCGCGCGAGCTTCCTGGGCGGCCCCTGGGGGCGCGCGTTCCCAGCGGATGTGGCGGGGTTTGAGTTCAGCGTGAGACCAGTGCTACGCGCTTCCATGTGCCACTTTGGCGACGTGTCGCTAGCTTCATGTGATTCTACAACTGCGAAACACTGGTGCAGCCCCGATGATCAACAAGAACACTCGGCTGCTCGACGATAGCATTCCAGTCCGTATGTCCTGCACACGTGATGTTAGCAAACAGCAGGATGCTGCGAGGTTCTTCTGAGAGAGCTCCGTGCCAGGCTGCCAATATCTGGGCAGAACTGGCACTGCTAGTCGAGGATGAAAATGCACCAACGCCCTGTCCAGAAGACCTTTTGGAGGTCTCGAGCCTCTCGAGCTGGATGGGCCAGCTCCTTGACGCCGCCCCTGGCCAGGGATGGGCCGACCGAGACACCGAACGCTGCGCTGTCTCCAGTGCGAGCCCCATGCGAGGAGGGGGCGCCAACATGCGGAACTCGCGCCCCTCGTCTGCCACTCTTACCGGCCGCGATGGCGCATTTGTCCTTGCCCTTGGAATTCAGAGCTTCCGCTGGCTCCTGCATGAGCGCTGCCAGCTGCGCCTTCAGCTCCGCGCTCACAAACTTCTGGGCCGAAAACGCCCGGGCAGCGGTGGCGTCTAAGGAGGCAGCCCCTGACAATGGGGCGGCCGCCGTTTGCCTCCTTGCTGCAGAAGCTGCTGCCCCTGCGCCCTCCACCTGGGCGCTGCGTTGGGGCGTTGGCCCCACCGCCCTCCGCGCGCCTCCTGGACAGGCGGGTTGGGCCGACGGCCACTGCAGAACTTCCACGCTCGTCGTGCGCTCTGGTTGCGAATGACGGAATGGCTGGCACAAGGCACTTGAACATGAAGACGCATCGAGGCGGACAGTGCATGTGCAGCACAGGCGCATGCGGGGCTCGGGCCACCGAGCAGCCTTCGGTTTTTTGCAGCGACACCCTCGTGCGAAACCGTGCGTCGCTCTCGGCTTCGGCGGCGCCCGTCGAAGATGCCTTCGGCATCGGCCGCCAACAAACCAACATGAATCGTAGAGCGAAGCTCTGTGCCGCCGCGCGGCTGTGACGGAAAAGCGAGTGGTGAAAAAATTGCCTCCACGCGGCGCCACGACTGCGGCATCGGCCTGGGAAGTCTCCTGCATGAATTGCGGCGCTCCATGGGATATGCGATGAGTAGGAGAAGGAGGAGGAGGAGGAGGAGGAGGAGGAGGAGGAGGAGGAGGAGGGGGAGGAGGAGGGGGAGGAGGAAGAGAAGGAGGAGGAAGAGGAAGAGGAGGAGGAAGAGGACGGGAACGACGATGGTAACAAACGGCTCGACGACGACGCCGAAGGCGAGGGCGGATTGGGAGCAGGAGAACGCGCGAGCACTCTTAGTAGGAGCCTCCTCGGCTTCCACAGCGCTGTTTGGGGATGCGTGCTGGACAGTGGCGACGATTAGGTCGGGCATGCCCTCCTACAGGGGGGGTGTGTGGACGAACTATGAAAAATAAGCAAAACACCAAAAATAGCAAACAATAGTCAGACACATCGTCCCCAGATTATGATTTTACGATTTTTGAATACACCTCCTGTAGAGGGACAGGCCCGACTTCAGGCTACAACTCTCCATTTGCACAACTGGATGTTCTGTGAGTCGGCTGGCTTTGTTGCGCTCGACCCCTCGGTCCCTGCCGGCTTCGTTCGGACCCCCGTCCTCGCCGACGAAGTCCGTCCTGCCCAGCCGGCAGCCCAGCCGCGCGCGCCCCGTGGAGGGCCCCATTCGGCGAAGCGCGGGCTGCTGCGAGCCGCCCCTCTTCGCCGGACGCCTGGTGGGGAGTCTCGCACCCCCTGGGGCTTCCGAAAAGCTCCAGGTGCCTGATGTCACGAGCGGCGAACACATTCTCATCCGCTCCCTCGCAGTCTGGATTCTGGGTGCCTATCCCGTGGATGCGAGGTCGCACGGATGCTCTCCGCGCGGGGCCTTTGCGATAAAACGCCCCAAACGCCCCGTATCCACGGGGTCGCGGTCGGGGGGCCTGGCCCGCGAGGCCGCGGATACGGATATTTTTTTCGCCCGCGATTCGTTGGAATCAGGATGGGGAATGTTTCACCCCCTGGGCCTCCGATACTCTCCGGGAGTCTCCTGCGGTCTAGCGATGCCTCTGCGAGGACCATCGAAGTCCTAGAGGCTGTGCGGAAGTCTCTGGAGGCTTCCAGAGGCAACCAGAGGCCTCCCTGGAGCAACAACCCAGTAGTACCTGTTTCGCTTCGCGCGGCCCCCGCAAGGGAGCTGATGCAAATAGTTTCGAAGGCTGTCGTGTGTTTCTATTTCGCGATGCAGGTGGCATTGTGTATGTGGGGTCGTCGTGCAAATTTTATGGTTCGTTGAAGGTCTGGTTATTGCGCGGCTAGATCACGTCTGTTCCTCGTGTGAGCACGTTGATATGTGTGGTTGTCCCATGTGTGTCCGTGAGTTGTTTACCACTGCTCGTGGTGGCTTGGGCGTGTGTTTGTTGAGAGTAGCAAAAACACACACGCCCACACAAATGCACACACACACACCACACACACAGACACACACACACACACACACACACACACACGCACGCACGCACGCACGCACGCACGCACGCACGCACGCACGCGCGCACGCGCGCACACACACACACCACACACACACACACGTTATAGCATTGATTTCTTTCGGTGCCCCCTCAGTTGGCTCCACACTCGCATGGCTCGGTCCGAAGATTGCCGCCTTCTTCATCGACGCCTCGCCCCTCGCTCCAGGGGGTGCACAGCCAATGCGTTCGCTGGGGCGGAGGGGGGCCGGGGTCAGACAAATGGGGGGGGGGGAAGGGAGGGGGTTGGAAGAGAAAGGGGAGGAGGAGGAGGAGGAGGAGGAGGAGGAGGAGGAGGAGGAGGAGGAGGAGGAGGAGGAGGAGGAGGAGGAGGAGGAGGAGGAGGAGGAGGAGGAGGAGGAGGAGGAGGAGGAGGAGGAGGAGGAGGAGAGGAGGAGGAGGAGGAGGAGGAGGAGGAGGAGGAAGAGGCGGCGGAGGATGTCTAATCTTCTGGGCCTGCTAATCTGTTCCTGGGCGAGAGCCATGTGCACGTTCTCTGTTGCCTCGTCCTGCGAGCCCTACATTGACACTTGTTTGGGCTGAGATTCTGTGCATGCTGGCCATCTGCTTTCGGCGGGCACCTGTCCCGAGGGCCCCTCGGGCGGTTCCTGGCCGGGGCCCAGACGAAGGTGATGCCCTGGGAAAGGGAGCGGGGAGGGGCTGCCATCGTCGCCCGCGGGTCTTCCGGCCACGCTCCACCCCGTGGAACGCGGAGGGAAGACCCGGTGCGCGGGCAGAGTAGAGGGCTGCGCCGAGGATAGGCGGAACGGAGCAGGGATGGGTAGGACGAGGGTCTCTTTCTCGTGCCAGAAACCTAACTTTGTTTGTCTTTGTTCTGATCTATGACGGTCTGTCCTGCTTATACTTTGCGCGTCATGCGCGTGCATGCCCTGCGTGCTGTGTTGCATATTCCAACCTGGCAAACACGCTGCTGGCCCGCGCCAGGTTTGGCGTGCGTCTGGAGGATGCCGCAATGTGCACGCTAACGGCAGTGGGGGGGTCGACGGGATGCAGACCGTGCAACGCGTCGAGCGCATGGCAGCCGTGCAGGCGCTCGCCGCCGCCCAGCAGCCGCACGTGGTCGCCACAAATTCGCCGCATGTCGGGAACAGTGTCTCGGCGTGCTGGCAACCCGCCTCGCCGCAAGATTGGTCGCACTCTGCCCTGTGGGAGCTCATCGCGCCTGGCTGCCGCTGCGGCAACGCGGTGGATCAGAGGCCAAATCGACGTTGACGGCGCGCCTGAGCGCGGGGTGTCCGCGAGGACCGCCTGGGACACGCTGCCGCAGACAAGCTGGCAGGGGCAGCGGCCTCCGCGCGACTGCCGCCAGCAGGGTCACGCTTCGCGCCCTGCGGACGCTGCAGGTGGGCCGAGGTCGAATTGGCTGCCATGCCATTGGCTGTGCTTGAGGCCAATCGCGGCAGCTTCGGGCAAGCGCCGCCGCGAGTGAGGCGACGATGGTCCAGGGCCCGGGACGACCCATATCAGAGGCGACGCAGAGGTGGCTGCGGCCGCGGCCAGGCGGGCGGGCATTGCCAGGGCCGCGGCAACGCCGCGCTCTCGCCTCGCTGCTTCGGCCCGCGCGCTTTTCGCCGGCGGCGCCGGGCGAGCGCACGTCGCCCTGCAGGGGCCGGGGTGGGTGGCCCGCATGCGATGCAGCTGCTGGCCCCGGGCCAGGAGCTCCTGGCCCGCCGCCTCTGCGCCAGCGATGCCGCCGCGGGCAGCGCGTCTGCTCCTGCAGTGCGCAGCGCGCGGGGGTGGCGCAGAGGCGGCGTGGTGGGCCGCCTTCCAGGCCCGCCTTGCGGCACGCCCAGGGGCACCCGACTAGCTAGATGCACGCAGCCAGGCCGCCAACCGCGCGCCCGGCCCCGCTGTTACTGCTTTGCCCACGCCCTTTCTCCCTTTCTTGCTTCTCTGCCACAAGGCTTCGCCCGACGCCAAAAAGTGCAATCCGAATCCCACCCGCCCTTTGGGGGGTGAGTGGTTTAGGAGGTTTCCTCTTCCATCTCCCTTCTTCAAGTTTCTCCCCCTTTCGGGAAGGGTTTATCACTGTTCGCGACTACGAACCCCCCCCAGGCGACCGGCAGCCAACCCAACCAGAACCAATGCCAACCCCCCCCCTGTCAAATAAAACAATACCAAGTACACTCTGGGGCAACATCTTGGGTCATGCTCGTGGGCCCGCAAACACTTTCTCGTTTTCGACCAGGACGGCGGGGGTGCCCTCCAGATTTGCCTGCATGCACTTCGCGGCGAAATCTGGATCATGCGCAGCCACCCCGCGATCACTGTCCATTGTTTTTGACAAGGACCGCGGGGTTGCTGGCATACTTCCTGCTGTGTGCAGGCCCACCAGACACCATGATGGCCTCCCCGCCGCAAGTGCCCATTAGTTTTCGACATGGTTTAGCTTCCCATCCATAGACGACAGCTGAACATGCTGTGGCCCGGGTGCTACTTATGTGTTGGGAGGGCGGGTGGGAGTGAGCGAGACAACTTGCTGGCGGGGAGGGTGTCTTGAGCCCTCCCCCTACCCCCTTCCCCTGGACGGGGGGGTCGCGGGTCGTTGGCCCCAGATGGCTCTCAGAGGGCTTCCGACAGCCCAAAATGACCTCCACGATTGCGGCCCAAGATAATGCAAGATTGCTCAAGGTGGCTTCCCGCATGCTCCAAGAGACCCCTACACCAGTCCAAGACGGGTCCAATTGGGCTAGAGTCCCCTCCAGGACGCCCCCAAGAGGCCCAAATAGTTAAATTACACCACAGGGGAAAACCCAATCAGATGATGGTTCGGAAGTCAATGATATGGATATTGGTGTCGACTGTGGTACCAAGAATGGAATCGGTTCTGAGGACGATTGTAAGGTCGATCGTGAGACCAATAATGAAATCGACTCAATGAGATCGATTGTGAGATCGTGCGTGCGATCGATAAAGAGGTGGATCATGAGATCGACCGGGAACCCGGAAGCCAGGGAACCCAAAACCCACCGAAATCAGCCCAAAATCAAAAACCCGGAACCCGGGGACCTGGAACCGGGAATCCCATCTGCTACCAAAATCGGCGGGAAACGTTCGCCAAATCTTTCAACTTCCGCTAAGACCCCTTCAGTGCAAACAATGATTAGGGAAAAAACAATTCTAACCAACAAATCAACCAAAAAGCACCTTCGAGCAAAAAAGCATCGACCAACAAAACACCCAAAAGGCCCAACCACCTTCGAACCAAAAAACAATTAGACTGGCGAAGGACCCAACCATTCGCAGATGTGAACACCGCAATTGAAGATATCGTCTCCTGTGGCGCTCCCTGTGGGGCTACAAACCGTGTGGTGTGTATGTCTGTGCCGAAAATGGGTGGCGGGGACGCACGGGGACCGTCACCGCTAGGGCCTTAGGTGGAGCTCCCTATGGGGCGACGAACCGTGTGAGGGGTGTGCCAAGAATGGGTGGCGGGGACGCATGGGAAAATCGCAGCTGGAACCTCAGGTGGAACTCCCAATGGGGCCACGAACCGTGTGAGGGGTGCTCCGAAATGGGTGGCGGGGGCGCATGGGAACATCGCCGCTGGGGCCTTCGGTGGAGCTACATCTGGGGCCACGAACTGTATGAGGGGTGTGCCAACATTGGTGGCGGGGGCGCATGGGAACGCCGCCTCTGGAGCCTTCGGTGGAGCTCCCTATGGAGGGACGCATGGGAGCGTCGCCGCTGGGGCCTTCGGTGGAGCTCCCTATGGGGCCACGAACCGTGTGAGGGGTGTACCAAAATGGGCGGCGGGAGCGCATCGGAGCGTCGCCGCTGGAGCCTGAGGTGGGGCTCCCCATCTGGGGCCAGGAACCGTGTGAGGGGTGTGCCAAAATGGGCGGCGGGGACGCATGGGAATGTCGCCACTGGAATCCTGGGCGGAGCTCCTTATGGGGCCACGAACTGTGTGAGGGGTGTGCCGAAATGGGTGGCGGAGACGAATGGGAACGTTGTCACTGGAGCCTTAGGTGGAGCTCCCTATGGCGTCACGAAGCGTGGGGAGGGTGTGCCAAAATGGGTGGTGACGATGGCAGTGCTGTTGATGATGGTGATGGGAGGTAGGAGGAGGCGAGGAAGGGAGGAAGGAACGCGGGGCGCTGTCGTTTCAAAAGGAGGGTCCAACACCACATGATGGTTGGGAACAAGGTTTTTAGCCCTCTCGCCATGTCGCTTTCGAAGTGTCAAGATGGCTCCACGAGAGCCCAGGAGGGTCCCACGAGTGACTTTATGAGGGCCCAATATGGCCCCGAGAGTACCCAAGAGCGCCCAGAGAGCGTTCGAAGAGGCACCTTTAGGGAAACTCCAGAGGGGGGCCGCTAATTGAGTACACCTGCTTTTTGAAAAATGAGAGCGTTGAAGCACACATGGGTTGTGATAGATGTTTGCTTTCGGGGACATCTGTGGGAGGCTTTTGGCCCATGGGGGCTCCAAGGTGGCCCAAAACTCTTTAAGATGGTATCCAAGTTGGTCCAAGCCAGCTCGATATGGCCGCCAGGATGCCTCCAAGAGGCCCCATTATGGTTTCAAGTGGCCGCGGAGACCCCCAAGAAGGCTCCCAAAGGGGCAAATCACCTTCACGAGCCAATTGGGAGATTATGTATTGTAGTCCTCTCCACCTTTCGCTTCCGATGGGTTCCCGAGGCCTCAGGATGTCTCCAAGAGGGCCCAGCAGGGCCCCGAGAGCGACCCAGAATGGCCCCAAAACGGCCCCGAGGGCGCCCCAAGAGGCGACCTTGGGAGCTCCAGACGGGCGAGGTTAATGAAGATCCACCCCTCTCTGATCGATGTTCTCCTAGATGTTCCCAAGAAGGCTTCCGAAGCCCCGAAAGAAGGCCCCGACAGGACCCCAGGATAGCCCCATGCTGCGCCCCAGCGCCCCCAAGAGGCCCCCAAGGCGCCCCCAAGATGCTGCCAAGCAGCCTCCAAGAGGCCCCACGAGGCCCCAGAGGCCCCCCAGAGGCACCCAAAACGCCGAAGAGGCCCCCGGGACCGCCAGAAGACCCCCAAGCCTCCCCAAGATGCCTCCAAGAGGGCTTTGACCCTTCTGCTCGCCCTCCTCCGCCTCCTCCTCCTCCTCCTCCTCCTCCGCCTTTTCCTCCTCCGTCTCGCTCCTCCCTCCTCCATCCTCCCCCGGTTTGGGCATGACAGCTTGCCCAAGCCTGCATTCCACTGCATGCTCCCCCCACATCCATGATCAAGGCAACTCGCCTGGGCACCGTTTTGGAATGGACTACTCTGATTCCGCGACGCGTTTAGAATTGTATGCAATCATGTTCCGTATGTGCTCTCGGTATGTGCAAGCTCTGCGTAGACTATGTACATATGATGGTGGTGTCGCTGATCATGTTGACCGTGCGTTATAAGTATGCCTTGTCATTGGCTACTGATCGTGGTGTGCGCGCTTGGTTCTCAACTGGTTTGTACGCTCTGACCATGTTGCGCATGTTATTGTTGGCATTGGATCTAAAATTACGTGCATCGACCGTGAATGGTGATCGTAATGTGTTGTCCGCGTGACTGTGGTGGTATGTCATATGCGTATTCACAACGCGCAAACTCTTGGCGCATCGTCATCGAGTACCTTGTTTCAGAATTGATGACCTGGCTACATACATAAGTTATGTCTGACGGTATGGTTTGTGTTGTCTGTCCGTGCTCGGTACCCTTGACTGAATGTGTTGTATATGCATGTTCTGACGCCTGTCTCTGCCGCATCTGCTTGCGATGCTTCTAAATTTGATATGTATGTGCCGATCGTCTCTATGTGGTCATATTGCATAATCTTAGAGCTGCTGCAAAGAAGTGCTCTGTTTGATTTTGTGTGTAGGCATGGGGATGAGTAGTGCTACGATTACGCACGCGTGTGCGTGATGCATCTGCCTGAGCTGTTGCCTGTCATCGTTTGGTTCGTGTGCGCTCATCGTTCCTGTTGCTCGTGTGTGTGTGTGGCTACTGTGTGTTACTTGTGCCCACGGTGTCTGCCACCCTTGCTGTCTCTGCTTGCCCAGGACGCGAGCCGGGACCAGGGATGCCCGATGAACCTTGGGGGCCCGCGGCCGCGGCGCTCCGGGTCGGTTCAGGCCTGAGTTCTCGAGGACGCGAGGCGGGACACGGGGGATCCTCGGAGCGCCTTGGCACCCCGCGGCCGCAGCATGCGAAACAGGCTCAGTGCTCCCCTGTCGAGAACACGCGGCGGGCCAGGGAGCATCCGAGGCCGGCCGCTGCGGCACGTGGGGCGGGCGCTCGGGTGGGGCTATCATTTCTTACACTCCAGCGGCGCCAACGGATCGGGTGGCCAAACAGAGCCAAAGAAGCTCGCATCTCATCCCCTCGAGCTCCCCTCCCCTCCCACACATCTTCAAGTGGGGCGGGGGGCTGAGCGAGAGCACGCCGCAGAGAGGGGGGGGGCTGGGGGGAAGGTCGGAGAGCAGAGCAGCCCCCCCCCCTATAGGCCCTGGAGGCGACGTCCAGGCCGCGGGACCGAACCTCCTCTTCCTCCTCCTCCTCCTCCTCCTCCTCCTCCTCCTCCTCCTCCTCCTCCCCCTCCTCCCCCCTCTTATCCTCCTCCTCCTCCTCCTCCTCCTCCTCCTCCTCCTCCTCCCCCCGAGCCCCAGAAATCCTGGCTGCAGCCGCGGCGCCCAGCGTGGCCGCGCCAGCGCATGGAACGGGCTGGAGCCCAGACGGCTTGCAGGGCCAGCCCAGGCTCGGCCTGGTCAGTCGGCGATTCAGAATCACCGAACGAATCGCACAGCTTCGCTGGCGACGAGCCGCTGAAGTTTCTGACCCAGCAGCTTCCGACGGTAGGGTACAGTAGGGGTCCGACAACAAGAAACCTTCCACACGAACCCCAACCCTGAGGCCCGAGGACGTTCACCGATTTTTGGTGTGGGAGTGTCACGCCTTCCATAGCAAAAACCAAGAAACCCAGGAAGCCCAGGGCACCCTGAACGCCAGCAGGGTGTTTCTTGGCATGGGTCTCCACTGTATTGGCCTAGTCCTTTGACGTCTGGCGACTCGGGCGAAAACTCGCCAGAACCTTTTGGAATTTTCGAGACCGTGCGGTGACAGACCGTGCGGTGACCTCGACCCCCCCCAGGACCTCACCGCTCGGCCCGTCAAAACGCACAGCTTTGGGACGTCGGAGGCCCCCGTCGCCCAATGACGTCCTCGGAGAACGACCCGAGGCCCAAAGCCGTGCGGCGACCCCGAATCCCCAGCGACTCACCGCACGGTTGAGGGGCAACGATAGGGGGGGATATGCACAAGGGGGGATGCATCGACCTGGAATCGGCGATACATCGCGGGTAGATCGGCGATGGGCACCCGATAGCGCATCCGCACCTTCCTGGGCGGGTCGGGGCTATCGGGCCCCTGTCGGCGATCAATGGGCGATTCGGGGTCGATGCATCCCCCCCTATGCCTATCCCCCCCCCTATCGTTGCTCCCGAACGGTGTGGTCGCCGCCCCGTTCGGGGAATCCCCCGAGGAAGCTGATGCGCCGCTTGCCCGGCCCCGGCAAGCGGCGCGCCCAGGACAGGGCTGAACCGAAACGGTGCTGTTCGTTATCGTTCAGTTGCTGTTTTCCCTCGATTTGTCTCCAGCCCGCCTTTACCGCAGAACGAAATCGAAACGAAAACGGCCCACGAAATCGCCAGAACACCGTTTATTAAAGGGAAATTAGGACACACAAATAAATACACACAAATAAAAATAGTCCCCATATTTTCCTATATTTTCTGGGTTTCTGTCTTCCCCCCCACTTCCCATATTTTCCCATATTTTCCTGGGAATCGAAGATTAATTGTGTCTGTGTGTTTTTTTCCTCCTGAGTCCAGCCCTGGTCCAGGAGGGGGGGGGGAAGCGAGAGGGGGGGCGAGCCTTCTCGGATGGCGGCGGGGCTTCTCTCACCAGCAAAAAATCTTACGCTTGGGTCGGGCCTGTCTGAAGGGGCCCTGGGACACACAATTCGCCGGCCCAACGGGCCAGAGGCGTGCAAAGATCTCCGCTAACTTGTGAACAATATTTCTAGTTCGCGCGCGCGGAGCGGCCCCTGGGGGCCCCCGGACGAAAAGTACCCCGGCAAGGTCCCGAGAGAAGCCCGGGAGAAGCCACTAGACCACTCCAGGGGAGGGTATTTTTCGACACCCCTCACGAGGATCGTGGTCTCCGAGGGGTGAGCCGCAATCGACTACCCCCAAGAGCCCCCCAAGAGGCCCTGGGGGCCTCCAAAACGCCGCCAAGGAGCCCCAAGAGACTCCCAAGAGGTCCCCAAGAGGCCCCCAAGAGGCCCTAAAGAGGGCTCCAGGGCCGGCGGCATGAGCGAAGCGATTAAATAAATAGACACAAGTAACAGGATTCCCAATATTTTCCCATATGTTCTGGGTTTTGTCTTCCCCACCACTTCCCATATTTTCACATGGTTTCTTTGGAATCGACGATTAATTGTCTGTGTGTGTGTTTTCCCATCCTGACTGTCCCCCTACAGGCGGATTTTGGACGAAACATGGAGACATAGTCAAAACAGATTCGAAGAATGCTCAAAACAAATCACACAAAAAAAGTGTCCCCAGACTATTTTGGTGACTATTCTTGAATTTTCCCCCTAGAGAGGGACGCGCCCGACTTAATCGTACGCCCTTCTGAGAAGCCCTCCGTCGCTTCGGAGAGGGCCCAGAAAGCTTTCCAGAACAAAAACAGGAACAAACGCCATAAACATATGTTTGTTGGCGCTCCGCGCGGATTTCTTGGATCTGCGCTGGGCCCCCTCCCTGGCGCGCTCCGCGCGCCAGGGGCGGCGCCGGAGGCGCCGCCAGGAGGGCCCAGCGCGGATCCAAGAAACCCGCGCGGAGCGCAACAGAAATTGGGTCTGTGGCGCCTTTCCTCCTTCGGCAGAAGGTTGGAGGCATTCCGAGTCGTCCGAGAAGGCACGCCCCTGGCCAGGAAGGGGCATGCCTTCAGGGGGGCCCCCCTGGCCGCGCCGCCGATCTGGACTCGGGCGTTCACAGGACTGGCTCCGCACGCGCTTCGACTTGTCGGCCGCTGGCCCGCTGGCTCCGGACGTCCCGAGTTTCGGTCGGGCGTACACCCCAGGCGATGCTTAAGAAAACTTGAGTTTTCGTCCAGAGTCTCGATTATTCTTAACTTTTCAGTGTAATTCCCAAGATTTTGATAGAAGTTCTGGGTTTTATTCGATTTCTGAGACTATGAATTTCTTAACCCATGATTTCTTAAGCATTTCGCAGGGCGTATCCTCCTACAGGCGGACTTTGGACGACAAATGTTTCAAACAAGGCCCCAACAAGAATCTAAAAATGCCAACAAATACTAGTTGTTTGAATTTCCCTCCTGTAGAGGGGCAGCCCCGACTGAATACTAAGTCCTCCCCAGAGGCCCCAGAAGATTAATCTTCCAGCCTCGACGTATGTTGCCCCCATCGTACACCCTGCGAAATGCTTAAGAAATCATGGGTTAAGAAATTCATAGTCTCAGAACTTGAATAAAAAACCGAACGTTTCCATTAAAATCTTAAGATTTGCATTGAAACGTTAAGAATAATCGAGACTCTGGCCGACAACTCAAGTTTTCTTAAGCAACGCCTAAGGTGTACTTAAAGACCACACCCCAGAATCGGAAAAGTGTCGAAAGAGTGTTGAGACAGTGTCGAACGAAAGTCTCCCGTGGCCCGACGCGTGAAAACCCTCCGGTTTCGGCACCTTCTTGGTGCTCGAAATTATTCCTGGCGGTGAAGGCTAAAGTCGGCTGGAACATCATACAGTCGGGCCGCTGAAAGAAGGAACGCTAAATAAGGAACGAAGCCCCTTCTTGGCCCTGTAAGCGCCTCCGTGCCCCAGGAGGGCAAGAGGAACAGCACTGGAGGAACCTAAGGAACATCGAGCCCCGTTCCGAACCCAAACTGTTCCTTATTTCAGCGTCTTGACTGCAACCCCAGAGCTCCAAGGGGATCCATCTTCCAGCCTCGACCCTCTGCGACCCTCCGCCCTCGACTCTCCACGACCGCCGCGCTCCGAGGCCCCATTTCGGCTGGCGCGGGGAGCGGGGCCGACGCACGGCGACGACGCCGACGACGAAGACGACGCCGACGCGAACGCCGACGACGACGCCGCCGCCGCCGACGCCGACGACGCCGACGACGCCGACGACGCCGACGCCGACGCCGACGCCGACGCCGACGCCGACGGCGCCGATGCTGACGCCGACGACGACGGCGACGCGACGCCGAGCGCGGCGACCCGGAGCCCCGCCCGGCCGGCGGCGTCGGGGGGGGGGCCGCCCGCCGCCGAGGGCCCCGCCCGCACCACCTCCAGCGCGCGGCCCTGTGCGGCGGCGGCCGCTCGGGCCCCCGCCGCCGCCGCCGCTCGGCGTCGCCGCCGTCGGCATCGTCGTTGTCGTGGTCGTCGTCGTCGGCGTCGCCGCCGTCGGCGTCGCCGTCATGGTCGTGGTCGTCGTCAACGTCGTCGTGGTCGTGGTCATGGTCGTCGTCGTCGTCGTCGTCGTCGTCGTGGTCGTGGTCGTGGTCGTCGTCATCGTCGTCGTCGTGGTCGTGATCGTGGTCGTCATCATCGTCGTCGTCGTTGTCGTGGTCGTGGTCGTGGTCGTCGTCGTCCTCCGCCGTCGGCGCAGTCGTCGTCGGAGATGTTGATGGCGCCGCAGGGCGACGAGATCAATGCACCTCCTCAGAGGAAGGCGAATAGCTGAGTAACTTGCCGATGCCGCTGCCCCCTCCCTCGTTCTGGCCTTTTCCGGGACCTCTGCTTAGCCCCCTCGTCGCCACGACGGGACTCGCCTCGAAATCGTAGGCAGAACGCGCCCTTGGAGATGTCAGAAGATTGCGGTATCGGTCGCTTTTTTGTCCCCCCTTCGGCATTGGCCTCGTAGTCAGGGACCTGAAAACAAACCATACTCAGAAGGTGTCTGTCTATACACCACCGCCGTGCCGGTCCAGGGCCATCCTGGCCCTGGCATGGTGTATACGCCCTCCTGGCCGAGGCCAGGAGGGTCTACACACCATCCTGGGGCCCAGAATGGCTCTGGCCTGGGGCACAATGGTGGTGTATAGACGCCTTCGTCGGAAACCGAGTACGTACCTCTGTGGAGAGCCTCCGTGACTTGCAGTGCGTGTGGCGCCCAGCCGAAGTTACGGATTCACGTGGCTGCGCAGTGTGCGCAAAGTCCACACACCCTGGTGCCCCTGGCCACTCACTCGCAGGCTCGGCTTCCTAGGAAGCAACGCCCGCGAATATGTCCAACCCACGCCTGTTCGCGCTCACGGGGACACGGCCTAATCCGCCCCTAGCAAACCATCCCCTTCCGTGACGTTACCCTCCTCTTTCAACTTCCCCTCCAGCCGCGCACATACGTCTTGGGGTGAGGCGAGGGGGACGTTACAGAAGGGGGTGGTTTGCGAGGGGACGGTTAGGCCGCCCCTGACTCACATGGATGCTGGGCACGATCCAGGCGGGACGGCCGTCGGCGTTGGTGAGCCCAAGCCTGCAGGCGATTGCAGGTGGGAGGAGAAGGGGAAGGCGAAGGGGCGGCGAGGAGCGGGAATAAGCCAAGCTTGGCTGGGCTCTGCGCTGAGAGGCGTCCGCCTGCGACATCTGCGGCACTGGCGGCGGCATGGACGCAAGAGCCCGACCGAGCAGTCATGGACACCGAGACCAGAATAATAAGGCGGACGGCATCACTCCGTGCAAATGCGCCCTGCATCCTCTCGGCACGAACACCCCATACATGCTGAGCTGCGTGATCACCCGCACAATGCAGCACGGCTGCGATTCTGCAGCCTGCTTGCTGGAACCTTGGGCCCTGCCCAGACACCTGCGCGTGCTCCCCGCCCGCATGTCAACGGTCACTGCGCACTGACCTGCCGCACACTCTACCGCGACAACCTCTCGCGCAGGGCCTGCGTCCGCACAACGCCTCTCCGCTCCAGCTCGCCCACCAGGCACGCCGCCAACTTCGCGCTCGCCTGCGGGGTGGTCCCACTCACTGGCGGAAGGCTGCTCGTGGGAACCTCTGCACTAACCGTGATTTTTCAGCCGCAGTAACCAGAGCATTTGCTTAGGGTGGAGGGCTCAGGGTGAAATCCATATGGGCTTTCGCACCTCGGAAATCACAATCCGTCTTGTGATTTACCTTTTGCAGATTCGAGCCCCGGAAATCCATCGAAAGAACATTCTAGATTTCGCCCTGCGCCCTCCACCCTAAGAAAATGCTCGGGTAACGCCCATTACCGGCCCCGCCCCTCCCTCCTCCCCCTGGGACAGTCACGATTCACGCGGGCGCCGTCTTGGAATAAACCACTCCTGTAGGATTTCCCAGACGGCGCTGGCGCTGCTCGTCACGTCCCCAGCTCGACCCCCATCCCCCACCCGGTCACGCCCGTCATCGCCAGGTGGTAGCAAAAATGCATCGAGAGCTGATGCCCTCAGCCTCCTGAAAAGCACCTCGCAATCCGTCTGGCATGAAACGGCTTCCGTCTCCTCGGTCTGGCCCAACCTGTGGCGACTCGATCTAGAATTGCGACGGCCTGGCTTGTTCTGCCACTGTCGGGGCCTCTGTTGGGAAGAGGTCGAGAGATTCGGTCTGGACAGAAGGGGGGATTCACGCATGAAGGGGCGGTTGGCGAATGAGCTCACGTAGCTGGACTTCCTGGCGCACATGCATCGAGGACTGGCCAGGTGCCCTGCGGGTCCCATCGCCTCCGAGAAAACAGGGCGCCAGTGGTCGGACTCGCCCCTCGCCTTCTCTTATTCCCGCTCGGGCAGCCGCCGACCGCTGTCAGCGCAGACAACCGCCCAGCCAGCGCCAACGGGGGGTCACCCCAAGGAGTACCATGTGGGACCTGCTGAAGAACAGGGACATACCTCAGACGGGTCTACTATTTCTCCGACCTTGTACTCGACCGAACGAAACGACCGCGCTGTCTATAGATAGATCCGTCCCGAATGTGTCTGTTGACGTAACGACACCCAGTTTGCCTATGAACGCCTGTGGCTAGAAGGTGAGAGAGCGGCATGTAGAATGTGCCCCAGACATCGGTCTTCTTCTAGCACCACCAAAAAGTGGGTAAACCAACATGCATCGATACCGCTACTCCCCGGACCTCTCCCGGGGTGCGTTCTGACCAAAATTTCGAAGCGAATCCAGCGGTGGCGACGAGGGCCTCCAAGGAGGCCCAAAAAGGGGAAAGCGGGCGAAGGGTAAAGGTATGGGTACCTTTCCCTCCTCCGACAAGGAGGTGGCCGTCCCCCCTTTTGGAAAGAATGCGCCCCCCTGGACGCGACCAGTCTCCTCTGAGGCCCGCTGGGTGGCTTTTTGGGGGCCCGCTGCGCGGCCGGAGGGGCCTTCTCGTGGTCCGCGCGGCGTCTCGAATGAGAAATCATCTGTTTAGATTTAGTTCGGGCGTGCCCCCCTACAGGCGGATTTTGGGTGAATAATATGAAAAAAAAACAAATAATCACAAATAATTCAAAACATGTCCCCATCCTATTTTTTTACTATTGTTGAATATTCCTCCTGTTGAAAGCAGGTCCGACTTCACTCGAATGAGAAACAATGCGTTTGGGTGCTCGATCACGGACCCGTTGCTGAACGCCACCTTTACAATTTCGCGCCGAAGACCGGTGGACACCGCCAAAGAACACCAGAAACCGCAGAAGATCGTCCAAAGACCGCCATAACCGTGCGGAAACCGACAGAGACCGCCGATGACGGCCGAGGAGCGACGGGCCCTGAAAACTGCGGCAAATCCTTTGAAATTCTGGGACTCCTGAAGAACCTCCCGTGCCCTCTGAAGAAGAATCTCTTACGCCTCCAGAGGCCCCAGGACGCACTTCAGGGGCCACATGGGATGTCTTCAGATGCCCCAGGAAGTGCTCACGTGTCGCCTTTTCGACTGTGTGTAGGGGTACTTGGGCGCTGCCTGGAGATGGACCCCCCCGTATCGCCGTGCTCGACGATTAATAAAATCTGGCCCACACTGAGCCATACAGAAACCCACTGGGCCACAGGGGAACCAATGTGGCCACACGAGAACCTTACGTACGCACCCCTGGACGCCCCCAGGGACTCCCAGAGACGCCTAGAAGCGTCCAGAATCCCCTTGAGGAGGAAATGGTGACCCGCCTGGCTGTGGATGGTCCAAAGCGGGGGAAGAGCGCCGAGGGTCCCGAGAGAACAGTTTGGCGATGGCTTCCTGCCTCTCAGCCTTTTCGGGGCCCCGGCCCCTCCTACCTGCTTCTGGCAAGTCTAAGCGATCGTTCGGTCTTTCGCCCCCTCCTCCTGGGAAACGGGGCCCGTCGCTAATCCACGCTCCCGTGATCCATGTGTGCGATCGCCTCAGGCGATCGGTCGCCCTTGTTGGAGTCCCGAAACGGTGCGGTGACAGAACGTGCGTTGACCTCAAACTCCCCCAAGACCTCACCGCGCGGTCCGTCACCGCACGGTCTTGGGATTTCGGATGCCCTGTCGCCCGAGACGTCCTCGGAAAGGGACCCGAGTCCCACAACCGTGCGGTGACCCCGAATCCCCACCGTCTCACCACACGGTGTGGTCACCACCCCGTTTGGGGGGCCCCCGACCCTGGTAAGAGGCTCCCGAGTCCGGGAACGGCCCCGGAGGGAAGCGACCAGTCCTTCGGCGGTCTGGGCCGTGGCCCTGGGCTTAGGTCGGGCATGTCCTCCTACAGGCGGATGTTGGACGAACAATTATGTATTCCCAAAAATACCCCCCAAATAATCATGAAACCGTCTCCTGATTATTCTTTGACTATTTTGGACTATTCCTCCTGTAGAGATACAAGGCGGACTTACCCGTGGGCCCTGGGCCTCGCCTCGTCCTCGCCGGCCCCTGCGTTCCCCCCTCCTCGTCCTGCCCTCTCGCCCCCTCCTGCTCCGACTGCCTGCCAGGCCACCCCAGCCCAGCCCGAAAACCCGAATTTCGAGTTGAGGGGTGTACAGGGCTTCAAACTAAGTCTTTTCAGTGCTCCCCGAACGCCCCCCCCCCACCGCTGGAAATGGACGGCACATCTGGGCCTTCGGGTCCAGTCGGGGCAGTTCGGGTGGGCGGTGCTTCTCGCCTTCGCCCTAGCCGACGTCCACCCTCCTCTCCTCCCCCGCCTGTCGTCGGGACGGAGCACACAGCCACCGTTCGGACTGCTTGGGCCTCCCCCTGCCCCCTGCCGCGCCACGCGGGCGGCAGGCGCGCCGAGGGGCCTGCAGGCCGCCGCCGTGGCAGAGGCGCAGCAGCAGCTCCGCGAGAGAGCCGCGCCGGTTGCAGCTGGCCGCCTGAGGGGGGGGGCAAGCAGGGAGGAGGAGGAAGTAGGAAGGCTCCACGAACAATTCACCGCCACCAGCCCTGGCCAGGCCCATCCTGGGCCCTGGACTGGCGTACAGGGCCCTCCCGGCCTAGGCCTGGAGGTCTATACACCAGTCCAGGTCCCAGGATGGATCTGGCCGGGGCTGGTGGTGGTGTATTGTTGGCATCCCCCCGAGAAAGACTCGTCATCGCTCGCACGTCCATCCCTCGTGTATGTTACGTTTTCGCGCGCGTATTGCTCGCAAGATGGCACAACATGCATGCTTCTCGACGGTCCCTGCCCCGCCCCCCTCAAAAACACGCACGTCCGAGCGATGCCGAGAGGAGGGAGGCGAGGGCCTTCAGACTCACATCCGCGAGGGGGAGGAGAAGGAGGAGCAGGAGGAGGAGGAGGAGGAGGAGGAGGAGGAGGAGGAGGAGGAGCGAGAGGAAGAGGAGGAGGAGGAGGAAGAGGAGGAGGAGGAGGAGAAGGAGAAGGAGGAGGAGGAGGTGGAGGAGGAGAGAGAGAGAGGGGAGAAGGAGAGAGAGGAGCAGGGTCGCGGCTCGGGGGCCGATGATCGAGGCGTGCGTGAACAGAGGGAAGCCAGAGGCAACCAGCACGAAGCACAAAAGACGGTCGGAAGCCGCCACCACACCTGTGCAAGCAGCAGATGCGCCCGACATGTGTAAAGGGGCCCCAGAACACACAAAAAAATACACACAAATTAAACTATTCCCCATATTTTCCCATATTTTCTGGATTTTTGTCTTCCCCACCACTTCCCATATTTCCATATTTTCTGGGGTAACTCGGGTCCGAGCTATCCGGGGTAACTCGGGTCCGGGGTAACTCGGGTTTGGATTCCCGAAAAAGGAACCCGAGTTATCCCTGACCCGAGTTACCCCTGATGATTCGGGGCTCTGGGCGCCCGAGTTATCCGGGGTAACTCGGGTCCGGGGTAACTCGGGTTTGGATTCCCGAAAAACGAACCCGAGTTATTCCTGACCCGAGTTACCCCTGATGATTCGGGGCTCTGAGCGTGTGTGTTCCCCATCAGTGCTTGCACTGGAGGGGTCCTAGCGGATATTGAAAGATCTGGCGAACATTTCCCACCGATTTGGGTAGCTGGCTGGGTTCCCGGGATCCAGGTTCCAAATGATTGGTTCTGGGCCGATTTCGGTGGGTTCCGGGTTCCCTGGTTTCCGGTCGATCTCCTGATCGATCTCTTTACCGATCCCATTTCAAACCGTCTACTGATAAGGGTTTTTCTCTACTTGAATTTTCCATCTATGTCAGGCACCAGTTGTCCAAAGTATTGGGTTCCCTGTTGGTTTGCATTGTTTCGAAGCTGGTTTCTCCTAGTTCCCGTTCGGAACGTTGTCCAGCAACTGCCCGCATTGGCATCTTGCGCATGTCTTCCCCGGAGGAAGGACGCCACAGTGGAGTTACAGGGTAAGAGATTCCAACGATGTAAAATAATTAAGCACACACGCTCCATTTTGATGAAGTAAGGGCAAAAACGGAACAACAAAAAAACGCAAACAACTATAATAGCTTCAGCCAGTGAAGGAATATGGTGGCACTGCATGGACTCGTTGGATCACAGGGGCGGAAATGTACGTATACATATGAGGGGGCCCTGGGACACGCAAATACATAGACACAAATCACCCACTTCCCCATATCTTCCCATATTTTCTGGGCTTTTGTCTTGCCCCCCGCTTCCCATATGTTCCCGTATTTTCCTGATAATCGAAAATGGATTGTGTCTGTATGGTTGTGTCCCTCCCGAACATAGATGTACACGTAGCATACACAAGCTCCCAAGGAAAACAAGGGTACCGCAACGCAGCTGCGCGCGCCCAGTGAGAAAAGCGCAACGACACCTGCGCACGAGCCCTACCCTTAGGTCGGGCATGACCCCCCTACAGGCGAATTTTGGACGAAAATAAAAAAATAGCCCCACCATGCGCAACAAATCATCAAACATGGTGAAAGTATCGTCCCCAGACTTGTTTGTACTACGTTTGGATATTCCTCCTGTAGAGGGACACGCCCGACTTCATTCACCCTATCGGCGAGATGGGCAGGTCAGCTCCCCCGCTGTGCGACACAACCTGGCACCACGCAAACTGGGAATATCACGCGGGTCGCTCTGCGATGCGCAAGCTCGTTCAGTGAACCGTGGCTTGAAAGAGAAAGCGGACGAGCCTCACGTGAATACATTCCGAAGCCCAAGCGGCTAACGCTACTACGCACACACCACGACGAGAGGACGAGAGGAGGCGAACGGTAAGGGAAGGGAAGAGACGAGTGGGGGGCGAAAAGAACGGGGGACTTCATCAGCGACCAGCCTCAAATCGAGGATCGGTCAGCACATCCAAAAACGACGTGCCGCCTACCACAGGCGCAAGCCAGGGCGGACAAATCCTGCCCCCCTGTTAAAAGCAACAGCAAGCAGAACCGGGGTGAAGGAAGAGAAGGACGAAAGAGAAGGAGGAGCAAGAGAACAACAAAGATGAGAACGCGGCATGCGCGTGCGCAAATCGCGCATATCTCCCTCACGAACACCTTCCTTACACTCGCATCCGATGTCGGGTGCTGTCCCAAACGGAGACGGCTCCGCTATGCTTGCAAAGTGCGGGGTCACTACGGTGCACACGGGGTGGGGTCGACGCTGGAACAACGAGCCCGCGCCCAAACCCCATCTGATACATCTATGTGTATATATATATATGTGTATCGAGATCTGTATGTATGTGTATATATATATACATCTATATATATGTATATATATATATATATAGATGTATGTGTAGACTGACAGTGATGGATTCTCTTGCCAAGCTGTGATTGGCATCCGACGCTGGCCTCAAAGGATTGGTGCACATTGGCTTGCGAACCGTGTTGCTCCCTTCCTCTCTATGCGCCATCACTTGCGATACCTCTGCGCGTGACTTGCCGTACTGGGATGTGCGGAAGAGTCTGCGAAACAAATGTCCGGATGGTGACACTGCTGAAACCTAGCCGTAAACGCCCAGGCCACTTGCAGTCTATGGGCCATTGCTCTTGGGCGGCATGGCTACTCCAGAAGGCGACGGATGACAGGAGGAAAACGACAACGCTATTGAGAAGGCTGCGAGGGGAACGAGCCGAATGACGCGGAGACGGAAGACCGAACGAAACCGATGTGGGTTCGCGATCCAATCTCAACCGCGCTGCGGCCGCACTCCGCCGGCGAGGACAGACGCTAACCTCAAGGCAGCGCGGGCGGCAAGGAGGGCGTTGTACCGCGTCTCGTACTTCATGAGCAGAGGACAAAACCAGTATGGCCTCGAAGCGTACCAAGGACAAGGAACTGGCTCTGGAACCGAAGCGGCCGAACCAATCCAGCCGGCCGAACCGAACCGGTCGAACAGGAGAGGCCTGCTATGCGAATCGAACTGGCCGAACCGAACCGGCCGAACCGAACTGCCCAAAGCGAAGCCTTCCTGCTGCGCGACCGAACCGGCCGTAATTATCGCACTGGCAAGTCGCGGGCACCAGGAGGGGACTGCCCCTTGAGCCACTCCCCCTTTGGGCCCCCCCCTCGGGTCGTCGTCGTCGGCGTCGTCTTGGGCCCCCCGCTCGGGGACCACTGGGTCCCCCCCTCGGGGCCCCCTTTGAGCCCCCCCCCCAAATCGTCGTCGTCGTCTTGGCTCTCGGATCGTCGTCGTCGGCGTCGTCATGGGCCACCCCTCGGGGTCCCCTCGGAACCCTCCCTCGGATCGTCGTCGTCGTCGTCGTCGGCGTCGTCGTCTCGGGCCCCTCCCTCGGGGCCATCTCGCCGCCCCCCCCTCGCGGCCCTCCCTCGGATCGTCGTCGTCACTGTCGTCGTCTTGGGCCCCCCTCGGGCCCCCTCCAGGGCATCCCCTCGGGGCCCCGTGCCCCCCTCGGGCACCCGTCAGGGCCCCCTCGAGGCCCCCTCGGGCCCGCTCTCGGATCGTCGTCGTCGGTGTCATCGTCTCGGAGGCCCGCTCGGGCCCCTCTTCGGGGCCCCCTTCGGGGCCCCCCCGAAGCTCCCTCGGGCCTCGCCCTCGGATCGTCAACGTCGGTGTCGTCGTGTCGGGCCCGCCCCCCTCCCGCCAGATCCCCCCCTTCGGATGGTCGTCGTCGGCGTCATGTGTTGACGGCCTCGGCGGCCGTTCAAGGCCCCTGGAAGCCGAAAGTTGCGGAAGCTCCCCTCATGTTTTTTTTTTGAGCAGGGGCCAGCCATCCCGGCATTCCTATAGGCCTACCACGACATGCTCTCAGAACCCAGGAATGTTCTGATAGCAACAACAGAGTGTTCTTAGAATGAAAACCCGATGCGCTGAAACAGGCCAGTCTCGGCCAGAACTGCTCCACGAACTCATCTTGCGCAGACCACAAAAGCAGGTTCTTAGACATGTCTTCGTTGGCACATGGGCGAGCCAGGACGCTCCGCCTCTGCTTGAAATGTTCGCCGACGGCTCGAAGCAGCTGGGGCCGCCCAGCCCCCTCTGGACGGCCGCCGTGCCTCTGCGTCGCCCAGCAGCAGCGGCGTCACCGCATCGCCCAGCCGGCGAAGACACCGCTCGGCCTCCTCGGCCGCCGCGCCGCGGGCGGCGGCGCCGGCATCGTTGGCGCTATCGCGCGCCTCGCCGCGGCGGGGGGCGGGGGGGGGGGCACCCGGCGCCGCCGACACCGCCGCGGCCACCCAGCGCCGCCCCAGGCACCGCACTGCAGCGCCGCCGACGCCGCCGCCGCCCAGCGCCGCCGCCGGCACCGCCGACGCCGACGCCGCCGCCGCCGCCGCTGCCGCCGACGTCGCCAGGTCTGCCCTGGGCAGTGCCTCTGCAGAGATGTCTGCTATACGAATCCCCGACCCCACTCCGATGGGACCGTCAATGGCCGACGTGGTGTGAAAGAGCGGAACACAGCGAGGACCCTCGGGGAGGGGAAGGAGGGTGCGTCGAGTTGCAGGTCTTAGCCAGATTCGCTACAGAGAGAGGCAGAGGGCAGAAGAGAGATGGGACACACGAGCGACCTGGCAACACGAACGCGGAAGGAAGACGGAGGAGGGGATGAAGGATGGTCGATGGGATCGGGAAACGGAGGAGGATGGATAAAACATTGCGGATGGAAGGAAAAGGAAGGAGTGCGACAGGACGAAGCGAGGAGGGAGGGGGGACAAATTCAGATTCTGGCTGGCTTTCCGCACAAGTGCCAGACACCTGCGCAAGACCATGCTTGTTTAACTTTATCTTGTGGCGCCGCTTGGCCTGAGGCCGAAACCATTCCGGTACACCAGAGCAATGAACAAAACCAAGTGTATTCGTAAACACAAGAAATAAAAATTCAACGTTAGACATTGACAAAAAAGGCAGCAACAAATTCAGAGGATTCGCAGCCCTCGTGCAGGTGGCGCCGTTGCCGCGCGGTTTCTGCAGAGCGTACGCGTTGCAGCGACCAGGACGACACCTGCGCGCGGACTGCGCGCGGGGGCGGCACGTGCCGCATGGGCACCACGAAGTGCACAAGCCGCACGGGCCGCACGATCCAAGTGGTCCATCTCGCCAGCCCGTGCCGCACGGGGCAAGGGGGTCTCGTAGGGACCCCCGCTGCAGGTCGGCCCCGCGCCAACCAGCCGAGCAGCCTGGCGAGTGCCGAGCCGATCAGGCCAACCAACCAGATCCCGAGATGCGCCTCTCTCTCTCTCTCTCTCTCTCTATTTATATTTAGAATATGGCACGACCCCCAAGTGAGTGTCTGAGTGAGAGCGTATAAGCCTCTGGCGACTGAGCGTTCCCCGGCGGCTCATCCTTGAGATACACGAGTAACATGCTTGCTGCATCGTGATGGTCATTGGACTCAGAAAGGGAAAGGCTCATGGGTGCCCAAACCGGCGTTTCTCTTGGAACGTCCCCAGAACCTGGTTGTGCACGGGCAAAGGTGTAACACCCCCTGGCGCCCCCCCCCCCCCCCTCGCGTAGCACACCGCTGCGCACTGAATGTCCGCCACCGTGCCTCTGGGCACGGCGTGGGCGTGTCCTGAGGTCCTGGACCCAGTCCTCTACGCCTCAATCCTCACTGCTGAGGCGCTTTTGAAGGGGCCCGGGCCCCAAATTCACCAGTCTCCCAGGGCTTGGCGCGCGCCCTCTGGGGCTGGTAGCGTGCCCCCTGGGCTCCGGGATGCTGTCGCATCAGTTGTGCGAGGCACAAGAGGGCCCCAAGACGGGCCACGAGGGCCCCAAGAGGTCCCCCAAGACAGTCCAAGAGGGCCCCGAGTCGCCGAAAGATCGCTCCAAGAAGCTCAGGATGGCCCCCAGGCGGCCCAAGAGGCCTCCAAGACGCCCGAAGAGGCCTCCGACAGGCCAAAATCATTGCTTTCTCGTCGGGTGTTGAAGGATTTCTGCGTTCTCGCCTTTTCGGCTTCCCGACGCCCCCAGACTAGGGCCCCCCCACGACCTGCCCAAGATGGCCGTCCCTCAAGAAATCCCCAAAACGGCGCAAGAGGGCCCCAAGACGGCCCAAAAGGTGCCCCAAACTGCCCAAGAAAGCCCCAAGACGGCCCCAGAAGGGGCCCAAGAGAGGGAGCAGGAACCGAATATCCAAGGCTTCCGCCCCAAGAGACACCAAGCCCCAAGAGGCGCCCAGGAGGCCCCACGATGCCCGAAGAGGTCCTAAGAGGCCCGCAAGAAGTACACAAGAGACCACAAGAGGCCCCGAAGCGGCTCCCAAGAGGCGTCCAAACTGCCTCCAAGAGGCCCCCAAGATGCCTCCCACGAGATCCCGACGAACATCCAATAGGCTTCATACCTACAACTCAGGCACGGTGACGGGATGGGCCGACGGCCATTCGATATACGAACAAGTGGGGATTAGCTGCAACAGATAGTCTGAGAGACACGATGCCGTCTTGGGTTTGACGAACTGCTCTTTGCTGGGTTGACCCCAATTGGATAATGAAGTTTTGGACGCGCACTCAGTCGCAAGACGGGTGAGGGAGAGAAAGAGGAATAATGACAGGAAGGAGGAGGCAAACTGATTATCAGAGTGCGGGGGAGAGCGGTCCTATTCCATCCATGGGTGTGTGTGTGTGTGCCTGAAGTGGGCTTTCGCGGTGAGGAGGTATAAGATCGGGGTCGGTTCGGGGAGGGTACCCTGATGTTCTTCGTGTGTGTTGGATGTTCTTGTGCAGCCTGGGGAGGGTGCCCTTGGATGTTCTGTATGTGTTGGCATACGGAAGGTCTCGTGTACTTGCGGGGTGTTTTTGTTCTGGCCTATGTCCGACTGTAGTCCGACCAAACCTGCATACAATTGTCAAACTTCCGTACTAGCGGCGCTCTCCCCTCGGCGCGGGCAGCAGACCGCCAGCCTTACCTGCAGGCCGCGGCAAGTTTGAGAGCAAATCGTGCAGGTGTCTCGGCAGGAGCCTTAAACAAACGGCTCAGATGATTGCGCTGGACAACATGGGCGAATCAAACGCAAGTTTGACGAAAACCGAAGTCGCAATGATGTCCCAACTGATTGGGCCAACTTGACTGCCACCAGCTTCCGTCGAACGCCGCGGAGCAGGAGTCCGACGATCAAAGTGGATGCTTGTGCAAGCGAGCGTCTCGTGGAGAATGTTGCGGAGCTTAGTCCCCATCTTCTACGTCGTGTAATCTTGTTATCCGTGTCTCACCTCCGCTTACTCACTCCCGCTCCCTCCCTCCTTCTTCAACTCACCATCAGAATCATCGCGATGTGGCCGGCATTGCACTTGGGCAACACAAGGGGGAGCCGCCAGGGGTAGGCCACTCACCAATTCGTTCCCAGATCGTGGGGGTGTCTCCAGCGGCTCGCTTGTGTTACGGATGTAGGGGCCTCTCGTTTCAGGGCCGCGTGGTGCTCGCAATGTTGCAAGCATCGCACTTGGGAGCCACAAGGAGGAGCGACCACGGGGTAAGACACATGCCCAGTGACGTCCAGCACGTGGCGGTATCTCAGGCGAAGCGCTGGTGTGCATGGTTTTCCGTGGCCGCCACGTAACAGGCGAATCGTGTGACCGCCCCAGAAAGGCGGGGGGTGGGGGGGGCGCAGGGGGGCGCAAGGGGTAGCCCAGATTGTGGGGATGTCTCAAGCGAACAGCCACCTTTGAATGTTAAGCATTTTTCTCAGGCATTGGCAATCGAATCGTAGCAGTCATCGCACTTGGGCGTCAGAGGGGGGAGGCGCTAGCGAACAACACACTTGCCCGTTCGCGCCCAGATTGTGGCGGTCTGCTCGTTGTGCGGAACAGACCCCTCTCTCTTGAGGTCCTTGTGGTCACCGCGGCAAAGCAGGCGTGGCACTTGGTCGCCCCAAGGAGGAGCAACCGACGAGTAGAACGCGTGCTTGTTCGCGCCTACAACGTGGAGATGTCTTCATCGGTTTGCAGCGTCTCGTGGATCAGGTTCCTTTTCTTTGAGATCCACATGATCGCCGCGGCATGGCGGGCGTAGCGGTTGAGCACCCCAAGGACAAAGGATGTACATATGACACTTGCCGGTTCTCGAGAATGTCACGGGGAAATCTTGGGCATTTTGCTCGCTCTCCGGATCAAGAGCCGCTTCTTACATACGCCGCATCGTCACCGTGACAGATCAGGCGTGGCAATTAAACGCTCCCGGGACGAGGCGCCAAGGATGGGGGCACTTGCCCGCTCGCGCCCAGAACAAGCTTGCTCTCCCCTGCTCACACTCAGTTCGTCGCAGACTCAGTTAGGCATGCTCAGGCTCGTTCATACTCTGACATATTCAGAATGAGATCACCCATACGCAGGCCACACGCACTCAGTCCAATTCATACTCAGACTCGTTCGTACTCTGACTTGCTATTCCTCCTCGGATTCAATCGCGCTCAGAGTCTCTCGCACTCAGACCCATCCACCCTCAGACTAACTCGCACTAAGGCCCACCCCGCTCAGACCACGCTCTTGATTATCCAGCTGCGCCGTCCTCCATGCGAAGGCATCTCCACGTAATTGGTGCCAACGGCGTGTTCGACGCGACAGCACTCCTCAAGACATCCCAGCGCGGATGTGCAGATGCTGTTCGCAGTGCGGCGAAAAGCACGGCCGTCGTCCTGTGGCTCAGGACTCACATCCCAGATCATCCGGATCGATTGCTCTGGGGACTTGGCACAGCCCAGCGCCAACGCGCAACAAGGGCTCAGGATTCACATCACGCAGCGATTGCTCTGGTGACTGAGGCTACACACAGCCCTGCGCCAGAGCATAACAACATCAACATGTCGTCTGCTGCCAGTCATGCCCGGGGCCTGCCGTCAGTGCACCCGTGTGTCCGCACTGGCTCGGGGCTGCTGAGCAGGCCCTTCTGTTCACATCCTGTGGACTGGCAGCTGTCTTTGGCGGCGCGCACAAATGCGTAGGGGGAGGGGGGAGGCTCACTGGAAGGAGGCTGCTTCTTAGAAGGCGCGGGCCTTAAATCTACAGACAAGGCCCGCGCCATCTAAGAAGCAGGGGTGCTTCTAAGAAGCCAGCCCCACTCCCCTTACCCCCCTCTGCGCGTGGCCGATGTCTGCAATCGACGGTCTCCGTGCTCGCCTTCATACTCGCCTGGCGCAAGCCAGAGGCCGTAGCCTGGGCCACTGCGGTTTTGCTCTGCCCTTGTGCAAGTTCTCCCGCTGCCTGGCGAGCCTCCTGACAGGGCGCGGCATGGGCCTCCAGCCAGAGGCCGAGGTTTAGAACACACCGTTGTTGTTGGACAAACGTACGACGTCGAATGTTCGGGCCTGAGGATGAAAAGTTGAACCGCGGATCTATCCAAAACACAGAAGTGAATCTGGCCCTGGCGATGACGCCCAGAGAGGTGGAACAACGCGAAAGACCTCCGACTCTCCATCCCTCCTCCTTTCTTCCTGGACCTCTCGACCAATTCCCCAGTGCCAAATGTTCATCCCACGTTATCTGGGTTACAGGTCCTGGGGCCAGAAGCTGGCATACGTTGCAAAAAAAACACAAACAAGCGTGCTCGAGCCGCCAAATGCCTGGGGATTGGGTCAAACATCAGACCCCAGGCCTGTTCTGGGTTGCGCTCTGCCCAGAATTTGGAATGCATGTCAACCGTGGGGGCGATGACGCCCCTGGAGATCCACAACGGACTAAACACACACACACAACACACACACACACACTCACACACACTCACACACACACTCACACACACACACATATATACACATATACTCAAAACAATCGATCCTGGAACCTCGATGCTCCATGTCCTCTCTCCTTCCGTCCACCCCCCCCGACCTCTCGATCCCTTCCGCTTGTACGTCCAGACCAGTTGTGTGTCCGAGGTCCGCAAACCCAAGACGACAGAACACCAAGGCCGTCTCCGAGATTCCGAGCTCCTGAAGACCAGATCCTCCTACATCCTCCTCCTGTCCCCGCGAGACTCGTCCTGCTGCTCCCCCATCCTACATTTAGGTAGAGCATGTCCTCGTACAGGGAGACTACTGCTCACAACTTAACCATGCCCCAAAATAAAACAAAAAACAAAAGTAACAAAACAATAGTCCCCAGACTATGTTCTGACTATGTTGGATTACTCCTCCTGTAAAGGGACAGGCCCGACCTAATCCTAGATCCTCACCCTCCCTCTTCCTCCCTCCTCCTCCTCCTCCTCCTCCGCCTCCTCGATCCTCCTCTTTCTTCTCGATCCTCGATCTTGTTCGACCCTCGCCCCTCCCTCCTCCTCGCACTTCATAGTCCTCGCTCCGTCCTCCTCGATCGTCGGGCCCCTCGAGCCGCCTCCGCGATCTTCGGCCCTCAAGCCCCCCTGGTCCTTGAGCATCCTCGTCCATCCCCACCCAGTACAACGTGTCGTGTCCCATAAGGGGGCTCCACCGAAGGCCTCGGTGGCGGTGTTCGCATGCGTCTCCCCCAACCAATACAGCGATTCGTGGCCCCATAGGGGGTCTTACGGAAGGCCTCACTGGCGGTGTTCGCATGCGTTTCTCCACGCAGTGCATCGCTTCGTGGCCCCATATTGAGGGATGAAAAAAAACCCTACCCTGGGTTGCCAGTGCGTGGCCTGTACGCCCCCTGGGAACTCCCAAAGCCTAGAGAGCCGCCAGAACGCCGCAGATCACGCAGGGTTTACCCTGTCAGCCCACAGGAGTTTTAGCGCACAGCGCCCCGAAAACCAGGGTAGAGGCGCTTTTATGCCCATGCCATCGGGAGCTCCCTCGAAGGCCCCAGTGGCGATGTACGCATGCGCCTCCACCACCCAGACTCCCCTCGATTCCCCTCCTCGGTGCTCGCGCCATCCTCGAGCCCGCGACCTTCCCGGCCACACCCCCCGACCCTCATCCAGCGGCCACTGCTGCGCAGACGACGCCGACGCCGGGGTCGAACTAGGGGGCCGATCAAAGGTGCTCCCGGCCCAAGGCTCCCCCTAGAGTTAGGTCGGGCATGTCCCCCTACAGGCGGATTTTGGATGAAAAAACAAGAATAGTCAAGAAATAAACCCAAATAGTCTAACATAGTAAAAAACAAAATCGTCCCCAGACTATGTTTGATTATTTTTGGATATTCCTCCTGTAAAGGGAAAGGCCCGACTTACCCCTAGAACCCCTGGAGGCCTCCTGGATGGGGTCAGGATAGATGGTGCCGGAGGATCGCGCCGCATCGCCGATGCTTCGGTGATGCATCGGAGGGGGAGGGGTCCTCCTCCTCCTCCTCCTCCTCTTCCTCCTCCTCCTCCTCCTCCTTTTCTTTGTTCTCCTCCTCCTCCACCTCCACCTCCTCCCCCCCTCCAACTTGTGGTGGTGGTGGTGGAAGACAGGCCCATCATGGGGCCACCCTGGGCCCGGAAGCCCACAGAGTATACAGCAACAGCGCCAGGGGAGCCGCCGCGGCCTCGTCGGGCCCTCATCCGTGTCGGTCCAGCACGCACGCCGCGACCGGCTCCTCCGACCGAGGGCGTCTGGAGCTGTCCCTCCTCCGATGTGGACACCCGAAGTGGGTGCGGACGAAAGGGGCGCGATGCCCAGCAGCAAATGTCGTCCGAAGCCGACAGCGGCCGCCGTTGGGCAGGCGGTCTTCTGTCTCAAATGAAAACGTCCGCGGCAACACCGACAGCGCGTCATGTTCAAAAAGATCCGGAAATGCTGTCGGTATTCGAACACACTCTTCCCATACCCATGAAGCACCTGTTGTTTTTTCGGCGATGCCCCAGGTTACTCGCTAGGGGGGGAGATGCCAGCCGATGACCTAATCTTTTCGCTTGGGGCAACCACGAGGATGCCCGCAACGACCGCTCAAGCGTACGTAACCCCCTCGGTCCTGCGTAGCCGACTTGGTCAGGTTATTTGAAGGCGGGGGGGCGGGCCCGATAATAGGGAAACAAACAATGACATAAACATAACAACTCGGAAGTCCGCGCGGATTTCTTGGGTCCGCGCTGGAACGCGCCAGGGGGGCCCAGCGCAGATCCGAGACATCCGCGCGGACCTCCGAGTTTTTATGCTTATGTCATTCTTCGTTCCCCTAGTTGTTCGAGAGGGGGGGGGAGGCGGGCGGGCCCGATGACCCGGGGTCACCAATCCCAATCCTTCCTGTGTCTGGACCTGGTAGGTTTCCCCGTGCTGAGTCACATGAAGCCGCAGGCTCCACTCCTGGTGGTGCCCTTCCGTCAATTCCTCTGAGTTCAGCCTTGCGACCATACAGTCGGGGCGCTGAAGGAGGAACCCTTTTCGTTGGGGAGAGGCTCGGTGTTCCTTGATTGTTTAAGAGCTTGCCTCAGGTTATCCTGAGGTTTCCCGTGCGAAATCGAAGCTTGACTTATGGGGACAAGGGGCCTCGTTCCTTATCTAGGCTTCCTTGGGTCAACGCCCCGACTGCCCTCCCCCCGGAACCCAAAGACTCTGATTTCTAAGGAGGGCCGTTGCCCCTGCAGCGCGCAGCGCCGGCGAGGACGGCGGCCACGGGGCCTTGCGGGCCGCGGCCAGGCGGCTCAGCAGGCGCGACAGGCCCTGCCGCGCGGCCTCGGCGCGGCGTCGCCCTGGCCTCATCGCCCTGGCCTCCTGCCTCCCTCCTGCTTCCTCGTCCTCCTCGTCCTCCTCGCCCTTCCTCCCCCCTCGTCCTCGTCCTCGTCCTCGTCCTCCTCCTCCTCCTCCTCCACCGTCCCCCCTCCTCCTCCTCCTCCGCCTCCTCCTCCTCCTCCCTCCAGTACTTTTCGTTATGAATAACTTCTCTCTGTCGCCCGATGCCAGGTTTTAGGGCGGGCCGGGCGTTTCGCCTGAAACTTCCTCACCATCTATGACCCCGACGCTTAAACAGAAGAGACAGTTTCGCAGATGGACGGCGGGTCGTTTTCATAATGTGGTGTTTGCCTTAGCGCCGAGCGCATGTGTTAACAACGCTTACAAGTGTTTCGCGGGTGGAGAGCGGATCGTTTTCAACATGTGCTCTAATGTTAACGCCGCGCACATTCTTTTTACAACATATAGAAAGAAATTGACGGATTGAAGGCGGGTGATTTTCGAAATATGGTTCTCGCCTTGGCGCCGCGCGCACTCGTCTTAGAAATTTGCAAGCGTTTCACGAATGGAGGGCGGGTCGTGTTCAAAGTCTGGTTCTCGCACTGGCGCCGGGCACATTTGTTTTGAAAAACAGCCAGGATTTCACCGATTGAAGGCTTGTGGTGTTCAACATGTGGCTCTCGCCTTAGCACCGCGCACATTCGTTGTATAAATGTGTAAAGAGTTTCACGGATTGGGTTGCTTCAGGGTCTTCAAACGGTTGTCGTCCCACGAGGCCGTTCCCCCAGTGGAAATGAACCGTTGTATGAGGCCTATGGAGAGGAAGCTTGGAGGGAAGGGTCATCCCAACATCGTTGATGACTCGTGGGTCCGTAGCCATTTTGGCTCGAGTCCGTAGCGTCTCGGCTCAGGACCTGACCTTTCTGGCAAGGGGGAGTGACGGCCCCCACAAGTATCCCCTCGTTTGCCAGGTCAGACGAGGTGTTTCGGCGTTTACGAGCTCCTGCAGGAGCACTCCCCAGAACGACTACACCAAGAGTCCGCTTGGCCAGCCCATGGCGCCTGTTCCCGGTGGTTGGCATGGTACGTGGAACACTGTCAATGGGAAGGGGACAGCAGCTCCTCCGCCTCCGCCGCCGCCGCCACCTAGAGCTTCGACCTCTCGGTGCACGGTGTGCGGATGCAGGAAGAACGCGATCTCGGCTCAGTGGTGCGAGCATTGCCATTCACCTCTGCCTTGCGTTCCTGCTGCTGTCCCTTCTGTGCAATGCGGCTATGGCGGTCAGCGGTTCCCTCCTCCTGGCTACTTCCTCGGCAAGGGCGCGCGCGGCTACTCCGACCCCTGGGTTGGCTACGGCAAGGGCGGAGGCCAGCCTGGCGGTCAGCCAGCTGGAGGTGGCCAGGGCGCTGGTCAGGGTGTCTCTCAAGCTGGAGCTGGCGACGGCAAAGATGGCGGTGGTGGACACGGCAAGGGCCTCCCTTTGCCAGTGGGCCGTGTCCCAGCCCTGTCCAAGGATGAGGCTACACAACTTGCGACGTTGTCAGACAAAGCGGGTGACACGGCCAGTGCCACGAAATACAGAGATTTGGCTGCACTGGAGCACCCTCCCGAAGTGGAGGATCATCAAGCCTTGCAGTCTCAGCACGCGGCTGTACGTCGCGCCGAAATGAAGTGCGAAGGCGACTTGGAGAGGCTGCTCCAGCTCCAGAAGCAGATTCAAGAGCAGTTAGACAGAGTTCGTGAATACAGGAAGGCGCTGGAGGGCGCTGGTGCGGAGTACCAGAGGCGGGGGCAAAGCTCAACGAGTCGACCAAGGCTTCGGCGAGTGCGGCTGCGGCCCCTGTCATGCCGTGCATCACGATGGCCGACATTGTCAGCGGCAACGTGGACTTCACGAAGTTGAGGTATCTACTGAGGATCGTGAGGGGCTCGCCAAGCGCTCGACCGACTTTGCCTCGTCTACCAATGAGATGGCAGCTACGCTGTTCGCGGGCGCACTCGAGCAGTCCAAGGCGGCCACCGAGCGGCACCAGGCCCACATCGCTCGGATGGCTGCGAAGAAGCGGCGAGGCAATGGCAATGGCGGAGAGGCAGCCGCTGGTAGTGGCCCAAGTGCGCCGAGGGCAGCACCTGGGCCACAGGCGGCGGCCATCCCTGTGCCAGAGGTGGGCGAAGCCGAGCGTATTGGCGAGGGGGCTCCTGCTGCCACGTCTTCTGAGCCGACTGGGCCTGCTGCCTCAGGTGGCGTGCGTGAGAGGATCGGCTCGGTCCTTGCTTCAGGTGCTCCCCCCCCCTCGGCAGATGTCTGAGGGGGTGTATGTGTGTCCTACTTCGGGCCTTGGAGTGGGCTATCGTGCTAGCAATCTGTTCGATTAGTTGATGTTTTGGCCTCTCGGGTCTCCCCGATCGGGCCCAAGATGCGGCAAGCTGGAATTCGTCTTTTCAAATCCGTTTTGGGTCTCCCTGGAGCCGCCAGCACTAGGTCCACCAAGTTTTGGCCTGCCCCGCTCGCTCCTGGTGAAGTCCTGTTGCCCCCCCGTCCTCTGTGGTCCTCGCAGGCCTCCTGCGGTGCTCCTGAGGCCCCTCAGGCTCCTGACCCACGACCTCTTCCTGCTGTTCCTCCTGACTCTGACATGTCTGGTCTGGAAGATATTTCGTTGAGAGTGTTCACCATCGATTGCAGTGGTTGGGGCACCCTCAAGAGTTTCCTGGAGAGCTCGTCAGCCCATGTGGCTATTGCCCAAGAACGCCGCCTTCGCTCTCGTGAAGAACTTGCTCAGGCCTCCAAAAGCTCGAAGGGTCTCGGTTGGCAGTCCCTGTGGGCCCCTGGTCTTCCTGGTGAAGGAGGCGGAGTCAGCTCGGGAGTCTCTGTGCTGGTCATGGACGGCCTCGGCTTGTATGAGCATCCTGACACGCTCGTGCTGGTGGAGGGCCGTGCTATCGCTGTCTTCATCCACGTGCCAGGCTGCGCCTCGTTCTGTGTGGCGTCGGTCTACTTGCACCATTTGCAAGGACTCTCGGACGGGAACATGGAAATCCCTCTAGTGTTGGATCGTAGTTGGATACCCTCAGCTGTGATGTCACTATTGCTGGGGACTTTAATTGTTCCCCTGGGGTCCTGGACCAAACGAATTTCTCGGAGCTTGTGGAAGGTGAAGTTGTTACTGCCAGTGGCCACACTCACTTTCCCAGCTCGGGCCCCCCAGATGTTTTTCCCGACCTGGGCTCTGCCCAGAAGGGTTCTTACCCTGTTCTCTTAAAGGGTCGGGAAGTGTAAAACGCCCCGGGCGGTTCCCCCGGCATCCGCCCCGTGGTTCGCCCAGTGACGTCCCCTTAGCTTAGCGTTGCTTATCTCATCTTAGCTTAGCTTATTTCATCTTAGCTTTGCTTAGTTTCATCTTAGCCCAGGTGTATTCCCTACCTAGGCTCTGCCCAGAAGGGTTCTTACTGTGTTCTCTTGAAGGGCCGGGCAGTGTAAAACGCCCCGGGCGGTTCCCACGGCATCCGCCCCGTGGTTCGCCCAGTGACGTCCGCTTAGCTTAGCGTTGCTTATGTCATCTTAGCTTAGCTGATCTCATCTTAGCTTAGTTTATTTAATCTTAGCGCAGGTTAATCTTAGCTTAGCTCATCTTCATCTTAGCTTCGCCGAGTTTTAGCATAGCAGAGCACAGCACAGCATAGCATAGCGTAGCACAGCATAGCGCAGCACAGCATATCATAGCATAGCCCAGCATGGCCTAGCATAGCGCAGCATAGCATAACATAGCAGAGTATAGCGCAGCACAGCACAGCACAGCATAGCACAGCGTAGCATAGCATATCATAGCATAGCATAGCGCAGCTTAGCTTATCATAGCATACCATAGCATATCAAATCATCGCATAGCACAACACAGCATGGACTAGCATAGCTTATCATATCGTACCATAGCGTAGCATAGCATAGCGCAGCATAGCATAACATATCACAGCATAGCATAGCATAGCGCAGCACAGCATGGCATAGCATAGCAACGACCGCTGCTTTCCTGGGGGCTCAAACTTCTAGGTATGGTCGCACTGGGGTAATTGTTGTTCGTTACGTCCAAGAGTTTGAGCAAATGCATTAAAGAAGTCCGAGTCGTTACCGAGGCTGGTCTGTCTCGAGCGGGCTGGGCGGTGGTCATGGTTTCTGAACCTGGTGAGCGCCTGGGCACCCTCAAGGGACCTCTTTGGGCCCCTTGGCCTCAGACCCCTCAGGGCTCGGAGTTCGGAGCTTTGGCCTATACGCCGAAGGCCCCTCGGTGTGCTACTCTGATTGTGCTAATGCAGTTTTACACCAAGCCCTGGGAGCCAGGGATGCCATGAGTGCGCAGCGACAGTACTCGGGGCATGTGCTCCAGGCCCGCCACCACTTCGGGAATGTTTGCATAGCGCTCCACAAGGTTGATGCGCATAGGGATGTGGAGGAGCTTGGTTTGAGTTCGGAGGAGAGGTTTCGCCTTCTCGGCAACTTTTACGCCGACATTGCGGCCAAGGAAGAGGCTCGGCAGCACCCGACCTTGTCCCTCGTGGGGGCGTCGGAGTTAGACCGACGCATCCAGATTGCGCGTGCTGTTCTCAGCTGCTGCCCCTGTGGCCTCGCCTTGAGTTTCGAGGGACGCCGAGAGACGCCTTCATTGCAAGTCTCCCACACGTGGCTCCGTGTGGCTCGTTTTGGCAGTGTAGAGTGTGTCTCTTCGGGTCCAGGTCCTCGGCCCCGCCTGTGTCTGGAGACTGTTGCGGCCGTTCAAGGTTGGACCGGGACGAGCTTCTCAGGCTCGGCCACCGTGTCATCGCTTTTCCTTGCAGCGACAACAGTCACTTGTTCTTGTGCATGAGTTGCAAAGCTTACAGCAGCGGTGCTCGGGTCATGAAGCTGGGGCAAGCTTGCTCCAACCCGACTGTGTCTGGTTTGAGAAATCTTCGCCGTATCCGGAGGGGACTGCATCCTGAGAAAGATCAGGTGACACTTGGCATGGATGAATGTTTAACTCGCTGCTGTTATTTGAATTTAGTTTTCGCTGGTTTGGCCACAGAGCCAGCGAGGCACTGCTCACCTGTGGCGTGGCGTTGCGGCCAACAAAAATGAGTCTTGGGTTTGCCCTCCTCCTCCTCCTCCTCCTCTTACGTGCCCTTCCTCCTCGCCTCCCCTCCTTCAATTCCTCTCCTCCCTCCCTCCCCCAGCTCCTCGTCCTCCCTCTTCCCCTCCGGCTCAGGTCAAGGAGATCTGCTCGCTGCGAGGCAGCACTCGCTCCTCAGCGGCTTACATTCGACCGCGCTGCTCGGCCCTGGCACCTTCTTGCGTGCTGCAAGAGCTCGCTGCAGCCAAGTGGACAAGAAGGCCGCATCGCCGAGCCACCCTCGGAACCGGCGCCGCGAAGAGCGAACCTTTTCCATGAACCCACCTACAGAAAGAAACCGAGCAGGGAAGGACTGTTCAGAGCCTCCCTCCCTCCCTCCCTCCCTCCCTCCCTCCCTCGACCCCTCTCCCACGGGGGCACCCCTTCGCTCACGCGAACCCCTGCCGCGTGGCTCCACAAGGGCCCGAGGACGCGCCCCGGGAGGCCGACGCACATCCAGGGCGAGCCGCCGCGTGGAAACTCGCAGCGCCCGAAGCATGAGATGCCTCTTGCTGTGGAGGGCGAGGGGGGGGAGGAGGAGGAGGAGGAGGAGGAGGAGGAGGAGGAGGAGGAGGAGGAGGAGGAGGAGGAGGAGGAGGAGGAGGAGGAGGAGGAGGAGGAGGAGGAGGAGGAGGAGGAGGAGCGCCGCCGTTCTCGTAGGCCCATCCGTTCAAACCGCCTCCAATCAGGCTGTCGATCCGAGGGCGAGGGGGGGGGAGGAGGAGAAGGCCTTCTCAAAGGCCCCTCGCCTTCTGAACAGCTTTTTCTGTCTTCGGGGGAGGCACAGGACAAATTTGAGAAGGCCGGGGGGCTTCTCCGAGCCTTCTGAAAACGGCCGCCCTTTCTCACTTCCCCCCTCGTTCGCCGCCGATCCTGAGGAATGGGGGTCGGAAAATCGTGACGCATCGCCGATGCATCGGCGCCGTCGGCGTGGAGAAAGCCGGGCTCCGCATCGCATCGCCAATGCACTATCGGCGATGCCGTGCACTCCTCCGCCCCCATCTGCCCGTATGCCCCTGATAATAATCATCTCCAGGGGATCATAAAGTTCCGGGCCACGGGGGGATAATCAATGTCATGGGAGGAGGAAGACGGGCGGGGGATACTTTATTATCGGGGGCGTGGTTTGTTATTGCGACGCGCGCGCAGAGCGAGTGGTCAAGCGCCTCGGCGGCGCCGTGCCCAGCTCGGGCGCGCGTGCCGAATTCGGGGTGGAAGGGGGGAGGGGACCGCCGCACACGACCCGCACAAGGGAGCGCAGGACTGCGAAGGGGCGCGGGGGCTGCCCCGACCCCATCTGGACCGCGCGCGGGGGCGGGGCGGCGCCGCAGCCTTCGCCGCCTGCGCGGGGCCGCGGCCCTCCACGCACCACCTCGGCCGCGCGGCCGCGCTCCCCAGCGGCGCGTGTTCTTTTTGTTTTCCGCGGCGGCCACGCGCCGACGTCTGCGCGCCGAGGATCGTCCCTGCAGATCTGATGTTGGAGTGACAGAAGATTGAAGGCCTGGACATCGGCACCAACAATTGGCCTCCACAGGGGGAGGATGGATGTAGATTTTGGTGTTGGTGGTGATATGTCGGTCACCTTGGAAGCCAGAGAATTGCCACCATCATCGCGATCGGGGTCTTCTTCCCTCGGTGGAAGCACGCCGCCGATATTGGTGTTGGTGTCAACCTCAAGGCCTGCGAAGGAGAGGGGACTGCACAAACTGAATGCACAGATGGAGAGCACGCGAAGTACGAGTCTGAACAATGGGTCATCTGATCCTGGAACTTATGAAGAAGCGAGGATCGAGACTCAGCGGACGAAGAAAAAACTGCAGCATACGTAGAGGAAGCGCGCACATCGAAACAAGCAAGGCCTCCAAGTGTGGACTAACCAAAGACAGCACTGCACAACCATTACTTTGGGGAAGTCCGCGCGCATTTTCTGGATTGGCGGCGGACCCCCCAGGCGGCGCCTCCAGTCCTGGCACGAAATCCACGCGGACCTCCGACACTTCGTGCTGATGAGACTTCTTGTTCATCCATCTGACGAATCACATATGCCTCTCAGAGGTCCTGACGTGACATGCGGCCCGCCTCTGGCGAGCGGAGCGTGCCAGGAAGGGAGGCTCCAGGTCGCAGTGGAGGTACACGCCGGTCGGAAGAAGTAGGTAGAAACATGAAGCAGGAAGGCGGACAAAGCAGATTGGCTTCGGGCCCGCCCAGAAAATAACAAGAAACGCCCAACACACATCGACCCTTGAAGTAGGAGGGCGCTTGCAGTAGACTGGGCTCCGGGAGTCCAGAAATACCCACTTTCAACGGCCGACGCGTAATCAGGCAGCGCGAGCTCGTCGCTAGTGGCTTATAAGACCTCACGTGACGCGCGGCGGCCCGCCCCTCTCGCGGGCCCAGAATGTGGAGCTCGATGGTAAAGGGGCCCAGGGACACACAAATGAATCCACAAACTTCCCAGGACTCCCGATATTTCCCTATATTTCCTGGGTGTTCGCCTTTCCCCCCCCCCCCCACACGTTCCATATTTTCCAGCATTTTCCTGGGAGTCGACGATTCATTGTGTCTGTGTGTGTGTTTTTGTGTGTGCGTGTGTGTTTTTGTGTGTGTGTGTTTGTGTGTGTGTTTTTGTGTGTGTTTGTGTGTGTGTGTGTTTCTTTCCCTCCTGAGATGGGCGCGGGCCAGTCGCCCAATGGCCCACAAGACACTCGGAGTCGGAGGACAGAGATTCACGGATGCGCTTGAATGTCATCTTTGAAGGGGCCCCAAGACACACAAATAAATACACACAAATAAAAAGATTCCCCATATTTTCGTATATTTTCTGGGTTTCTGTCTTCCCCCCCACTTCCCATATTTTCCATAGTTTCTGGGGAATCGAGGATTAGTTGTGTCTGTGTGTTTCTTTTCCTCCTGAATCTTGGGCGTTCCAGAAACCATGAACCCCCAAACAACATGAGGCTGGGACGCACAAGCACATACCAGTACTATACGGTCTCCCTGGAGGCGCGCGCCCGCCCCGATCGTACAGTATACCCATCTTGTAGCAGTTCGTTTCCCGAGCGGTGCGGCCAGAACGCGCCCGTCACGGCGCATATAATTACCAAAAGATTTCTCGGTGCGCGCCTCGCCCCCTGGAGGGCGAAACCGCACACATAGTATCAGCATGTTGGGGCGGCGCCGGTGAGGAGGATGGCCCCGGTCGGCCAGGCAGGGAGGCAGGACACGGCTTCCTTCTGCGTGCCCAGGGCCCGTTTAGCTGCGTCCAGACGTGGCCGCGAGACAGGGGCCCCTGCCAGGCCGCTGCAGGGCGGAGAGCGCCCACCCAAATCCTCGGGGGCGCGCTGCCGAAGACACCCGCTGGAGGCCTCCCACTGTGGGCAGGAGCAGCTGGGGCGGAGGACCGCACGGCATCGCCAATGCATCGCCGGTGCGCCGGCGACGTCGGGACGGGAAAATCAGACTCCGGATCGCGCCGCATGGCCGATGCGTCGCTGTCCTCTGATGACATCACCCAATCTGCTCGGACCCCATGCGCAGATGTCCCGAAAACGTGGTACATTGTCAATTCTAGATCCCAGAGCTCCCAACCCTTTCCTCGGGGCAAACGCTCTCGGTCTGGATGAAATGTCGATGGCCTGGGGCCTGAAAACTGCCTAGGGAATCTTGGTTTTTGGGCGCGCCGTCGCGCGCCGCCAGGCATCCCGCCTATGGGGTGAGGAGGGGAGGAGCGACAAGGAGGGACTGGCTGCTAAAGGGGGGACATCGACATGGACTCGCGCAAACATCCAGACATCGCCGATAGATGGGCGATGGACCCTCGATTTAGGTCGGATTTCGGACAAAAAATGAAAAATACACAAGAGATGCTCAACAATATTCAAAAGTGGTCGAAAAATGTCACCATACGATTTTTGGACTATGTTCGAATACTCCTCCTGCAGAGGGGCAGGCCCGACTGACCCTCGATAGGGCAAAGCGCTACGTTCCTGGGCGGGGCGGGCTGGCTGGACCCGATCGGCAGTGAGTGGGCGATGGGTTGTCGACGCGTTCTCGGAGGCTCGGCCTGGGCACACTCCTGGAGCCACTCGCTGCCCTCGTGCACCGGGGCTGCGCCGAAAATCCGTCGAGCTTGCGTCGAACTCGAGAAAGTCGAGCTGGAATAGAACCGAATTCGAGCTTGAGTCGAACAGATCCGTTGGGTGGATCCCTGAGCCCATCACCCCTGAGCCAATCCCATGGAGGCCGCCAGAATGGTGTCGAAGTAAATAAATGGGGTCGGAGGATCGGGCCACATCGCCGATGCATCGACATTGCATCGGCGACGCATCCGCGACGTCGGCGATGCATCGGCGACGACGGCGTGAAGAAGATCGGGCTCCACATCGGCGATGCGGCGCGATCCACCGACCCCATCTAATTCGACCCCATTTCGGTGGGGCAGAACCGACAGACCGACACGTTCCTGATCGCATCTCCCGATCAACATGGCCCCTGAGCCAAGACCCCCCGCCTGGCCAAAATCCAGAAAGGATTGGTCTCCGAACCCCTCGCGGAACCCATTCTGACCCGCTGTTCGAGGCGTACCCAGCCGTGGCGACGAGAAGCCTCCAGGAGGCCCGCGAGGCCTGAAAAACGCTGGGGAGGGCCCGCCGTTGAACCTTGCCCCCCCGACGTTTTGGGGCTGTCTTTGGGCCCTCCTGGGCCGTCCTGGGGGGCCATCTTGGAGGCATCGTGGGCCGTCGTGGGGCGACCTTGGGGGGCACTTTGGCCGCCGTGCTCGCTGGCAGAACGTAGAATGTAAATGTGCTGGAAAAAGCGCGTGTGTTGGGCGCCCGAGTTATCCGGGGTAACTTGGGTCCGGGGTAAGTCGGGTTTGGATTCCCGAAAAAGGAACCCGAGTTATCCCTGACCCGAGTTACCCCTGATGATTCGGGGCTCTGGACGCCCGAGTTATCCGGGGTAACTCGGTATCCGGGGTAACTCGGGTCCGGGATAACTCGGGTTCGGACTCTCGGAAAACGAACCCGAGTTAGCCCTGACCCGAGTTACCCCTGATGATTCGGGGCTCTGACGTGTGTCCGATGGACTGACATGACGTTGGACCCCACCCGAGCAGAACGGGCCCGATCCGAGCCGGCGGGGGGCCGCGCGGAGGGCCCGCGAGGCCGCTGGGCGGGAGCGCGGCCCTGCGAGCTGCGGCTCGGGGGCCGCCGCGCTGGGCCGGAGGAGCCGCTTGAGCGCCTCTCGCGGTCCTCCTCCTCCTGCTCCTCCTCCTGCTGCTCCTCCTCCTTCTCCTCCCCCTCCCCCCCTCCTCCTCCTCCTCTCCTCCTCCTCCTCCTCCTCCTCCTCCTCCTCCTCCTCCTCCTCCTCTTGCTCCTCCTCCTCCCTCCTCCTCCCTCCTCCTCCCTCCTCGGGGGGGGGGCCAACAAACGCCTCTCGCTCGAGCGCCTCTCGCTGGCAGCGCCTCTCGCGGCCCTTCCGAACACGAAGCCAGGGCGAGGACAACTTCGGGCGAGAGCGGGGCAGGCCGTTCCCAGACCTGGGCGCACGGCCCTTGCGGAGGATAGTCGGCATGCTGCCGCTGGATATAGCCTGCGATCGCGTGAATCAAGTAAACGCCTTCGGGAAATGGCGAAATCACTGCATCAGTCTAGCGATCGCAAATTCGTGGTAGGAATGTCGGGTGCCTGCGAGTGCAGGAGAAGCTAGCCTCGAGCTACACTATGTTTCCTCACACCTCGATAAACCAGACTTGTTTTTGACTCTCGGGGGCGATAGTGGCCGATCGTGGATGTGAATGTGAACTTCGCTCGGCTGTAGCTCCATTCAATGGGCCTGGTGGGCCACCTAGGGGCCACACTGAGACAGCACAGAAGTTCCCTATGATGTTCGCGTTCCCGCGCAAAGGCGTCGTACAAAAAAGAGATCGCCCGACCCTTGAAGCGTGTGGGATGTCGTTCTTCACTGCATCTCCCCCGCATTTGCACCAACCCGACCCCCCACCTGGCCACCACATCGCCTGGCATCCCCACCTTCTGAACCTCTCTTCTTGAGCCCTCACCCGACATTTCCCAGCCCGGAACCCACCCCGACCTTCCACACGGCCACCACCTCGCTCCGGCATCCCCACCTTCTGGGCCGTTGATATTCCCAGACATGCGACGTCCGATTTTTTTCAGGACGGCGTTCCCTGATGTCCCGAAAGGGCATTTCTTGCTAGCGGGTCGTTAAGTAATTTAATGAGGGTTGCTTCGTTTTCGGCCGATGTGCGCGCGTGAGGGTGGGGGCGGCGGGGATGGGGAAGTGGGGGGGGCGAATATGCCAGCACACAAAACATCAAATGGCCAGCACCCTGGCCAGCCAGCACTGCTGTCCCATGCCAGGACACACACATATGGTGGTGGAGTTGGGCTGGTGGCGGTGATTGGTGGCGGTGGTGGTGATGGTGTCGTAGTGGTGGCGCAAAATGCGGTGGTGGTGGTGGTGGTCCAAAAGGTAGTTGAGGCGTGGTGGTGACCAGGAGCCCACCAAGACGGCCGAACATGGCCCTAAGATGGCCCAAGACGGCCCAAGATGCCTCCACGAGGGCCTCCAGGAAGGCCCGAAAAGGCCAAAATCATTGATTATCCATTATCCATGGGTTTTTGAGGGATTGTGGCATTTGCTGTTTTTCTGCCTTCCGACGGCACGAGACGGCCCAAGTGCCCCCAAAGATCGCCCAAGAGGCCCAAGACACGGCCCCAAGAGGCCCCCAAGACGGCCCAAGAGGTCTCCAAGACGCTCAACATGGCCTCCAAGACGGCCCAAGAGCCCTCCAAGACGTTCTCCAAGAAGGCCCGAAAGGGTCAAAATGGCCTCCAGACGGCCAAGATGTCCTTCAAGATGCCCACGTGTTCCCCGAAGGCTTTCCAAACCGATTCGGGGAACACATGGTCCGATAGCTTGGCAGGTCTGGCCTCAACGTTCGGCCACAAAGGAGCTTCCAAAAAGGCAGGGGGCGGCGGTGATTCGCCGTAGGCGTCTTCGATCCGCCGCACCCTGTCGATTCATCGCAGGGGTGCCTGGCGTGCCAAACCATTTCGGTTTTGGTTTTGGTTTTTGTTCCAAAAGAACTCCCCCTGGGGCTTCGGCCCGTCCCGCCGGAGTCCCGGAAGGCTCTTCCAGGACCCGAAGCGACCTCAACGTCCGCAAAAATTCTCCTAGACGGCTCAAAATGGCCTCCAAGACAGCGAAGATGGCCCTCAAGCTCGCCCAAGATGGTCCACGATGGCTTCCCAGACAGCCCAAGAGGGTCCAAGATACCTCCAAGTTCGCCCAAGAAGCCTCCAAGACGGCCACCAAGACGGCCCCAGAGAGTCCAAGATACCTCCAAGGTCGCCCGAGAAGCCTCCAAGACGGCCCAAGACGACCCAAGAGGCCTCCAAGAGGTCCTCCAGGAGGGCTCGAAGAGGCCAGAATCATTAGTTTTCCGAAGGTTTTTGAAGGATTTTTGCATTTGCTTCTTCTCGGCAGTCCCCCAAGATCGCCCCAGGATCGCCCACGAGGCCTCCAAGATGGCCTCATGACGGCCCAAGAGGCCCCCAAGACGGCCCCAAGAGGGCCCCAAGACGGGCCAAGAGGCCTCCAAGACGCCCAATATGATCTCTAAGACGGGCCCAGAGAGGCCCCCCAAACGGCTTCCGACGGCGTCAGACGGGCCAGGAGCCCGCCAAGATGGCCGAAAATGGCTCTAGGCTGGCCCAAGACGACCCAAGAGGCCTCCAAGAGGGCCCCCGGGAGGGCTCGAAAGGGCCAGAATCACTGGTTTTCCTTATGTGTGTTGAAGGATTTGAGCAGTTGCTTCGTTTCGGCCTTCCGACGGCCATGGACGGCCCCAGAGCCCCCAAAGATCGCCCCAAGATCGCCCAAGAGGCCTCCAAGATGGCCCCAGAACGGCCCAAGAGGCCCCCAAGACGGCCCCAAGAGGCCCCGGAGACGGCCCAGGAGGCCTTTAAGACGCCCAAGATGACCTCGCAGACGGCCCTGGAGCATTCCAAGAAGGCCCCAAGTCGGCCCAGAGAGGTCCCCCAAACGGCTTCCGACCGCATCAGACAGGCCAGGAGCCCACCAAGACAGCCAACGATGGCCCTAAGATGGCCCAAGACGGCCCCAGAGGCCTCCAAGAGGGCCTCCAGGAAGGCCCGAAAAGGTTCAAATCATTGATTTCCCAATAGTTTTTGAAGGATTATGTCATTTGCTTTTTTCGGCCTTCTGACGGCTCAAGACGACCCAAGAGGCCCCCAAGATCGCCCAAGAGGTCTCAGTATGGCCCCAGAACGGCCCAAGAGGTCCCCAAGACGGCCCCAAGAGGCCCCCAAGACGGCCCAAGAGGCCTCCAAGACTCTCAAGATGCCCTCCAAGACGGCCATGGAGCACCCCAAGAAAGGCCCAAGTCGGCCCAGCCTCGCCCACCGTGTTTCCCGAACGCTTTCCAAACCGATTCGGGGAACACATGGTCCGATAGATTGGCAGGCCTCTGGCCACAACGTTCGGTCACACAGTCGTTTCCAAAAAGGCAAGGGGCGAAGGTGATTCGCCCTAGGCGTCTTCGATCCGCCGCACCCTGTTGAGCCATCCATCACAAGGGTGCCCGGCGTGCTGAATCATTCCGCGTTTGGTGTTGGTTCTTTTTCTAAAAAAAGTGCCTCTGGGATTTCGGCCCCGCCCGCCGGGGTCCTGGAATGGCCAAGACAGGGTGGTTCTAATAGTTTTCCCTGCTCCAGATGGCTCCGAAGATGGCTTCCAAGATGGCCCCCTGGTTCGCCCAACATGGTCCAAGATGGCCCTAAGACGGCCCAAGGGAGTCCAAGATGCCTTCAAGTTCGCCCAAGAAGCCTCCAAGACGGCCCAAGGACGCTCATGGACTTTCCTGATCTTGGCAAGCAGGCGAGGCGGCAATAATGAAAAACCTGGCAGCCTCGATTAGCCGCCTGATGTCCTGTCAAGGCTCGGGGGCTCTGGGGTAAACATCCAGGCAAAGCCATGTGCAGCCGCGGCGACGAGGAGACTCGCATTCGCTCAGAAAGGTTGCATAATAACCAAACCCTTCCAGAATCGATCCTCAACTCTCCCTCCTCCCCCGATCCTCTTCTGACAGCGTCGAGCCAAGGCCGAAAGAGGAAATACACACGAGCCAGTCCATCCACTTTGGTGATGACACCCGCTCATGCTCGGCGGCAATGCAGCACCACCCTACAGCTCGGACGGCCTGGTGTAGCAGAGGCGTCCCTGCCACTCGGGCTGTCCACTGGATGCTCCATGTGCAGAGCTCGGGGATGGACATAACCCCCATTTAGTACAACGTGGCTTGCTGAGGACGACCTCGGGCCCAAACCTGGCGGGCGCAAGCCTGGGCAATGACGGCCGCGGCGCCCTCTCGAGAACCGACAAGGAACGATTCACCAATCGACGTGTCAGGGTGTTTTTATATAGTTTTTTGTGTCAGGGTGGGGGTTCTGTCTGACCCCTAAGAATTTAAAAGGGGACCTGGGACACAAATAAATAGACACGACTAAAGGTACTCCGCATTTGTTTTACTGTATTTGTTGGTTTTTGTCCTCCCCCCATTGAATCTAAACTGATTTGATCTGCCCTGTCCGGTACGGCTTCTTATCTGCCTCTTCCCTCTCAGTCTCTTCTGCTTGTGTTCTTCCACTCGAGCAGCTTAACGACCTGCTCAGGTCGGGGCTCTCTTTCCGACTCGAGCAGTTTAACGACCTGCTCAGGTCGTGCTCCACACTTCCCATATTTTCCCATATTTTCTGGGGAATCAGAGATTCATTGTGTTTGTGCTTCTTCCCTCCTGAGAATTATAGAATCGGGCATGCCCTCCGCCGCACGACTCCTCCAGGGATCTGCCGGCCGGCCTCCACCGCGCGTGGAGCCCCTCGTCCTCTGGCCCCGCCTCCTCCCGCCGGCTCCTCCGCGGCCGCCCTGGCTCTGCATCGGCGAGTCAATTTGCCGATCCTCGGGCCGCTCTTGCCAGAGGCGTTGCCAAGCCTTTGGCACCATCATCAGCCCGAGACGGGGAGGAGGCGGAGGAGGAGGAGGAGGAGGAGGAGGAGGAGGAGGATGAGGAGAAGGAGGATGGTGTCCCTGAGGCAGAACAGCTTGCTCGAGAAACAAAAAGGAGGAGGAGGAGGACTCAGACTGCTGCGGGACAAACCAATGTAGAGTCCCCAATCTCAGTCGAACCCTCCTCGGTCGGATGGCGAGGACAGGGCGACGAGGTCTATACTTAGGTCGGGCATGTCCTCTACATGCGGATTTTGGGCGGCAAGGTAAGGCATGGTCAAAACATGCTCGAAAATACGAGGAGATCGTATAAAAAAGTCCCCAGGCTAGTTTTTTTTTAACTGCTTTTGAATATATTCCTCCTGCAGAGTGCCGTGCCCGACTTAATTCTGTACGCATCCACCGCCCCTGGCCAGGCCCAGCCTGGGCCTGGGAGCATTGCATACTGCGGCCCTCTGTCTTGGCCAGGGAGGCAGACGACGGGCTCTGGACACCATGAACCCCAACACATTGTACAGTCAGGTCGGGCCTGTCCCCATACAGGGGGATTTTGGACGAGAAATAAGACATACTCAAACAATATTCCAAGGATGCCCACAAATACTCAAAAAAAGTCCCCTGTAGAGGGACAAGCCTGACTTCATAGTACAGTCGGGGTGGAAGGAGAAGACACGCGAGAGGACACGAGACCCTTCCGATGGCCACCTTGCCGGTTGAACATGGGAGGGCATCGGTCGCGAAACACAGGACACAAGGGTAACCTTGCTTGGTCAAGGTCGACCTACGAATCAAACTCGACTGTACACATTGTCATCTCGTGGAAGACACGTGTTTGTTTCCGCCGGCTTCTGCCGAGGGAGCCGCTGCCGTTCTACGTCCGCCATCCTCCGCTGGCCATCCGCCGAGGAAGAGGCACGAACTTCTCCAAGGGCGCCTAACCTTGCGCTTCGCGCTGCGCGAAACGCCAACAACTTCGCGCTCTCGCGCCGCCCCCCAGGGGAAAAAGAGGGGGACGAGGAGGCATCGGAGCCGAACCGCGAAGCGCGAAAAGCTTCGCGGCATCGGAGCCCAACCGCGAAGCGCGAAAAGCTTCGCGCCCTCGAGGGCGCCCTCGTCCTCGAGCCCTCGAAGGCGAGGCCCCGGCCGGAGCGCCCCATGCGCACGCCGACCCTGTGCAGAGGCCCTGCCGTCCGAGAGGAGGCGCACGCCCTCCGCGCCCGAAGGCGGCGCCTCGAAGGCGCGGTCCAGGCCCGGGACCTCCGTCTCGCCGCCTGCGCACCGAGTCCGGGGAGAGGCGAGGCCAGGACGAGGACGACACCGGGTGAGGATTACAGTATATATATATATATATATATATAGGGGCCCGACCAGAAGAGAGCTTCCACAAGAAACCCGACCCTGAGGCCCCAGGGCGCCCCTTGATTTTTGGTGTGGGAGCGTCACGCTTCCCATAGCAAGACCATCGGAGCCCGAGAAACCCAGGGCACCCTGGAGGCGAGCAGGGTGTTTCTTGGTATGGGCCTCCACTGTGAACCGAGAATCTCTGAGATCCGGCGGCTCTGTAGAGGATTTCTCGGGCGACGCGGCCTTCTCAAAGTGTTCCGGAAAGCGCTGAGAGCGCTCTCAGAGCGACCTGGACCGGAGGGACCCTCGTCTCAGCCCCGTCCGACGGGAGTCCGCGGGCCCACGGCGGCGACGACGGCGAGGAGGACCGCAGGGATCTCGGAGAAGAGCCCGTCGAGACCACGGCGGGCCTCCCTGGCGTCTGTCGTATAGGCTTGCTGACGTCATCTGCTGTTGTCGTACCCTACCGGTGCCACGACGCGATGGCGATGGTAGGCAGGGGGGAACTCAATCGGGCGTTGGCAAAACTGGGTTAGTGGGATCTGGTTTAGTGATGAGTACTGGGGGACGCCCCCCCCGCCCCGTTCCACTAACCGAAACTGCCGTCACCCGAAAAAACACCAGCTACGGCAGACCTGGTTTAGCGATTCTGGCCAATGTAGGGGCTCCAGGGCCCTACTACTAACCGGGTCCCCTTACCTGGGGTCCTGGCTATACCCGACTCAAGGTGAACGTTTTCTTATTCGGCGTTTCGGCATTAGGCGGAAGGGGGGGGGAGGGGGGGAGTCTGGCTCCGGACCTCTGCTTAGTGCGACTGGCTGCAACTGGGCGCCCATCATGGGGAGGCTCCACCTGCCTGAAACGGGCGCCAAAACAACCAAGATCTACTGGGGGGGGGGGGGTGCGAGGGCCCGCGCCGATCGGCAAAACAATGCATAAACAAACGATCACAAACCGGGGGAAAATTCGTTACGGTTCCCCTCCCTTGCAGACCGGCCGGACAAGCGCCACCAATAAGGCCCAACGATAGGGGGGGGACTGGCAAAGGGGGGGAAACATCGACCTGGAATCGGCGATACATCGCCGATAGATCGGCGACAGGCCCCCGATAGTGAATCCACACGCTCCTGGGCAGGTTGGGGCTATCGGGCCCCTATCGCTGATCAGTGGACGATTGGGGGTCGATGCCTCTCCCCCCTGTGCCTGTGTCGTTGCACCAGAACCGAAAACACTCCCCTCCCGCCCGCCGATCGGCAGCCGGCATGAGGAGCGCAGGCTGGGACGACGCACGACGACCCCCCCTTCTCGCACGCCTCCTCGCGAGACGGCGCGGGGGAGGCGGGTGTCACTGCACCGACGACCTTGCAGACGTGCTGCAGCGGATGTGTGCGTGGATATCTGCCAATGCAAAACACCCCGAAACGGCGAGTAAACAACGAAGAGAATTTCGCGTGGACCCTTTGTCAGTCTTCATTGCTGGCCAAAGAAAATCCGCACGAAAAAGCACCTCGAAGTCTGGAACGCAATTCTCCAGGACACTCCGGGCCCATCCGATCGTTCTCCTACCGAAATCCGCTCTGCGATGTTGGCGCCATGACGGGCGCAGCCAAGCCCTTCTCGGCAAGATTCCCCCAATCAATGCGTGGACTGAAGGGGTCCTAACGGATATTGACAAAATTCTGTGAACACTTCAATCCGATTTTGGTAGCCGGCTGGGTTCCCGGGTTCCCAGGCTCCTGGGTCTTGGATGCCGGCCCGATTTCGGTGGGTTCCTGGGTTCCGGTCGATCTCGATATGGATCTCTTTATCGATCCCGTTTCAAACCATCCACTGATTGGATTTTCCTCTGGTTGTTTTTTTTGGTTTGAGGGTGTTCGGGACGCGGGATGCTTGTCACCAACTGCGCCTCGTCGCGGGCGCTCCGAGGATGCCAGCGTCGCCCCTAGCGGCAGCGTGAGGCCCGAGTGGCCGATCGAAGACGGCGGGAGGAGGGCCCGGGCGAGACAGCGACGGCCCTCCCTGGCGCTCTTCGTGACCCTCCGAGGCCTCCTGGGAGCTCCCCGTCGCCACGCCTGGATCCGAAGACGAGAATGGGTCCGGATGGATCCCAAGCGGGGCCTGGGGACCGGTTCTGAACGGATGTTGGCTGCGTAGAAACTGCCGTTGTCTCAACTGGCCCCCGTCGGAAGAACGGGATGCTGGAGGAGGAGGAGGAGGAGGAGGAGGAGGAGGAGGAGGCGAGGGGGAGGAGGGGGAGGAGGGGGAGGAGGAGGAGGAGGGGGAGGGGGAGGAGGACGATGTCAGTCGGCTCATTGTGTCGGTGGGCTCATGCTGTTGCCCAGCCGCTGGGGGCCTCAGCCGGCGGTCCTCGGAGCGTGCGGCAGCGTCAACGCGTGCTTGTCCACCGAAGCCCATCAGTAGTTACGACTCAAGCGATGTAGCGTTAGGTCGGGCATGTCCCCCTACAGGCGGATCTCGGACGAGAAATCAAACATGCTCAAAACAAATACTCAAAAAAATCAAACAATCATAACATCTTCCCCAGACTATTTTGTTTGATTATGTTTGAACATTCCTCCTGCAGAGGGACATGACCGACTCAAATGTAGCGAGGGTCTGCACAGGCTGCGTGCAATCGGTAGGGCCGACAGGGAGGGGTACGGTCATAAGGAAGGCTGAAGCACTTTTCGGTCCCTCAAGCGCCAGGGTGCACGAGGAGCGGTAGAGGAACAACCATGGAGGGAACTGAGGAACAGCGAGCCCCTTCCGAACACAGGCTGCTCTTGATGTCCGCGTCTCGGCTGCACTATCGCTGATGCGGAAATGGGACACACACATTGTATACCTTTCTCGATATGTGCGTGTCATCCTTGCGCAAGCGCGATGCTAATCTTCTCTGTACCGTTCCCATGTTAACGAATAGAAGTTATCCGTTCTGGGATCATCTTTGAACGAGTATCGCTACGTTCTATGATCGTTCCAATCCCACCAGCCCTCTGGGCGTGGGTGGTTTGGGGAGTTTCCTTCTTCCACCCCTCCTGTTTCCCCTCCGGACAGGGGCTTACCCCTCCCCCTACCTCCCTCCCCTGGACTTGGACGGGGCCTCGGCCTCGGCGAGGAAGCCAAACTCAGTGGTTGTACTACGGTGTTGGCCCCCATGTTGGCCTCTTGGGGGGGGGCAGCGCTAAAATAAGCTAGCTCCCCTCTTCTTCGATCGTCCCTCGTCTTTGAGCGATCTCCGCCAAGATGGCCCCAAGAAGCACCAGGGAGGCCCCAAGAGGTCCCCAAATGGCCCCAAGATGGCCCCAGGAGGCCCCGAAGAGGCCCCCAGGAGGCCCCCAGGAGGCCTCCGAGAGGACCCCAAACGGCACCCCGAGGCACCCAAGACGCCCAGGAGCCCGCCAGGACCGCCAAGAGACCCCCAAGACGTCTCAATCGTCCAACAGATACCCCAAGAGGCTCCGAGAGGCATCCCAGACACCTCTGGCCTTCTGCTTGCCCTCCTCCTCCTGCTCCTCCTTCCCCCTCGTACTCCTTCTCGTCCTCCTCCTCCTCCTCCTCCTCCTCTTCCTCCCCTCCTCATCCTATTCATCCTCCTTCTCCACACTCCCTCATACATCCATCCAACCTCCTCCTTCTCCTCCTCTCTCCTTCGCACGGTTCGGCCGTCCCCCTCTTTGCTCCCGTACTTCCCTGAACACCTCAACTCATCTGGACATCGTTTCTGGATAAGCCCATACTCCGGAAACTTGGCTGCGCTGCGACTGTAGTCGGGTGTGTTGATTTCGTTGGCCGCACACGCAATTCTGCAAGGTGGATCTTTTGGAGTTGTGCAACCTCTCCAATGACATGCGCCACATTTGAACGCCATGTGAAAACCAGGGGTTCTGCTGAGTGAAGGCACAGCCCATGCTGTTCACACAGCTTCCAGCTTCGCCAGACTCTTCTGTACATCGAGTTTAAACTCATGACCGCTTAGCAGAGATCTGCTGACAGCGTTATGGCATGCATTTGCTATGTTACCTCTCAGTGTGACCGAGTATATCTTCTTGTGCTCGCACCTGCATTCAGCGCAGACGCTTGATAAACCTGACTTGTTCTTGGCAGATACGCTATGGAAAGCACGTCGAAGCTTGTACAAGCTCACTCACCCGCAGCACTGGGTTCCCTATTTCCGCTGGCGACTTGGGAGACTGAGGCACCGACCACTGGCACGTGCCTCCTGCACAGACTTCCCCAACGCATCTAAGAGAAGGTTACTCTCGCGTGGTGAGGGTACTCCCGCAACAATGCCTTTCGACCATGTTGCTGCACCAAGACCTTGGAAGCCACTCGAAGGATCATGGCATAACCAGGCGTGTCGAACTCGGCAGCAACGAGCACGCCATGTGTTTGTGTATAGCCCTGACAATGGTCCGTGAATTATGACAATTTGCAGTGGGAACTCCGGCAAAGTATCACCGACCTCCTTGGGACCATAGAACATGTCGAGTGTGAGTGTGTTTCCAAATCACTAAATGCCCATATGCGAGCTCGAGCAGTTTTGTGTCGTACTGCGCAAATAAGAGCTTGATTCCGACCCCTCGGCGTACACCGATAGCTGTAATACAATACCGAACCGCATTATCGACAATAACTCTTCAGGCGTGTCGCAACAACCATCCAAAATGACGCAGCCGACTTGAACTGCAAGCAACAGGCACATCCCCGCTCTACTGCACAATTTGCTTCGCGAGTGGGGCGATGCCCCGTGCTTTTGTCTGCCGGTGCGCACCTCGACCTGATATCGGAGAAGGTTTTGCTTCGACACCCAGTTGCCACCGGGTGGTTTTGTGTTTTTTTTGTTTCGCCGCTGTGCTCGGATGTTGAGAGGCGGTATACCGCTGATGCGAGCACGCGGCACCAGGGACTTCCCTTCTTCGAACAAGGAGGGAAGACGAGGTAGGACGACGGACGCAGGAGCAGGGAGGCAAAGAGGAACAAGGAATAATGGGGGATTTGGAAAGGAGTACTCTCCCTCCGGAACCGCGGACGCTTTCGACAACATCCAAGGGGGGGGGGAGAAAGGAGGGGGACGGAGCAAGGGCGAGGACGACGACGGGAAGTAACCTGTCCTCGGTCCGCATATAGCCATATGCTTGCGATTAGGGTGCGCGCGCTTTCGTCGAGGCACTTCGAGCCCGACCCATACCGACACGATTTCCTTCACACTGTGTAAAAACTCTGTCCTCTGTACCCCCTCTTATACAACTATCTCAAAACAAAAGGGCTATGGTTTCCAACCCCCTCCCCCTCCCCCTCTCCCCCTCGACCCATCTCCCCAAAACCTCTCCTTCTCCAGTCAGCTGCACGTAAAAGCTACCCCAGGCAAGAGTGACCTGTTGGTGCCCGACTTTAAGCGCGCCCGTGGGGTCCCAACGCAACCACGCAAGCCGGAGCGCTGCGGAATGCGCCTCGAGAGATCCTCAACGCCAGCGGGCAACTGCCGGATTCTGCCGGTTCGATTCGGGCGCCCCGAAGGGCACCCCGAAGGCGCGGCGAAAACAGACGCTGCTGGGCACCACCACGATGAGGTCTGGCACCGCCAGACTGCACCGCGATGACGTCTAACCAGGTCTGGTGTCGTGGCCAAAACGGGCCCCCCTTTGGGCCGCCCCACGGGTGCAACTAACTTCCCATCGTGGAGAATTCGATCGGTTAGGATTCGTATTCAAAATTGTTCAAGGTGGTTCAGGCAGACTTAAACTTATTCAAGCAAGAGAAACTAGGATCTCGATTTGGACTCGGAAGCGATCCTGGGGAAGAAAAAACGCCTGGTCGACCAGACTTCCCCTTCGGAAAACCAACGCACGCTATTGGATGCGCCGCGTATGTGTTGCGGTCGATGGCGAGAGGGGGGCCCATTCTTGCGCGCTCAGATACAAGCGCAACACCGTGCCGCGTGTGCCGACGCGAAGCTGAGTTCAATCCCAATGACAAACCGCAGTGGAGGCCAGTCCACAAGAAACCTCCCACAAGAAACCCAACCCTGAGACCCCAAAACATCAACAGACAATTTTCTGGTGTGAGCACGTCACGCTTCCCATCGAAAAACCATCGAAACCCAAGAAACCCAGGGCACCCTGGAGGCAAGCAGGGTGTGTCTTGGCATGGGCCCCAACTGTACCCCACCCTCTTTGGGCCAGCATGGAAGATCACTCCGGCGAAGGGCCACTCCTATGTGCCGTCGCTTCTCTGCTGCTCGACAATTACTCAATATGAAAATACTCTCCCTCTTCCCCTGATGGCGTCCGGGTGATGGCCGCGCACCCTCCGCGTACTGTTTTTTAACACACAGGATGCCCGGGAAATCCCGGGAAACGACTCTCGCTAAGGCGCCGGCGTCATTTTTTCCCAAAGTGCTGCTCTCGTTGAGGCGCCGGCCTCATTTCTGCTCCCGAATCGTTCCGAATCGTGCTCCCGCTGCAGCGTGGGCCTCATTTTCGGATCGGTGTTTGGCCTCCGTCGTTCAGGATGGCGTTCTCGCCCCAGCGCGGGCCTTTTTTCTCGCGCGCCCATCCGCCCGCCACCACCGCGCCGCACCGCCACCACCACCACCACCACCACCACCACCACCACAGCACCAGCACCAGTACCACAACACCACCACCACCACCACCACCACCACCACCACCACCACCACCACCACCACCACCACCACCACCACCACCACCACCACTACCACCACCACCACCACCACGACAACCACGCACACACGCACGCACGCACGCACGTGCACCACCACCCACTACGCACGCGCGCGCGGAGCCACAGGTCCGCTACGACACGCGTCCGCGGATAGAGAAAATCAGCGCCATGGTAAGGGATGGGAGGGAGGGGTAGGACGTCAGATATGACGCGAGCGCACCTAGCTTGCCTTTCACCCCCTCTCCTCCCCTCTCCTTCCCTGACCCTCCCTGCCCCGCTCCCCTGATCTACGGGAACGGCGCCCATGCACTGTACCATGCCTGGACTCCGCTCCGGCCCCGCCCCAACGTGGCACGGTGCACAGTTTTTGGGCTCCCAAGGGCCGACAATCTGTGCACCGTACCACTCCTGGGTCGCAGATCGACAACGCCTCGGGAGACGCCATCATGGTACGGTGCACACATATCGACCGCGGAATATCCGCCTGCTTCTCCTGCGCCGACGACGGCGATGGCGGCAGCTTCGACGACGACGGCGACATCGACGGCGAGCGACGGCCAACGGCCTTGACGACGACCGGCGACGAGCGACGACGAGCGACGGCGACAGGCGGCGAGCGGCGACGACCGACGACGACGAGCGACGACCAGCAACGACCGACAACGAACCACGAGGGCGGCCGGAGCGGCGGCCCGGCGCGCCCGCACCCGCGCGCGCGTGCCGCCGCCTAGGTCCAAGAGGCGGCCCCCGCAGAACACCGCCGCGGCGACCTCGCCAGCTCCCGCGCAGCCCTCCAGGAGCTCCAGGAGCTCCTCCTCACGCGGACCATCGTTTTTTATTACGTCCGTCGTTTGTAATCGTACACAAAAAAACGATGGGGGCCCACACAAAACCAGGAATCAAAACGAGTCTGGCCAACACGAAGAAAGAACATGAATTATGATATTTTTAGACGCCAGGAATGGGTACGGAAAACATGGGTACAATGCCGAACAACACATGCTGTCCAAAACCGACGGCGGCTGCTGTTGGGCAGGCGGCTTGTCTTCAAAGAACAACGTCCGCGGAAGGCGCGGACAACGAGTCCTGTTCAAAATTCACAGAACTGCTGTTTGGCATTGTACCCATTCTTTCCGTATCCATTTCGATCGTCCCGATTATTTCGCTAACGATAAGCATGGGCCGGCTATCTGGCAGAGCCTTGCTCAGTCCCTGGCCAGCCTCACGCGAACGGGCCTGGGAACCTGCAGGGGTGTAAGAAAATTGACCAAATTCCTGAACATCCACTGGTGAAATGCGACGTGCGCAACCCGTGTCTCGCACGAAAGGGGTATGTAGTTTAGGTCGGGCGTGTCCCCCTACAGGCGGATGTTGGACGAAAAATGAAAAACCATCCAAACATGCTCAAAAATGACCAAGAATAGTCGAGACATCGGCCCCTGGCATTCTTTTTTATAAAACAAACTATTTTTGAATATCCCCCCTGTAGAGGGACAGGCCTGGTTTAACATTGGTGAAACTCGACGCGCGCAACCCGTGTCTTGCACGAAAGGGGGATGTAGTAAAGGGAAGGGCTGGAGAATCAGCTCGCTCAGCTGAGTTCCCCGGCGCCTCTGGGCGCCGGAGGCGCCAGTGTGTCGACGAACGCGCCAGGCGGCGGGGCCAAAACCAGCTTCATGAAGCAGATTTAGGACCCCCCCCCTCCCTTCCCTACCCTTGGAGGCCTGGGAATGGGCACCAACACCAACACAGGAGGTTGCCTCCACAGGGGGAAGACGATCCTAGATTTCGGTGTTGGTGGTCATATTTCGGTCACCTTGGAAGCCAGAGTATTACCACCATCGCCGAGATCGGGATCTCCTTCCCTCGGTGGATGCACACCGCCGATCTTGGTGTTGGTGTCAATGTCCAGACCTTCCCTACCCCCCCGTCCTCCAACCCGATCGCCGGGGTGGCACGAGGGGCGCGGCCTCCGAAGCAACCTGCAGGGTGGGGCTTCCTGGAAGCCCGTCCGGCTTCTGAGAGGAGAGGCCCTCTCAAAATCCCGCGGGCCCTTCCAAGAGGGCCTCTGCCTTCTGAGCGGCGCCCTGCCTTCGCAGAAGGTCCCACCCCCGCCCCCGCGCGACCCCGTCGTGCGCGCCGCGAAGTTTGTCGTGTTTCGCCCGTCCAAGCAGCGAAGGTGACATACTTCGACGTTGCCTCTCGGGCCAGAGCGCCTGGCCTGTCAGCTCCCGCCCACGCCCTTGGCATCGAGAGCCAGGCCAGGTGAGACCTTGAGTCAGAGCCACAAGCCCGAACACGAAGGCTGAACTGTCCCGCTGAGCCCCTTTGGGGCCATTCTTGACGCCCTTTGCGGACTCTGCAGCTAGCCTGTTCTACAATCTGGTAAACCTGGCTGCATGGATAGGGGTCTCCGTCGAGCCGCTCGAGGAAAGCCGAAATTCACGAATGCCGGAAATCACTGCCAAACCGACCCAGTTTCTAAAAGGAAACGCTGCGAGGGTTTGGTGGGGTGGAGTGGGATGGCTGAGAAGGGGCGGGGGGGGGGCTTGTTGTTGGGGCCACGCCGCATGTGACGGGTGTGCCAAAATTGGCACGGGTACGCCATGCGGACGCTGCCACCGGAGCCGTCGGTGCAGCCCCATGTGAGGCCACGAAACGAATGAAGGGTGCGCCAAAATTTAGGATGGAACCACGTGCGGGCGCTGCCACTACAGCGTTTGGGGGACACGAAACGTGTGAGGGGTGCGCCGGCATGCATGCTGGAACTGCATGCGGAACCTGCCACTGGGGCCTGGGTGGAACACTCGGGCCACGAAACGTGTGAGGGGTGCGCCGAAATGGGGGCGGAACTGCACGCGGACCCTGCCACTGGGGCCATCGGCGGAGCACCCTATAGGGCAGAGGAACGTGCGAGGGGTGCGCCGAAACGGAGGTGGAACTGCATGCGGAACCTGCCTTGGGTGGAGCACCATATGTGACCGCGGAACGTGCGAGGGGTGCGCCGAAATGGGGGGTGGAACCGCATGCAGACCCTGCCACTGGGGCCTTCGGCGGAGCGCCCTACAGGGCCACGAAACGTGTGAGGGGTGCACCGAAATGGGGGTGGAACTGCATGCGAACCCTGCACTGTGACCTTCGGCGGAGCACCCTATGGGGCAACGAAACGTGTGAGGGGTGCGCCGAAATGGGGGTGGAACTGCACGCGGACCCTGCCACTGGGGCCATCGGCGGAGCACCCTATGGGGCCACGGAACGTGCGAGGGGTGCGCCAAAATTGATGTGGAACTGCATGCGGACTCTGCCATTGGGGCCTTCGGCGGAGCACCCTCTGGGGCCACGAAACGTGCGAGGGGTGCGCCGACATGGGGGTGGAACTGCACGCGGACCCTGCCACTGGGACCTTGGGTGGAGTACCCTATGGGGCCGCGTAAAGTGCGAGTGGTGCGCCGAAATGGAGGGGTGGAACTGTGTGCTGACCCTGCAACTGGGGTCTTGGGTGAAGCACCTTATGGGGCCGCGGAACGTTTTAGGGTTGTGCCGAAATGGGGGTAACTAGAACTGCATGCGGACCCTGCCACTGGGGCCTTGGGTGGAGCACCCTATGGGGCCACGAAACGTGTGATGGGTGCGCCGAAATGGAGGTGGAACTGCATGCCGACCCTGCCACTGGGGCCTTGGGTGGAGCACCCTCTGGGGCCACGAAACGTGTGATGTGTGCGCCGAAATGGGCATGCGAGAGAGCAGAAGCAGGGAGGGAAGGAGGGAGGAAGAAGAGAGGGAAGGAGGGAGGGAACGCGGGGACCGTCTCTTCAAAACGAGGACCCAACACCGCAGGACGGTTGGGAAATATCAACGACGCACTGGATCGCATCATGGTTCCTCTGACTGTGGGCCAGCATCCAGTTAGAAGCACCCCGGGAAGAGGGGTAACTATGAGGGATGATGGGGGAAGGAGGGAAGGAGGGTGTCTGAAGAACGTCCCGGGCCGTCTTGAGGCCCTCTTGGGCCGTATCCCATTTGGCGCGACGAGGAGGACAAACGAAGGAGGTGGATGTGGAGGTGAGAAAGAAGAGGAGGATGGCAATAAGAAGGATGTGATGGACGCCTGTCCGACGATGTGCCGGCTTCGGCATGCACGACATGTTGCTCATCCGCACCCTCGCGCTCGCCGAAGTCGGTTGGGCTCCAAGAAGGGCCACAGGAGGGGCCCAAGAGGATCCCGAGAGGGCTCCAAGAGGGCCCACAAGAGGTGGGGAAATGCGGCCGCGCATTCCAACATCGACTCGAAGTTCCTGAGGAGTTCTTGGGGTCTTCTTGGAGCCCTCTTGGGGCCTCTGAAATCCCTCTCTTCTCGTCCGCTCGCCCTCCCTGCTCATCTTCCCTTTGCGGTGCTGTGCTATGCCGTTATTGTCATGTGCGGACACAGGGTCCAAACATGGGCCCCACCCCGAAGACTGGACACCGAGGTCGGGGCACCATTAACTCGTCGAACAGAGGTCGTGTCAAGTGACCGAATACACATATTGTCTTGTCAAGCGTGGACAGTGGACAACATGTTTTTGAGGCCGTCCACAGAGTAACCTGCCATGTGCGGACAGATTGTCTAGGCATGCGCGCCCACAATCTGCGGCCGGGGGTGCGCCCATAGGACAATCTGCGGACACGAAGGATGTCCGCAAGTGGTCCTGGGGTCGTCGGGTGCACGGGCGCAGAATCAAGTGATCGGGTTGGGCATTCGTATTACCCGCGCTGGATCCACAGATCGACGTGGGGAATCTTGTCTGCGCGCGTCATATCCGTACTACGAATTTCTCGATACTCCCTATCGACGTTCCCTGGCCCTCCAGCCCAGGCCACCCGGGAGGCCCCCCGGGGCTCCCAGGAGGTCACGGCCATCGGATGTCTCCGGCGAAACGGGCCAGACCACCTCAGGTCAGCTCATATCTGGGCTTAGAGATGCGATGAGGTCTCGGGCGAAGCGGGCTGGACCACCTCGGGCCAGGGCACGGCAGAGCCCAAAATTGCGAGGATCTCTCGGGCGAGACGGGCTGGCCACCTCGCGAGTGGCACGCGCCTCTTGCTGCTACACCTCCTCCGCCTCCTGCCCCTCCGCCTGCTGCTACTGCTGCTGATCGTCCTCCTTCTCCCGACTTACAGGGAGGAGGAGGAGGAGGAGGAGGAGGAGGAGGAGGAGGAGGAGGAGGAGGAGGAGGAGGAGAGGAGGATATTGAGGGTCCGAGGGAGCCGCGCAATGGATGTTGCTGACAAAATTCCAAATCGACGAAGTTGTTGCCCATGCGCCAGTTTGCAACATATTCGTGCCAACCGAGGGACGGTCGAATGTTTCGTTCGTTGACTGCCCGCCTCGGTTGATCCAGCTGCGCCGCGTTGCCATCAGCGCGGCCGTATGATGATTGTGGCGATGTCCAGTGAAGGGTATGGGCGCAGGCGCACCATTGCACATCGGAAGTGCTGGATGACACCAGCCCTGCGTCGCTGTAGCGTTTGATTGCGGCCAACTTCGCTGGAACACAATTTGTCTTGCGTTAGGTTTGCAAGGCGGGCGCGCCGCCACTTGCCGAGCCGCTTGGCCCTCCGGCTTGTCCGCGGGACCAAGTCCGCACATTACATGACTCTGAGGACTTTTGCGGCTGGAAATACACAGCCCTACAGAGAACGTGGATCCGCGCGAAGACCACCGGGGACTTCAGAGGAGGCGGTCGTTGTCGTCGAAGTCGTCGTCGTCGTCGGTCGTCAGTCGTCGGCCGTCGGTCGTCAGCCGCCAGTCGTCAGTCTCCTGTCGTCGCCGTCGACGTCCTCGACGTCATCCTCGCTGTCCTCGTCGTTGGCCATGCTTCGTCGCCGTCGTAGTCGTCGACGTCGTCGCCCGCTGGCACCGCAGCCGCAGTCCCCGGACATCCAACGAAGTTGGTTTTTCCAGTGCGCGGCCCCAGGAATCCCAGCCCTTCTCTCTGGTGGTTCGTATCCGATTCACTGTTGATGGCCCCCGGGGCTTCGAAAACGGGCCCCAGAGGACGAGATCGGCGAAAGGCGCCAGGATGAAAACACAAAGCATCAGCTCGTCAGAGGTCTGGGCCGCCGTCGAGCGTGGGGCGGGCTGCCGTTCTATCTCTGTGAGGGGCACTGTGAGGGGGGGTGCAGCTCAGGGGGGACGACATCGACCTGGAATCGGCGACACACCACCGAGACATCGGCGACAGGCCTCCAATAGCACTGCAGCTCGTTCCTGGGCGGTGTGGGCTATCGGGCCCCTAGCGGCGATGAGCGGGCGATTGGGGGGCCGATGCGCTCCCCCCTGACCCGATCCCCCCTAACGCTGCCCCTGATTTCGGGGTGGGCCCCGCGCCGTCCTCTCCCACGCCGTCGCCGTCGGCGACCTTTCGGCGGCCAGGGAAGCGCAAGCGCGCGTGCGCCGCTCGCCCCGTCCGTCGGGGCGTGTGCGGACCCGGCGGGTGGGTGCGCGCCTCCAGCACAGACGGGGCGGTCTCCGGGGACGCTCCCGAGGCACCCGCCACTGTCGCTCGTCCGGCCCGAACGGCCACACGCGGCAGCCCTGGCCTGGAGCGGTGCGGATCTGGAGGAACTGCCCTAGGCATCGTCTACTGTCTCTCCTCTGGCCCTGGTGCTCACACGGAGTTCCGACCCCCCTGCCCACCCCTCTCTGCGCTGCCCCTGCCGGTGGTGCACTTCGCGATGGGATGCGGTCCGAGCAGTGGCCAGTCTCTGGCACACCATCGATTCGGGCGTCGGTGATGCCTGGCTGTGGAAAGCGACGCTGACACGCTGATCTAGCACAAGCAAACGATACGATCGAGAAGGGCATCACGGTTTCTGTGCCAGTGGCGAAACAATTACACAACCTCAGCCTGAACATGTATCACATGCCGTATGATGTTGATTTGCACCCTCACGCAAGCGTACGACGACAGGATGACAAAACCAATGTACACCTGCAGTACTAAAACATGGCATCATCTTCCGTATTCCCTTCTCCCTCCTTCTTCTCCTCCATCTCTCCTTCATCTCCCCACGTACCCTCCCCTTTCTGCCTCCCCCTCCTTCTTCCCACGTCTCATCCTCCAAATCCGACCCTTCTCCCTCTCTCGTTGCCCTTCCTCTCTTCCCCCTCCTCTTCCCTCTTCCCCTCCGTTCCTTCTTCTTCACCTCCTCGTGTTCTTCAGTATCCTCTTCTTCTCCTCCCGCCTCCTGCGACCCTGAGCCCCTGACGGCAGCAATGTCACCCGACGTTGCCCCCCCCCCACCCCACACCACCCCCACCCCTAGGGCCGCTCTATCCTCATACTCCTCATCCTCCCTCTCATTCTCACTCTTTGTACTCCTCCTGTTTTGCGTTGGGCGAACCGAAGCCACGGAGCTGGAGCGTTCTTCGTACTCGGTCCTCCTCCTCCTCCTCCTCCTCCTCCTCCTCTTCATCCTCATCCTCATCCTCCTCCTCCTCCTCCTCCTCCTCCTCATCCTCATCCTCATCCTCATCCTCATCCTCATCCTCCTCCTCCTCCTCCTCCTCCTCCTCCTCCTCCTCATCCTCATCCTCATCCTCATCCTCATCCTCATCCTCCTCATCATCATCATCATCATCATCATCATCATCATCATCATCATCATCATCATCATCATCATCATCATCATCATCATCATCATTCGGTTCCTCCTCCCTTTCCTGTTCCTCCTCTTCCTATCCATTCCGCTCTCTCCTCCTTCCATCAGTAGCACCCGACCCTCATGCTCGATCGCCTTGGGACGCGGCTCCGTTGGCCCCTCAAGCCCACCACGGGACGCGGCAGACGCCACAAAAACTATCCGCAGCAGCCCGTCATCGCCGCGTCGCCCTCGTCGTAGCTGCCGCCGCCGCCGCCGCTAGATGAGCCGTCGTCCTCGTCGTGGTAGTCGCCACCTCCGCCGCCGTCGTCGGCCGGAGGAGTGCCAGTAGAGGCAGCGACGGCTCGCCCGTCCAGCCCAAATCAGCTGTGAATCGGTCACCCCTCGATCCCGCCGTGGCGACGGAGAGTCCTCCGGGAGGCCCAGAGAGGACGACAACCGCCTAGCAGGGCCGCCGCTGTCTTGGCTGGGCCAATGTCGTCGCCGCCGCCGCCGTCCTCGCCGTCGTCCTCACTGTCGCCGACGCCATCCAGGAGCAAAAGGACACACTAGTTAGAGGCGCACGTCTGCCCAGAACATACAGTCGGGGCGTTGACCTAAGGAACCCTAAATCAGGAACGAAGTCCCTGTTTCTGATGAGTTGAACTTCGATTCCCCATGGGAAACCTCAGGAACACCCAAGGCAAACTGTAAAGCAATCGAGGAACACCGAGCCACTCCCCAACGAAAAGGGTTCCTTCTCCAACGCCCCGACTGTATGGTACACACATCGTCTAGCATGACGCATAAGCCAAACGATCTGGCAAGACACACCCGCAACGGTGCTTATACTGACATACAGGCATGGCGCTGCCAGAAAGAACGCTAAATCAAGAACGAAGCCCTTTCGTCAATATTCAGAAACACCTTTTCGAAGAAACGGCCGAGCTCCTTTTTGGAGGCAGCGCCATAACTTCGGACGCCCGTAATGGGTACAGAAACAACAGAAATGCCCAACAGCTAATCTTGCCCAAAACAGCCAGCGGCCGCTGTTTGGCAGGCGGCCGTCTGTCTCGAATGGACTCGCTGTCCGCGGCGGCGCGGACAGCGAGTCCTTTTAAAAATGAACAGGATCCGCTGTTGGGCATCTTACCCATTCTTTCATTTCGGAGCTCTGTTGACCTGGGTCAAACCAGACCTGAGCCAATGGAGCCCTGCAAAATCTTGCGCAATCCTGCATGCAAGCCCGGGTCAGTGCACCCCTGGCCCTGAAAGATCCTGCAAAGTCCGGCGCTCTGAACTGACCCTCGTTTGCATTGACTCCCGTCTCAAGGCTCCCGCCCCGTGCCCGCTTCGATCGTACTGGACGAATGCAGTTAGACAAGCGCGTTCTACTCCTCGCAAAAAATACTAGTATTGAGCAGGGACCGGCGGTCCCGGCTTTCCTATAGGCCTACCACGCAATTTTCTTAGAACCCAGCAACATACGAGCAACAAAACAACATAACCCCGATGTCTTAGAACAAGACAGTCCCAGCCAGACATGTTATAAGACCTTTCCTGCAGACCACAAAGGGTTCTTAGAACATCCTTTGGTGGGCCTATAGGCGAACCAGGACGCTTCGCCACTGCTTGATAGTAGCGGAGCGCTCTACCACTCGCAAAGATAACCAGTAGCGGAGCGCGATCGGTGAGCCCGCCGCCTCCTCGTGGGGGGAAGGGCGTGCTCCCACGCGAGGCCCAGGAGGAGGAGGAGGTGGAGGAGGAGGGCGAAGGTGAGCAGTGCAGTCGGTGAGGGCTCCCGGCCGATCCCCTGGCGACCGCGGCGCCGAGGCCCTCCTGCAGCTCCGCCAGCAGCCCCGGCTCGGGGGCGGGGCGTCCCCGGGCCCGCAGCTCCTCGGCCTGCCTCTGGAGCAGCGCCTCCTCCACGCTGGAAGGGGTCGGGGGACGGACCGCGCGGTGACCTCGACCTCCTCCTCCTCCCTCCTCCTCATCCTCCTCCTCCTCCTCCTCCTCCTCCTCCTCCTCCTCCTCCTCTTTCCTCCTCTTCCTCCTCTTCCTCCTCCTCCTCCTCTTCCTCCTCCTTCTCCTACTCCTCCTTCTCCTGCTCCTCCTCTTACTCCTCCTTCTCGTTGGTAGACAGGACAGAACAGGAAGAAGCCGCGCCTAGGGCCTAGACGGCGCAGCGTCACACAATGACAGGAAAGCGAAGGCCAAAACATGTACATCAAAAGATGCTAAATGCACGTGCGCCAGGTCACAGCCACTGCACATCGGCCAAGTGCTGCGGGGGGGGGGAAGCGATTGCCAGAGGGCCGGGGGAGCAAGACGAAGAACTGTCAATGGCACGCCGCCGTGGGAGAACCCTGCGCGTGGGAATGTCGAGGGAACACTCGGTTTCCAGATCAGAACGATGGAAGACTACGCTTGAGTCGGGCCTGTCCCCCTACAGGCGCATTTTGGACGAAACATAAAACATACCCCACGAATGCCCCAAACATGCCCCAGAATAGTCAAAACATCGTCCTAGGACTATTTTTTGACTATTTTCGAACATTCCTCCTGTGGAGGGGCAGGCCCGACTTTACACTACGCCGACTGGCTCCCCGGAAGGTTTTGGCAAGCTTCTGGGGACCCGCCGCGCCTCGGCCCGGGCGTGCTGGGGCTGCCAGAGGCGTCTCGAACGGCCGCGTGAGGCCCAAGTGATCGCCAGGTCGAGACAGCGACAGCCCTCTCAGGGATCCGTCTCTGCCATGTTCGGCCTCCTCGAGGCCTTTCGTCGCCGCGGCCGGAGTCTCCTCGAGGAACGGGCCAGGATGGACCTCGGGAGGAGCCCCGGGAGCGACGTTGAACGGGTTTGGACAGGGCGGGGGAGCAGCTGTTACCTCAACTGGCCCCTCCTCCGAGCTTTGGCCGACTCCAGCACCTGATCGACGTTTGGTCTGGAAGGCGGCTCGAAGGTCTGAACTGGTTGGGGCCCCAGCAAATTGGCCAGGAGGGGGGGGTGGACGAGGCTCAATCCGTTCAAAGTCGGTCCTCGTACTTGGGGTCCATCTGGTGCAGTTTTTCACCCTGGATCAGTTTTTGACGGTTCCGAGGCCCAAAAACTGCCCCCGAGGACGAACAAGGGAAACTAACCTTCCCGAACCCAGAACCTCGAACCTGCACACTTGCGCCCCACAGTGCACTGCGCGCCCCAAGCCCATTGCAACCCCACGTATCTGCTGCACCATCCCCTTGTCGCTGGACCCCGCTTGGGGAAGCCAAAAGGTACCGATACCGCTACTCCCCGGACCTCTCCTGGGGTGCGTTCTGACCAGAATTTCGAAGCGGATTCAACGGTAGCGACGAGGGCCTCCGAGAAGGCCCCAAAAGGGGAAAACGGGCGAAGGGTAGAGGTGTGGGTGCCTTTTCCTGCTCTGACCTTTCTGGGCCAACCCGAAACCTCAAGGGAGCGGGTCCTGGAGGCATCGGGCCCTGGACGTGCTTCGCCGCCTTCTTCCGGGCCACGCGGGGCCCTCGCAGGGCCCCAGGGACGTCAAAGGACAGCCCAGGATGAGGACCTGGCCCTGGTGAGAGCCCGCGGGTCCAGGACGCGCTTCCCACAAGAACTGTTGCCCTTCATGGCGAACTGTATCCGTGCCCCTGCGCCCCCCCCCGCCCCCCGACCGAAACAAACAGACAGAGCGGGGAAACCACAATAAAAACCCTGGTCGTGCAAGGTCCTGCAGACGTGGCTCGACACCCATGTCCTACCCCTGGTCGTCAGGGAGCTTCGTTCTCAAAACAGTGTTTGCGCTTGGGGCTCTTGTTTTAAAAGGAACTAGGCTCGTATGCTGCCGCGGCAGGCCGTTTGTCGCCCCGTCACCGTCGCCGCACGTCGCCGCCTCGTCGCGGGTTCGTGTGCCGCCCAGCCGGCTTGAGATCGTCCCGTAACCCACCGTCTCGTCGTCGCATTGCATTACAATCGCACTGCGTTGCGCTGCAATCGCATCGCATCGCAATCGCAGTACAACCGCATAGCATTGCAATCGCATTGCAATTGAATGGCAATCGCACTGCATTGCCTTAAATTGCATGGCATTGCGTTGCAATCGTATTGCTTCGCAGTGTTGCTTTGCATTGAACAGAATCGCTCGCACCACATACATTCCACTGCATCGCTTGCACCACTTAGATTGCACAGCAAAACTTGCATCGCGTAATTCGCACCACATGGATTGTACTACATCGCTTGCACCATATGGGTTGTACTACATAACGTACATCACATAGATCGCGCCACATGGATTGCACAATTAACCTTGCACCACTTCGTTCGCAACACAAAGATGAGCGCGCTGCCTACACAGGTTGCATCATGCGGCTTATACCAAATAGCGCTCACCGAATATCTAGCACGGCATAGCTTGCACCTCTTGGATTGCACTACGTACATCGCTTACACCACATGGCTCGTATCATGACATGGAATGCATCAAACAGACTGGACTACATAACTCACACCCCATCGATCGCACCACGTAAATTGTACCACATAGCTTACAACACATAGCTTGCACCACACAGCTTGCACAACGTAGATAGCATCACCTGGTAGATTAGAGACCAATGTTTGGGGTCGACCTGACAAACATTGGGATAGGTGTTGCAAACACGTCGCTAAGGTGAGGGGCGAGGTAGGATGGGGGGGGTGGGGGGGAGGGTGCGAAGATAAAGGGATACCCATACACCTATGCCTTTATTAACGAAGACCCCTTGAGGTCTCGATCCGATCTCCCTTGACCGGTTTCGAAGGTCGGCTGGGAGCAGATAGTTGGCAACCGTTTGACGTTGCGTACTTGTTTGCGTCGAGTGGGGGTCTGGAGAACGAGAGAGAGGGAGTGAGCAAGCATACACTCATACGTATATACACATGTCTCTCTCTATATATCTATAAGTGTGCATGGTTAGCCAGCGTGCACCCCAAAAGGTCTGGTCTGCCAATCTGTGCAGTGCAATCTATGTGGTGCAGCCGGTGTGGTTCAAAACATATGGTTATGGTGCAAGCTACGTGGTACAGTCTATGTTGCGCCGTACATGTGGTGCAACATATGTGGAACACTCTGTGTGCAGCAATCGATGTTGTGCACGTATGTGGAACCCTCTGTGTGCAGCAATATATGCTGTGCATGCCATGCAGGGCGATGCAAGGCAGCGTAGAGCCATGCATAGCAACGTAACCAAAGCGATGGTCCTCCCGTGCTGCTGCTGCTCCCCCCCGTCCTCCTTCCCCATCCTGCTTCCCTGCATGATGCTGATCGTCATGCTCATCCGCCACTCCTCCCCCGATGTGCAGAAATCCATTTTTCTGAGAGTGCATCACACCACAGGGGTCATCTAGGGGATCCCGGTCCGCCAGGACATCCATCGGCGGCTAGAGGAATCCAGCGCAGCGTTAAGGTGTTGGTGGGAGGGGTAGGATGCCAGATGCGGTTGACACATGCGATCATCCATTTTTCCATAACAAATATTTTGCCCATGATTCGTCAACGTTTGAATGTCCTCAGGTGCCCCCACACCTCGTGTCGGCCCATGGGACTATCGTTAAGTCGGTCCGGTCCCCCTACAAAGGGATTTTCGACGAAAAATAAAACATACCCAACAAATAATAAAAAATAGTCTTGAAATGATCTGGGGACTTTTTTTGTATTGTTTCACCTTTCTGGGGAATTGTTGGAATAGTTTTGTATTTTTCGTCGAAAATCCCCCTGTAGGGGGACACGCCCGACATAAGACGATCGCGGAAGACGACATTTTCGTGGTTCACATGTGCCGACCGTATTGCGCACACGCACCTAGATGGCTCCCTCCTGCCCTCTCCTGTCCTCTCCTCCTCACCCGTTCTCCTTGCGGCGACGACCAGAGCCCGAGGGGGGCAGCGTCCTCGGGGCTTACGAAGACGTTGAAGCCGTCGGCCTCTCGCAGGGACAGTGCCACAAAAGAACAACACAACTAACGTTGGGGACACGATGTTGTACATCACCCCGGTCAAACAAGCCGGTCCAGCACAAGACCCTGGAGCAAGGGCTCTGTGCAAACGTGGCGCCCCGAGGGGACACGGATTGTGCATACCACCCCCACAATCAAGCTGGCCTGGCACAAGGTATGCGCGCGTGGCGGTAGTCATAAAACGCCCCCCGCTACAAAATTGGGACGAGGACGACACGCGCTCGTCGAAGACGAAGCACGGCAACGAAAGCGACGAGGACGACGGCTGCGACGGCGACGGCGCCGGTGTCGACGACAACGATGAGGAGCGAAATGGGAAGGAGGGAGGAGGGATAGGGACGAAGGGAGAGGAAGGATAAAGAGAGACAGGGCAGTGGAGGAAGAGTGGACGAAAGAGGAAGAAGGAGGGAGGCAGAGGAGACAAAGGTTGTGGGGCGAGGGCGAACGAGAGGGGAGGGGGGCAAGGTAGGTGCGCTCGCGCCACATCTGACATCCGATCCATTCCTCGCATAGCTTCCCGTGGCGCTGACTCTTTCTCTTCACGCGAAAGCGTGTCATAGCCGACATCGAGCTCCGTTGCCCCAGCGAGGCACCACAATTCTCTCATAATAGCAGCGACGGTGACCAGTGGGACATGCGGGGCAGGTGGGAACTATGACTAGGTCGGGCATGTCCCCCTACAGGCGGATGTTAGAGGAAAACCAAACATAGTCAAAACATACTCCAACATGTTAAAGAAATAATCCCAAAATCGCCCCCGAACGACTCTTTTTGCTATGTTTGAATATTCCTCCTGTAGAAGGACAGGCCCGACTTCAAACTATGACAATTGGGCGATCTGTGGGACCTGTGGAACCTGTGCGACCTCTGTGGCCTGTGGGTCCTGTGGGGCGGGTGGGAACTGCGGACCCTGTGCGACATGCGGGTCGTGCGCGACCTGTGCGACCTGGGGGACCTCTGTGGTCTGTGGTGGGAGGCACAGGAACATACTAATACTATATGTTCTTCTTGGAGGCGCGCGTCCGAACCGAACACATAGTATACCCATCTTGCAGTATGTCGTTTCCCGAGCGGTGTGGCCAGAAGGCGCCCACCACGACGCATATACTATAAGATTCTCGGTGCTCGCGTCGCCCCTGGCGGTATAGTACAAGTATGTTGAAGTGGCGCCGATGTGGGGCCTGGGGGACATACGACACTTGTGGTACCTGTGTACTTGTGGGACGATCAACGACACCTGTGGGTGCTGCGGGATCTGTGGGGCCTGCGGAAACTGCGAGACCTGTAGGACCCAGAAAAGCAACCTACGCTTGGGGGAAAACAAATGCGTAAAAGACTGCAGCCACGCGCCAATCAGCAATTGAGGCCGATACTGCAGCGAGAGCACCAGCTTTGAGAACTGGGCAACAATCGTATGGGAAATAAAACGCAAGAGAAAACATCATGACAATCTGCGCGCTTAGAACATCACGCGGAGAGGGCGGAGCCACGCCCCGGACAACTTCACAGGAGAAAGGAGGGCAGCACTCATACCGAATAAGTGCCGGAGGGGAAGGGCAAGGATGGACGAGAGGAGGGATCGGAACGCACTCCCCGGGAGCCAGGGGGCGGGGGCGGGGGCTCCCGCACTTCTAGCCGTTCCCCGCCCCCGCCGCAGGCGCTCCACCTCCCCTTCTTCCCTACCGCGCCCCTTGCCCAGAGAGGTGCCTCATCGCCTGGAGCCAAACGGCCCTCCCAACCTCGTCTCCCACCGGGCCCGCAGAAGCAGACTGCCCTCCCTGGGTCTGGACGGTTGGCTGATGCGGCCCCTCAATATCTATGGCTCGCCCCCCGTGGCCATTCCTGAAGGGACCCTGGGACACACACACACATACATATACACAAACAACAGAATTCCCTTATATGTTATGATATTTTCTGGGTTTCTGTCTTTCCCCCCACTTCCCATAGTTTCGTATATTTTCTGGGGAATCGGCGATTGATTGTGCCTGTGTGTTTTTTCTCCAGCTGAATTCCTCGTGACGCTTCCGCAGGATGTCGTCGACGGAGTAGCGCTTCGTGAACGCGTTCTCCCGCCTCAGCTCCTGCTGCTCGGCCGCCAGCCACCCCCTGTCCGCAAGCAGCCTGGGGACTCCAGAATCTGAACTGTAATCCTCCCCGACTCTGTTGAAGGGGCCCTGGGACACACAATTAAATACACACAAATAACAGGATTCCTTGTATTTTCCAATATGTTCTGGGTTTTTGTCTTCCCCCACTTCCCATATTTTCGTATATTTTCTGGGAATCGACGGTTAATTGTGTCTGTGTGTTTTTGTCCCTCCTGATCTGTGCATGGAGACGCGCAAAACCGACAGGCTTGATAAAACGTCGGACAGCAACGTATGTTACCCGGCAAAGTCATCTGCGGCAGCAGCCAGAGCAGCACGTCTGACACTACCTCCGAGAGAACCACCTCCATCAATTGCCCAAATGTTCACAACCCTAGTTGACTCTCTGCTCCCTCCCTCCTTTCCCTCAAATGCTGCATGCTGCTGCCGGTGCCTATTATGTTCATGCTGTGCTGACTGCTGCACACTGGCCCTCTCATTTCGGCACGCCCCTCACACGGACAGCTTGGCATGAAACGCTCCACTGCATATATAACCCCTAACATGACATAGCGGGTCCTGTGGGGAACGGGTCCTGGAACCCAGGGTTGTTTATCAGGATATGTTCCTGCTTATTGTTTTCAACAATCCTGTAGGGTTGTGTCTTCGCTTTGAAAAGTTAATGCCCCGCGTCTCCTCCTCTTCATATTATTATCATTATTATTATTCCTCTTCTTCCTCCTCCTCCTTTTCACTTCCCTCTTCCTCCTCTTCCTCTTCTTCTCCTCCCCCTCCTCCCTCGTCCCATCCCTGCCTGTGCCCTCCGCATGCCCATCACGGCGCAACCTTCACACGGCTCGTGGCCCTGTAGGAAGCTAAGCCGAAGGCCCCAATGACCGCGTTCGTATGCGCCCGGCGCCACCAAGTACAGCGCTCCGTGGCTCCATGCGGAGCTCTACCGAGGGTCCAAGTGGCCGCGCTCGCACCGCCCAGCTCTTCGTGGCCCCGTACGAAGCTCCACCGAAGGCCCCAGTGGCCGCGTTCGCATGCGACCACGCCACCTAATACAGCGTCTCGTGGCCCCGTAGGGAGCTCCACCAAGGGCCCCAGTGGCCGTTTTCGCATGCGCCTCTCCCGCCCAGAAAGACGTTGTGTGCCCCTCCCAGGGATCTACACCGAAGGCCCCAGTGACTGCGTTCGCTTGCGTTCGCGCCACCCAATACAACGCTTCGTGGCCCCCGAAGGAGCTCTTCCGAAGACCCCAGTGGCCGCGGTCGCAATGCTTCCCCCCCCCTATTTCAGCGCTGCGTGGCCCCATGGATAACCGCCCTGGAACGTATCCCTACACCTCAGACTGGCAAGCCCCAGTGCGATGACAACCATGGGGGTGCGCCCTCGAAAACCGAAGGGATCCTTGAGACCGGCATCGAGACGAGCCGAAGCCAATCAGTGGGATAGGTGCTTATCCCGGGTTGTGAATTGGAAAGCCCACCGAAAGCTCCAGTGGCGGCGGCCGCATTCGTCTTTCCCGCCCGCTACAACGCTTCGGCGCCGAGATCCACCGAAGGCCCCAGCAGCGGCGGCCGCGTGCGTCTCCCCCACCCAGTACAGCGCTTCGTGCCCCCATGGGGGGCTCCACCGAGCGCCCCAATGGCCGCCGCCGCATGCGTCTCCCCCGTCCACTGCAGGACAACCCTTCGGCGCTTCCTGGCCCCAAAGAGAGTTCCACCCAAAGCGCTGCTCACGACGCGGTCCTCACACCTGCGTCTGGTTGGGTCCTTCGCCAAGATACCTGTTTTCTGTTTGCGGGGTTTGTTATTGCGTGTATATGTGTGCGTGTGCGTGTGCGTGTGTATGTGTGCGTGCAGACTGGAAACAACTAATCCTGGCGACGGGCCCAACCACAAACAGCTTCGAGTATCGCGGGGCAGGTGGAGGAACAGGAGAAAAGACTGTGGCGTTGACTGGGTGAGACAATCCGTCGGGCTCGCGGGGGATGCACCGTTTGGTGCGAACCCCGTGCGCCGCCATTTCGCGCTCTCTTTCGCTCCTCTCCTCTCCTTGTTTCCCTTGTGCGGCCTTGCGTTCCTGCACGCCCGGCCCTAGGCCCGCGGTGGCCCGAGTCCCGCGCCCAGCCGTCTTGCAGCCGTTCCTCTCGGCCCAAAATACCTCGGCCCTGGGCACCGCACATTGGGAAGATCCCACGACGCGCGCTCATCGCCCCGAAGGAGTCCCGGCGACGCGCGCGGGTTGTCCCTGGCACGGGGCAAACAAAAACACGGGCGTGCCTTCGGTTTAGCTCCCTATGGCCTCAGTTGTGTGCCGAAATTGACATGCAGTGGGCGGGAAACCGCATGTGGACCCTGCTGATGGGGCCTTCGGCGGAGCTCCCTGTGGAGTCACACAATGTGTGAACGGCAATACCGAAATCAACACGCGGTGGGCGGGGAGCCGCTTGTGGACCCTACCACTGGGGCCTTCTTTGGTGCTGCCTGTGGGGTTACGAAGCGTGTGGTGCGTGTGCAAAATAAGCACGCGATGGGGGATGGGACGCATGTGGACACTGCCAGTAAGGCCTTCGGTGGCTCTCCCTATAGGGCCACGAAGTGTGTGAGGGGTGCGCCGAAATGGACAGAAAGTGGGCGTGGAAACGCATGCGAACCCTGCCATTGAGGCATTTGGCAGAAGCTCCCTTGTTTGGCCACGAACCGTGCGACCGTGCAAGGGGTGTGCTGTAACCGTCGACATGCGGACGGCAGAGGCAAGGATGGGAAGAGGAAGGGGGGGAAGAGTGAGGAGTGAAGAACGCGGGGCGCGCTCTTCAAAATGAGGACCCAACACCATCGGATGTTTGGGAAAACAATGGCGGCGCCCCCAAGGGGGTGGCACCTGGGAGGTTGGCCTCTAAGGAAGCGGGGAGCTTAGTAGAACGCAGGCGGATTCTTAGAAAGGCCCGGCGGCTTCAACATAACTGAAGCTTACGAAAAAAAAACAGGAAAGCTTCTAACCGACTGTTTCGACCATCCCGGCGAGACACCGCAACAACCGCCTCACTCACAACCCGCCCGCTTCGTGACGATCATGCACGGCCACGCCGGCCACGGCGGCGCGTGGCCGCCCATCCCACTGCGGCACACCTCCCTCGCGAGGATCGTGCCCTCCCTCCATCCCTCCCTCTCTCCCTCCCCCCCTCCCTCCCTCCCCCCCTCCCTCCCTCCCTCCTTTCTCCCCCTCCCTCCCTCCTTCCCCTCCCTACCCCTTCCCCCTCCCTCCTCCCCCCTCCCCCCTTTTCCCCTCCCTCCTTGCCCCTCCCCCCCCCCCCAAAAAAAAAAACACCTCCGTACGGTCCCGCTGGGCGCGCCAGGCGCGCGGCCACCCGACCCGAGCTGCCCAGCGGCCCGCGGGCACGGGAGAGGACCATCCCCGGGAAGGCCCAGAGCGCAGAAGACTCCCAGGCCGTTGCGCGGATGAGAACCACGTGCGCGAGAGCCCCGCGGCAGAGGAGGGGAGAGAGGGAAACCCGGCAACAAATTGCTACCCTGGCGGCCCGGGCCGCTCGGCCAGGCGCGCCACGAGCGCCGCGCGCCACGCCACCTCGCCCTCGCCGGCGGCGCGCGATGCGGGCACCAGGAGAATCACGCGCACACGCTCTGATCCAGGCCGAGGCCATGCTGAGCCTTGGAGGCCCATCGGTCGGAGAAAAAGTAGGCAGAAACATGAAATAGAAAGGCGTCGGGAGCAGATTGGATGTCCGCCCGGTCCGTAGCGAAGACGGAAAGGGAAACGCTTAAAGTAGATTGGAATCTGGGACTTCAAAAATTAAAGAGTTTCAACGACCGATGGATAATCACATGCACATGCTCCGATCCTTGCCAGGCCCACCTTGAGCCTTGGAGAAGCCTGGGCTGGGTCAGTACATGGGCATGTCGCGCTCCGCGATGCGCGACGCGCGGCCATCATTCTGTTCCCTCGTGTCCTCGGGGCGGGGGGATTTGTATATCCAGATCCACGGCGTCTTCGAGTCTTGGGTATACCATACCCCAGGAACGCGTTTCTTTATTTTCGGCGACAGTGCGCAATATTGGGGGGGTGGAAGGGCCAGGGAGGGGGGGTATACTGCAACGCCTCCCCCCCCCAACGCGCGCGCGGCGGCGGCAGTGCCCGGAGCGCTCTCGGGGGGAGGGGCGTTACGTTATATAAGGAGGAGGGGAGGGGGCGCCGGGGGCTATTGTGCCTATTATGCCCCAAGCAATACAGAAACGCGCTCCAGAGACCCGAGGCGCCCCGCGCCAGCGAGTCCACAACGCCGCGGGCATGGGCCGGATCGCGCCCGTGCTCGTGCCGCCTGCGCGGCGAAGGGCCGCCGACAGCGGCCCGGACCGCAGCAAAAGTGAGCCGTGATCACCCTCGCGCCCCCGCGGGTGACACGGGAGCCTCGGGGCCTCCGCTTCTGGGTGTCCGCTATGTGGGGGCCTGCGTGGCTCCCGGCGCTGTTCGAAAGGGCTTCGAGTGGAGAAGGAGGAGGATGAGGGAGAGGAGGAGGAGCAGGAGAAGGAGGAGGAGCAGGAGAAGGAGGAGGAGCAGGAAAAGGGGGAGGGGGGGAGGAGCAGGAAAAGGATGAAAAGGGGAGGGAAAGCAGGAGGTGGAGGAGGAGAAGGAGGAGCAGGAGGACAAGCGGGAGGAGGAGGAGGAGGAGGATGAGGAGGAGGATGGGGGAGGAGGAGGAGGAGGAGGAGGAAGAGGAGGAGGAGGAGGAGGAGGAGGAGGAGGAGGAGGAGGAGGAGGAGGAGTAGGAGGAGGAGGAGGAAGAGGAGGAGGAAGAGGAGGAGGAGGAGGAGGAGGAGGAGGAGGCGGGGAAGGGGGAGGAGGGAACACAGTGAGAACCAAAGTTGGACCGGATTTGAGCCCCGCCTCGCCCCTTCACACACGAAACGAGCAGAGGGAGGATGGGGAGGGGGAGAAGGGCCGAATGCGGTCCAAATGCAAACCAACTGCAGGATTGTCCCGGCGAAGGGCCCAACCATCAGCAGCTTCGAACAGCGCGGGGTGGGTGAGACGGAGGAGAGGGCTAGCCAACGGCGTTGACTTGGGGAGCAAAGCCGTCGGGTTCGTAGGGGACTGCGCTGTTTGGCGCGAGCCTGGGGCGCCGCCATGGGGTGACCACTTGCTTCCCAACTCCGTCACTCCTCTGCTTTACTTCAATGTGCGGCGTTGCTTTCCTGCCCGCCTGGCACGCGGCAGTTCGATATGCCTTCTTTCGTATGTAACCCCTCTTTGTCCTTCCGCCCCGCTGACCGCGGCTCTGGGCACCCGCGCGCGCGCAGAGCCGCGCCTGGACGGCGCATCGGCAAGAAGACGCTCCACATCAAACACATGTGCATTAAACGGGGTTCGTGCACACGCGCCCCTGCAGCGCTTCGGAAGCGTACGCTGGAATTCCTTGCCCCAGCGAAGCGCGAAGGTACGCTACAGCGCGCAGGAGGAGGAGAGGGAGGAAGGGGAAAAGGGCGGGGGCGATGGGGGAGGGAGGGGAGGGCTGAGCGATACAAACATGCCCCAGATTCGTATCACCTGGGCCCCGGAATCCTATCACTATGAAATACAATAACCTCCAACAGCTGCATTTTATTGCCCTGCGGTCCCACGCAATAGGGCTTGCAATATGTCAAGGTCGTTTCCTGCTACGGCCAGGGCTTGAACGTGCATGTAGGCGTTCCACTGTAAACGCGGGCGCTCTCTGAGGCGCGGCGTGCCCCAATCCCTGGGCAGAATGCGGTGGTCTTGTCCAGCTTGGAACACAATTGCCCTGGGAAGGCTGCTGGGCGGTCCCCTTTGCCAGCTGACCACCCAAGTTCAATTGGCGTTGTAATCAACAACTTGGTAATGGATAGTGGGCAAGCTTTCGCTGCCGCCCGCACATCAGCGTTGCTGACGCGAGACAGGACAACTGGCGCGATTTTGAACATCTGTCGCAAGCATTTTGCTTGGAAGCTGTCATATCAATCCCGGTCCGCCTTCAGTAGCATGCAGGTTTCTAACCCATATAGCAGTTTAGTATACACGCAGGCTTGCACCACCCGCAATTTGCGCCGTCGGTTCATATCCGTATGGCTCCACACTGTGCGTATTGTTTGGAATGCTCCGCTCGTTTCCCCCTGACGTCGTGTGAACTATTCCGGCTATCCCATCTGCACTTGGTAATCCGCCCAGATGCACGGCATGTTCTTCGCATTTGATCGCATCGCCATTGGGCCCCAACACAACGTCGTTGGATCGTACTCTCATTGAAATTGTCTTCCCGGCATTCAAAGCAAGACCAATCGATTTACAATCTGCGAAACTGTCGTGGAATGCTTCTGGCGGGAGGGCTGGTCTTCAGCCACGAGCATCGTGTCGTCGGCGTACAAGACGTCGCTTGTGACGATGTACGGCTTGCCTGTGAAGTTGTCGCAATCGGCTGCCCGTTTGTCGTCCACGACCTCCAGGAGCACGGACATAACAATGATGAAAAGGTATGGAAACAAAGGGCACCCCTGTGCTATTCCAGTTCCCTGTGCTCCCTGCGAAGATACAAGAGGGCCCTCGTTGACAACGAACCGCCGCACTCTGTAAATCGCCGCGATCATGTCGAACATCGCCATAGGCACGCCGAAGTGTCGGAGTGCGAACAATAGGCCGTCTGTCTTGATACGGCCGAAAGCTATACTCCAATCCAAAGGACCCCGCGACGCGCGCCAGTCGCAAGAGTCCTGGCGACGCGCGCGGATTGCCAACGGCACGGAGCAAGGAACACGGGTGGCTGACAACTCGCAAGGCGCTGCGGAGCGCGCGAGCGTCGGGCAGCTCCTGGAGGCAGCTCGTAGGGGAGACCGGCGAGCGTATCGGGACACCCAGCGTGTGGAGGGTGTGCCTGCGGTGGAGCTCCCTGTGGGCCGAAATAGACGTGCGGTGGACCCTGCCTCTGGGGCCTTCGGTGGAGCTCCCTATGTGGTCACGAATCGTGTGAGGGGTATGCCGAATTGGACATGCGCTGGGCGGGGAGCCGCATGTGGACTCTGCCACTGGGGCCTTCGGTGGCACTCCCTATGAGGACGCGGAACGTGTGAGGGGTGTGCCGAATTGGACACGCGGTGGGCGGGGAGCCGCATGTGGACTCTGCCACTGAGGCCTTCGGTGGCAGTTCCTACGGGGCCGCGAAACGTGTGAGTGGTGTGCCGAATTGGACATGCGCTGGGCGGGGAGCCGCATGTGGACCCTGCCACTGTTCGGTGGGGCTCCCCATGGGGCCACGAAACGTGTGAGTGGTGTGCCGAATTGGACATGCGGTGGGCGGGGAGCCGCATGTGGACTCTGTCACTGGGGCCTTCGGTGGAACTCCCTCTGGGGTCACGAAAAGTGTGAGGGCCGTGCCGAAATGGACATGCGCCGGGCGAGGAGCCTTGCGTGGACTATGCCACAGGGGACTTTGGCGGAGCTCCCTATGTGGTCACGAAACGTGTGCGGGATGTACCGAACTGGTACACTTGATGCGGGGAGCAGAGGTAAGGAGGGGGCGGAGGGGGAAAAGGAGGAGGCGAGGGCGGGAGGAGACGCGGGGGGTCTCCTCAAATCGAGGACTCATCACCACAGGACAGTTGGAGAACAACTGGCTTCAGTGTCGCCAGGGACAGGCATACGACCTCTCCCACAGGGCCCCTTCTCGCGATCTATGCTACCCTCGGCCGCGCGCGGGAGCGGCCCCCGACGAGCGCGGCCTCGGGCGCGCGAGGCCTGCGCCAGGGGGCGCGGGGGCGCCGAGCCCCAGTGCGCAAGCCGCTGCTGGCGCGCATCGCGTGCGGCGATCGGCGGGCACCCCCGTGGGCCAGCCATCGGGTTGGGAGGAAGGGGTGGGGAGGAAGGGGATGGGAGGAGGAAGGGGTTGGGAGGAGGATGGGGTTGGGAGAAGGAAGGGCGGAGGAGGAAGGGGTTGGGAGGAGGAAGGGAGGAAGTGGGCCATCGTGCTGGGAGGAAGGGGTTGAGAGGAGGAAGGGCATGAGCACTGACATTCGGGCGCAGTGCGCGGTACCGTTCACGGCACCCCCATGGGCCGGCCAGAGGTGGGGAGAACAGTCATCGTGTTGGGAGGACGGGGTTGAGAGGAGGAAGGGCATGAGCATTGACATTCGGATGCAATGCGCGATGCCTTCAACCGCCCGCGGGCAGTGATATCCTCACTTCCCCCAGCCCCGTCCTCCCAACCCAATACATGTCTTTCTGGGGGCCTCTTAGATGGGGTCCGAGTAGATGGGGTCGGAGGACCGCGCCGCAGCGCCAATGCATCTCCGATGCATCGGCGATGCCACACCGATGTCGGCGATACGTCGGCGATGTCGGTGTGGAGAAAATCGGGCTCCGCATCGAGCCGCATCGGCGATGCGTCGGCGATGCGGCGCGATCCTCCGACGCCATCTACTCGAACCTCATCTGGGAGGCCTAGACTTGTGGATGCCACGACAATGGACACCCTAACAATCCGATCATTGAATTAAGGATGTGCTGAAACTGTTTGAAACATGTCCTTTTTCATGTTTGAATCATGTCTTCTACATGTTTAAGACATGTGTAACACATTTTTTTAGACATCTGGGGATTATTTGGCAGCATGCTTCCTCTCCATTGATCGTCCCCCACGAGCCTAGACTTCCTGAAAAGCGTCCCTCTGGCGAAGGGTTTTTCCAGCGTGGGGGATCCTCCCCCGCCCCCCCCCTCCCCCCCGAGCTTGCAAGGCCGACCCGCGCAGCCGCTCGAACTGCTCCCGGATGTAGCCCAGCACCGCCTCCTGAGCGCTCGGGGGGAGGGCCAGCCGAGACAACGGCGGTTCTTCCCCGTCTAGCCTTAGGTCGGGCGTGTCCTCCTACAGGGGGGTTTCCGGCGAAACATTAAACATAGTCCAAACCATATGCACAAATGATATAAAAAAGAGTAATCGTGGTGTTTGCGTAGTCCCCACTGTAGAAGGACAGGCCCGACGCAAGTCTAACCCGGGTCCGCTCAGAATCGGCTCGCGGACCCCTCCAGGAGTCCGAATTGGACCCTTTCGTCGCTGCGGGTCCAGCCGTGGCGACGAGAAGAAGCGCCCACGAGGTTCAAAAAAACGCGAAAAACGCCGGGGCGGGCCGCCGTTATCTCGAGGGGCCTTGCTTGCCGACTGCTTTCGAACGATAACGACGCCAGGGCGTGCCGCTGTTGTCTCGAGCGGCCTTGCTCTTAGCGGTTTCAAACGACAGCCTGGCCCCGCCGGCTGCCTGCTGTGCACTCGAGCTCGCCCGCCCACAGTCGCCACCAGCCGAACCCTTCTGCTCTGCCTGCCTGCGCCACCGCCGCTTGCTGCGCGGCTGGGCGCTGGAAGCTTGTCACAATACGCCCCTGGGGGACACATCGAAGAGCATACTGAAAATTGGCACGATCTCTGACACTGGCGACGGGAAATTACCGTGCGGGAGCCGCGTCGGTGGAGGAGCTTACTGGGCGCTTACTACCTGATTGTCAAATGCTAGGTATGGGGGCTCTGGATGTTCCGCGGGATGCCAGGAGCTCTCTTCATATCTCGTTTCGTCTCCACCTCCCTCCCTTCCTCTCCTCGTCCTCATACATACTTTTAGAACACCTGCCACAGATCAACGGGTAACCATTTTGCATGCCTGCATCAAGTGCAACTACACGGGCATAGTTTCGTACCTATATGCCTAGGCACAGCCACAACTAACCTGCCCGCACTTACTCACTCACACGCTTATGCACGATCAAAAATACAGATGCGAATGCGCATGTGCACTCATGCATAGATGACCTACTACACATACGTAACATACAACACATCCGCTTTCGTGGCGCGCTGTGTCGCCGTCGCCTCAACGCCGGCCACTCCCCGAGAGGGGACGCGCTGCGTTATGTACAGTGGAGGTCCGTCCACAAGAAACCTTCACAAGACATCCAATCCTGAGACCTTGGGACGTCCATGATTATTTGGTGTGGGAACGTCACGCTTTCCATCGCAAAACCATCGAAGCCCCAAAAACCGAAGGCACCCTGCAGACGAGCAGGGTGTTTCTTGGCATGGCCCCCCACTGTACACGGGCTCATTCCCCCCCTCCCCAGAAGGCCTCGCCTCAGCTCCCACCACGCTTACAGCTCAGAGCAGCACCGCCACCACAGCGCAAGCACGCTTTCGGCTCGGATCGACGACCTCGTTGACAGTGCCTGGCCACTCTCCGAGGGACCCTGCGGCGGGCTGCGAGTAGCATCGCTGTGCCTGTCCACTCTCTCCAGGCAGGTTCGCTCGTCAACCTCCTCGTGCGGAGCGTCGCGGTCGACTCCATAGTGGCGACTTCCATACTCAGAACTGCGTTCTCGTCGCAGCACGTGCCACGTTGTCAACCCAAAGAGACTCATACACATATGGATGTATACACACCCGCATATGCGAGAGAGGGAGAGCGGGAGGGAGAGAAACATGTATACATGAACTTGTATAAATGTATGCGGGCAGACGTGAAAAAGAAGAGGGGGCGCTTGATTTCAGAATACGATCATATCGCGTAGCAGCCTTCCAAATACTATTTGCAAGCGCCAAATTCGGCGTGTCAACACTCACCCTCCTCATCCGCATCCCCCTCATCTCCTCCGCCTCCTCGCGAGGATGTGGTTTGCTTTCGCGCAACTACTGGTTCCTGACGTGCTACATGGGCTCGGTCTCTGGATTTTTACCTAACATCGAAGACTGATAGGTTTCTAGTGGTCTAAAAAGAGAGCAGCACATTACTTCAACATTACTTCAACATTACTCCACAGGGGGGTCTGGGCAGCCGTTGGGGGCAGTTGGGGGGCAGTTGGGGGGCTGTTGGGGTTTGCCGGCGGGGATCGTTTTTCGCATACAGTCACACACTTCGTGCCCACTTCGTGCTCTTCGATTTCCCAGAACTCCATTCCCGGGCCACATTTTGGATGCCCGGAGCCAACTGTAGGCCACTTCGTGCTCTTCGATTTCCCAGAACTCCATTCCCGGGCCACATTTTGGATGCCCGGAGCCAACTGTAGGCCACTTCGTGCTCTTCGATTCCCAGAACTCCATTCCCGGGCCACATTTTGGATGCCCGGAGCCAACTGTAGGCCACTTCGTGCTCTTCGATTCCCAGAACTCCATTCCCGGGCCACATTTTGGATGCCCGGAGCCAACTGTAGGCCACTTCGTGCTCTTCGATTCCCAGAACTCCATTCCCGGGCCACATTTTGAATGCCCGGAGCCAACTGTAGGCCACTTCGTGCTCTTCGAGTTCCCAGAACTCCATTCCCGGGCCACATTTTGAATGCCCGGAGCCAACTGTAGGCCACTTCGTGTTCTTCGAGTTCCCAGAACTCCATTCCCGGGCCACATTTTGAATGCTGAGGCAGGCTGAGGCTGAGGCTGAGGCAGGCTGAGGCTGAGGCAGGCTGAGGCTGAGGCCGAGGCTGAAGGCAGACTGAGGCTGAGGCTGAAGCAGGCTGAGGCTGAGGCTGAGGCTGAGGCTGAGGCTGAGGCAGGCTGATGCTGAGGCAGGCTGAGGCTGAGGCTGAGGCTGATGCAGGCTGAGGCTGAGGCAGGCTGAGGCTGAAGGCTGAGGCTGAGGCTGAGGCTGAGGCAGGCAGGCTGAGGCTGAGGCTGAGGAGGCAGGCTGAGGCTGAGGCTGAGGCTGATGCAGGCTGAGGCTGAGGCAGGCTGAGGCTGAGGCCGAGGCTGAAGGCAGACTGAGGCTGAGGCTGAAGCAGGCTGAGGCTGAGGCTGAGGCTGAGGCTGAGGCTGAGGCTGAGCTGAGGCAGGCTGAGGCTGAGGCTGAGGCTGAGGCTGGCTGAGGCAGGCTGAGGCTGAGGCTGAGGCAGACTGAGGCTGAGGCAGGCTGAGGCTGAGGCTGAGGCAGGCTGAGGCTGAGGCTGAGGCAGGAGCTGAGGCTGAGGCTGAGGCGAGGCTGAAGGCAGACTGAGGCTGAGGCTGAAGCAGGCTGAGGCTGAGGCTGAGGCAGGCTGAGGCTGAGGCTGAGGCAGGCTGATGCTGAGGCAGGCTGAGGCTGAGGCTGAGGCTGAGGCTGAGGCTGAGGCTGAGGCTGAAGGCAGACTGAGGCTGAGGCTGAAGCAGGCTGAGGCTGAGGCTGAGGCTGAGGCTGAGGCTGAGGCAGGCTGATGCTGAGGCAGGCTGAGGCTGAGGCTGAGGCTGATGCAGGCTGAGGCTGAGGCAGGCTGAGGCTGAGGCCGAGGCTGAAGGCAGACTGAGGCTGAGGCTGAAGCAGGCTGAGGCTGAGGCTGAGGCAGGCTGAGGCTGAGGCAGGCTGAGGCTGAGGCTGAGGCAGGCTGAGGCTGAGGCTGTGACTGCGACTGCCGTTGCCACTGCGACTGTCATCGCGAATGCGACTACGACTGCGAGAACAGCAGAATTCTACAACTGGATTCTCATCCGAATCTTAAGGGGAATGCTTCCAGATATGCTCCTACACATCGATGTTAGGTTGCTTTGCCGGGATAATTCTCTGATGGCCGTCTCATCCTCACCTTGTAGATCGGATTAGGTACCTTTTGGGCCGATAGCGAGCGTGGACATCATCCTTCTCCCGTTCCTTCTCCGGCGCTCTCTTTCTGCTTCCTCGCTGCTCAGATTCCCTTGCATACGAACTCCCCTGCTGCTGCTCCGCCCCCCTCGCGATCCCCCCCCCCCCCGCTGCGGCCCCTGCGCCCGACCTGGCCCCGTTTGAGCATCAGCTCACGCAGGGATGGGCCCGGCGGCGGGGCCGAAACCGGCTGCAGGCAGCAGATCTTGTGAACCCTCCCCCCCTTCCTGACTACCTACCAGACCACCCCAACCCAACCCGAAGACCCGAATTTCGGGTTGGGGGGGGTAAGGGTTCCAAATGTGTTTTTTCGATGTTTCCCGACCCCCCCCCAACTGGAAATCGAGGGTAAATCTGAGCCTTCGGGTTGGGTTGGGGTGGTTCGGTGGGTGGTGACTTCCCTGTCCCCCCCCTCCCCCCTTGCGCTCGGCCCGAGAGGGGCGGGCCCGGGCGGCTCTCCTGGTCCTCGGCCCAGTAGTTGCCGACGCGCACGGCCTCTGGAGGACGCGCCGCGGGGGCGGAGGCGTGGAGGAGAGGGAGGAGGAGGAGGGGGAGGAGGAGGAGGAGGAGGAGGAGGAGGAGGAGGAGGAGGAGGAGGAGGAGGAGGAGCTGCCCGGCGCGAGGCGAGCCCGGGCCAGCCGTGCCTGCCGGTCGCGGGAGGGCGCGGGGCCGTCGGCGCGGGGCACGCACGGCACACCGAGCCCGCCGCGCGACAACGGTGGGGCACGGTCTTCGAAGGGACGGTCGGGCTGCGCCTCGCCTCCCGAGATCCGTGCACCAGGCGCGGAACGTAACACAAATCGAATCAGGCTTCGCACATGCGCCCCAACAGGCCGCCTGCGCGGAACCCATCACTATTCCCCTCCCCCCCCACCCGACCGGAAGCCATGCGAGCCGCATGTGGCGGCAACATCTGGACGATGAGTGGGCACCCCGCGTGCACTTCGCAGCGGTCCGGAAAAAGAGCAGCCCGATTGGGACCGCGTTTGTCAGCTGCGCGCTGGCCCACCACCCCTATGGGAACCATGCAAACTGATGGCGGGGGCCCACGCCGTTACACCATGCTGACCATCGCGCCGCCACTTTGCAGTGGTTCCGTTTGACAAGGATGGTGGAGGTGTCGCCAAGTGGTCCGGTGTGTGCTGTCGCGTCGCGCGCCCGGCGCACCCGGGGCGGCTGGAGCTCACATGGCGCACGTGGAGCGCGTGGCGCAGCTGGCGCAGCAGGCGCGCCTGGCACCGTGGGCACCTGGCGTGCCAGGTGCGTATGCCGTTCCCGGCATGCGTGGCGCACCTCGCGAGGGTCGCGCACCTGGCGTCTGCACCCTTTCCCAGTGACTGCGCGTCCGATGGCGACCTCGGTCCGCTGGATTCTGCGGAGCTGCTGGTCTTGTGGGAGGGCTGGTGGGAATCAACAGGACAGCGTGTGACGTCTCCGTTGGGAACTTGTGCATGCCGTCTCCGTTGCCCGCCTCCCCCGCCACCTTCCTCCCGCCACTTTCCGCCCCCTCCCTCCCTCTTCCCCTCCCCATGCCTTTCCCGTCCTCTCCACCGCCGCTCCCAGTGTCCCTCCCCCCACTCCCCCGCTCTCGGACTCTACCACTCCACTCCTCCTCCCTTCCCCCTCCCCCTCCCGTTCGCCTCTCCCTCGCCACCTCTATCCGGAGTCGCTGATGAATTTGAGGCTGTCCTCGAGCTACGCTCGATGATCCTCTGAACCTGTGTTCGCGCCAAGGTGTCCTTGTTCATCGAAGCCCTTCGATACAGTGCAGGCGATGTAATGATCTGCCAGTGGAACAGGGCTAGGCAACACACACACACACACACGACACAAACACACACGCACACACCCACATACGCACGCACGCACGCACGCACGCACACACGCACGCACGCACGCACGCACGCACAAACATACACACACACACACTTTTGGGGTCCGCGGCTGGGCAGAGGGTGACTGCTCCGGCGGAGTGGCAAGAAGGGACACGCTGTATGCAAATTAAGGCTGCAATGCACGGAGGAGGAGGAGGACCCAGGTGCGACAGAGGGCGAAGAAACCGAGCCACTCAGAGCTGCCGACCGCGGCGGGGGGGGCGCCGATGTGGGAGACACACACACACACACACACGAACACACAAACACACACACAAACACACACACACACACAACACACACACAGCACACAACACACAACACACAACACACACACACAACACACACACACATACAACACACACACACGCATTGGGCGACCACGAACCATGAGGATATCCGGTGCACTGGCTTGACAGAGAGGAGGAGCCCCATCCTCCCTGCGGCACGGAAGCGGCACAACCGCCGTGACAGAAATGCCAGCGTGCCTCGCATCGGCGCGTTCCGCAGGACATGCCTCCGGCAAAGCACGCACTCGAGAACTGCAGTGCGCCCCGCACAGGTGGAGCCGCCTGCGTGCCCAGCCTTTCCCGCCCCCGCTCTAAACCCTAAACACTCTTTATCCAATTAGTTTAAATCCTAAACGGAAGAACTCCCTCGGAATTCTTTGTTGGGAAACTAAGTCGCACACTCCTCACGACCATCAATTGAAAATATGGGCATCGCCATGCGAAGCAAATTCCAAAACTCGCACGACCCTCCATAAATTTTCCCGGCGAAGGACCCAACCATATGCAAATGTGAATACCGCAGGGCAGGTGAGACGAAGCAACAATAATTCTCTATGGGGCCACGATCCTCGTGAGGGGTGTGCCGAAATGGCCCGAGGCCGCCATGCGAACACTGCCACTGGCGCCTTTGGTGGAGCTCCCTTATGGGGCCACGATCCTCGTGAAGAGTGTGCCGAAATGGCCCGAGGCCACCATGCGAACACTGCCACTGGCGCCTTCGGTGGAGCTCCCTTATGGGGCCATGATCCTCGTGATGGGTGTGCCAGCATGGGGCGGGGCCGCCACGCGAACGCTGCCACCGGGGCCTTCGGTGGAGCTCCCTATGGGGCCACGATCCTCGAGAGAGGTGTGCCGAAATGGGGCGGGGCCACCATGCGAACGCAGCCACTGGGGCCTTCGGTGGAGCTAGCCCCCTATGGGGCCACGAAACGCTGTACTGGGTGGGTGACACGCAGGGAGGAGGGGGGAGGCCACGATCCTCGTGAGGGGTGTGCCGAAATGGGGCGGGGCCACCATGCGAACGCTGCCACTGGGGCCTTCGGTGGAGCTCCCTATGGGGCCACGATCCTCGTGAAGGGTGTGCCGCAATGGGGCAGGGCCGCCATGCGAACGCTGCCACTGGGGCCTTCGGTGGAGCTCCCTATGGTGCCACGATCCTCGTGAGGGGTACGCCAAAATGGAGCGGGGCCACCATGCGAACGCTGCCACTGGGGCCTTCGGTGGAGCTCCCTATGGGGCCACGATCCTCGTGAGGGGTGCGCCAAAATGGGCGGGGCCGCCATGCGAAAGCTGCCACTGGGGCCTTCGGTGGAGCTCCCTATGGGGCCACGATCCTCGTGAGGGGTGTGCCGAAATGGGGCGGGGCCACCATGCGAACGCTGCCACTGGGGCCTTCGGTGGAGCTCCCTATGGGGCCACGATCCTCGTGAGGGGTGCGCCAAAATGGAGTGGGGCCGCCATGCGAACGCTGCCACTGGGGCCATCGGTGGAGCTCCCTATGGTGTCACGATCCTCGTGAGGGGTGTGCCGAAATGGGGCGGGGCCACCATGCGAACGCTGCCACTGGGGCCTTCGGTGGAGCTCCCTATGGGCCACGATCCTCGTGAGGGGTACGCCAAAATGGGGCGGGGCCGCCATGCGAACGCTGCCACTGGGGCCTTCGGTGGAGCTCCCTATGGGGCCACGATCCTCGTGAGGGGTGCGCCAAAATGGAGCGGGGCCGCCATGCGAACGCTGCCACTGGGGCCTTCGGTGGAGCTCCCTATGGGGCCACGGTCCTCGTGAGGGGTGCGCCAAAATGGGGCGGGGCCGCCATGCGAACGTTGCCACTGGGGCCTTCGGTGGAGCTCCCTATGGGGCCACGATCCTCGTGAGGGGTGCGCCAAAATGGGGCGGGGCCACCATGCGAACGCTGCCACTGGGGCCTTCCGGTGGAGCTCCCTATGGGCCACGATCCTTGTGAGGGGTGCGCCAAAATTTTCCGAGGCCACCATGCGAACGCTGCCACTGGGGCCTTCGGTGGAGCTCCCTATGGGGCCACGGTCCTCGTGAGGGGTGTGCCGAAATGGGGCGGGGCCACCATGCGAACGCTGCCACTGGGGCCTTCGGTGGAGCTCCCTATGGGGCCACGATCCTTGTGAGGGGTGTGCCGAAATTGAGCGGGGCCACCATGCGAACGCAGCCACTGGGGCCTTCGGTGGAGCTAGCTCCTTATGGGGCCACGAAGCGCTGTACTGGGTGGGTGAAGCGCAGGGAGGAGGGGGGAGGAGGGGGAGGAGGAGAGGAGAGGAGGAGGAGGAGGAGGAGGAGGAGGAGGAGGAGAAAAGCGGGGCGAGGTCTCTTCAAAACGAGGACCCAGCACCACAGGATGGTTGGGGAAAAATGGCGTGGGCCACATCCCGCGCGTGCCGCCGAAAGGAACGAATCCCTTGCCCTTTGCGATTTGCTCTTAGAAATATGGGGCGGGGCACATTCCGCCCGCGCGGCTGTTCCACGCCCTTTCTACGATCGTCGATGAAACATATGACGCGGGGCACATTTCACCCACGCGGCGCCCGCTCGATGGCGGCGCGCGCCTCGCAGACGCCGCCGCGCGCCCCCAGGCTGCCCCAGACACTCCGAAGCGATGTCGCGCGCTCCCAAAGGCCGCCGCGCGCTCCTGTGTTGCTGTTCCGGCCTGCTGCTCCCCCCGCGTGCTTCTCGGTGCTTCTCGGTGCTCCTCCCTGCTCCACGCGTTCTTCGCCGATGGCTTGCAGGCTCGCATGAACCAGAGCGTGCGTCTTCATGTGTCATGGGCTTCAAGGGTGGGTGGGATGTGAGCACAGCGCCAGTGTGTTACACGTCCAGTGGAGCAGGGAGGAGCAGGGAGGAGCACCGAGAAGCACGCAGGGGGAGCAGCAGGCCGGAGCAGCAGCACAGGAGCGCGCGGCGGCCTTTGGGAGCGCCCGAGCTTCGGAGTGTCTGGGGCAGCCTGGGGGCGCGCGGCGGCGTCTGCGAAGCGCGCGCCGCCATCGAGGTGGGCGAAATGTGCCCCGCATCAGATGTTTCATCGACGGTCGTCAAGGGCGCAGAACAGCCGCGCGGGCCCCGCGCCAATGGCAGATCGCGAAGGGCAAGGAATTCGTTCCCTTCGGCCGCGCGCGCGGGATGTGGCCCGCGCTACAAATTCAATGGAGGATCGTGCGAATTTAGGAATTAGCTTCGCATGGCGATGTGCACCGCACAACGTTCTTAATGGATGATTGGGATGGGAATAGAATTCGCTCCTTTCGTCCGCGCGCGCGGGATGTGGCCCGCGCCATATTTATGATGGAGGATCGTGCGAGTTCGGGAAGTAGCTTCGCATGTCGATTGGCACCGCACTACATGTCTAGTGGATGATCACGATGGGCAGCTTCGCATTGGGATGCGCGCCGCACTGCATTTTTAATGCGTGATCGTGAAGAGTTTAGGCTTCGCTCCCCAGAGGCGGGGACCGAGGGGTTCCGTTCAGCTTAGGATTTAGATTTCATTTTGCCAAACATTGCTTAGGGCCTCGGTCACACACGCTGGAGGGCAAGAGACGCATCGACGCCACGTGTCCTGGGCGCCCCCATCGGCGCGCCACTGCAAGAAAGAAATGTCAACAATCTTGCACTCAAGAACGCGCGGACGAGTACCGCGTGTACTTTGAGAGAGACGGCAGTCGTGACATCGATGCTTTTGAGAGCTCCCTGATGTCGATCAGCAAATCTGAAAGGCAACGTTCGGGGGAAAACCGGCCCTGGGGGGAAACATTGAACTGGGATCAACGATACGTCGCTGAAAGACCGACGACGGGCCCTCGATGGCAAAACCGCACGTTCCTGGGTGGTGTCGGCTATCGGGCCCCGACCGACGACGAAGGGGCGAATTGGGGGCCGATGCGGCCCCCCTCTGAGCCGATTTCCCCCCAAAGGTTGCCCCTGAGAAAACCGGAGCGACCGGAACCCAGTCCCACGACCAGCGGCGGAGCGGGCGACGGCCGCGAAGTTCCCAGACCTCCGACGTCGCGTGCGCTTCCTTCACGTGTTCCCCAGCCCCAGGTCCTCAAGAGCTTAACGACTCCTGCTGGCGCTCGACTCGCGCAGAGAGCCGCCGCGGCATCCTTCCCCGAACAGTGCTTGAACTGGGGGTTCGCACTTAGGCTTAGGTCGGGCGTGTCCCCCTACAGGGGTGGTTTTCGGGGAAAAAAGATATACCCCAAAAGTACGCCCAACGAGTCGAAAAATATAAAAAACATCGTTCCAGTACTACTTTTTGTTCTATTTTGGAAAATCCCTCCTGTGGAGGGACAGGCCCGACTCAAACTTAGGCCTTTACGGGGTCGGATCAGCGTGTACCGGATTCTTGAAGGGGCCCTGGGACACACTAATACATACACAAATCACAGGATCCCCCATATTTCCCCATAGGTTCTGGGTGTTTGTCTTCCCCCCCACTTCCCCTGTTTCCCCACCTTTCCCGAGGGATCGACGATTCCATCGTGTCTGTGTGCGTTTTTTCCCCTCCTGACTTCTCCCCTCGGCCGCCCGTGCCCGCTCGTCGCCGCCCGCCGTCGCTGGGGCGGGCGTGTGTCGAGCACCCCCCCCCCGTGGCCGCCCGCGCCCGCCCGTCGCCGCTCGTGCAGTCGCCGCAGCTGCTTCGGTGGGCGCGTCGAGGCCTCGCCGCGCGGCCGACCGCGCCGCCCCGTCGCCGCTCGCGGCCGCCGCTCGCAGTCGCCGCTCGTGGTGGCCGTTCGCAGTCGCTGGGCGGCTGCGTCGAACATCCGCCGCGCGGCCGTCCGTTCCCGCCCGTCCCGAGCTCGCCGTCGCCGCTCGTCCCCGCTCCTGGCGGCTGGGCGAGGGCGTCGAGGATTCGCCACGTGGCCGTTCGTGCAGGCTCGTGGTCAACGCTCGTCGCCGCTCGGCGTCGCACCGTGGGCGCCCGTTGTCACGTTGACGCACGTGGCCAGCGAGTTGGGGCCACGTTGCCGGCCGCGTACCTTGCATCACACAGCATGCACCGCAAAGCTTGCACAGCATAGCTTCCGACACGTAGCTGGCAGCATGTAACATGCACTGCGCCTTTTATACACCACACAGATTGCGCCGCCCAGCTTGCACGACGTAGCTGAACACCACATAGCTGGCATCACATACCTGACACTACGCATGCTACACCACATAGGTTACGCCACCTAGCTTGCACGACCTAGCTGGCAAAACATACACACACACTCACGTTTACATATATATATATATATATATATATATATATATGTGTATATATATGTGTGTATATATATACATCTACACACATATATATATATATATATATATGTGTGTGTGCGTGTGTTGGTATACTTTCCTACTCCTGTATTGTAATTACCTGGACCCCCCCCTAAACCGGACCCCCCCCCCAAGGACGCCCATGACGCCCTTTAGGACGTCTGGGCGGCCCCCTGGCCGCCCTTGGAAAAGGTCCGCTGGCCCTTCCGGGCCTCCCAGGGCGCCTTGCTCGGCCCTGCGAGCAGACTCAAAGCGACCAGAGGGGTCACCGGAAAGGCACAAGAGTCACAAGAGAGACTCAAGACAACACAAGAGCGCTCCAGAAGGGACCTCGATGGTCTGACGACGGCCCAAGAGGCTCCCAAGACGCTCCAAGAGGCCGTTAAGAGAGCCCCGAAGAAGCAAACATCGTCCGATTCCCTGGGCAGTTGATGATGTTTCGAATATTTGCCTTTTTGGGTCTTCGCAGCGTTCAAAACGGCCTGATGGGCCCCCGATATCGCCCCGAGACGGGCCATGAGGCCCCCCATCGGGCGGCCCAAGAGGGCCCCAAGACTGCCACAGAGAGCCCGACATTGCCTACAAGAAGCCCACGATGCCCCCAGAAGGTTCCCAAGAAAGACGCACGAAAAACATGGGAGACCCCCAAGAAGGCCACTGAAGGCCCGTAAGAGGGCCCTAGATGACCTCAGAAGACCTCTGGAGGGCCCCAGCTCCCCGAGACGGCCCAAGAAGGCCCCACGACGGCCCAAGAGGGCCCCAGGACAGCCCAAAAGAGCTCCAAAAACGCTCAGACAGCGTTCTCCAACTCAGTGCATCGAGCTGACCCGACGATCTTGGTTCCACGCGGGCGTGTCCCCCTACAGGGGGATTTTGGACGAACAGTAAAACCCTACAAATACCCCCAAAGGGCCAAAACAAAACTAAACAAAAACACTCCCCAGACTATGTTTTGCATATTTTGGAATATTCCCCCTGTAGAGGGACAGGCCCGACTTAAATCTAGATTCGAAGTTCGACGATCGAAGTTTTCCTGGGTACCTGGAGGCTATTGCGACTTCTTCGGCGTCTCATGGGAACGCCCCTTACTTCCTCAAGGGATGGACTTAACCACCAGAGGAGGGGGAAGTGGAGGAAAGGAGGAGGAATATATGGGTAGGAGTAAGCCTTGAAGGTTGGCAAATGAAAAACCATACGAAACTGTTCGCCCCACCTCCTCCCATGAGGACCTGTGCTGAAACAGACGGTGGTGTATTGGTTTGCCGGGGGAGCGTCCGGAATGGCGCGGAACGCCAATGCAATCTTGTATAACGTGTATATATATATGTGTATATACATATATATATATACACATATATATATATAGATATATGTGTGTGTATGTATATATATATATATATATATATATATGTATGCCTGTTTCGTGTCTCCGCCAGAAGTTAGAAACATTGTCTATTGGCAGCTGTCGGTTGGGCGAGGCTCGCAGCTGGCCGAGAACAATGTCGGCAGCACTTCAACAATCAAATCAGCGCGCAGAGAAAGATTATTCAATAATCAATGTCTCCCAGGAGGCGTTGGGGTGGACGGTGGGCCCAGAGAAACTGAAGCCAAAGGCTATGGAACACAGACAGCGGCGTAGTGACTGGAGGCATTCACGCTTGGCTGATCATGCCTGTTTCGTGTCTCCGCCAGAAGTTAGAAACATTGTCTATTGGCAGCTGTCGGTTGGGCGAAGCTCGCAGCTGGCCGAGAACAATGCCGGCAGCACTTCAACAATCAAATCAGCGCGCAGAGAAAGATTATTCAATAATCAATGTCTCCCGAATCCGCTATCATGTAGTGTTCTGGCAGGGCACGGAGAACAGGGGGGGGTGGGGGGGGACACAAAAGGCGGACTGTGTCTGAGATGCTGAGCCAAGCACCGCGAAAAAGCTGCACAAAAACGTTGCGGATACTGCTGGGTCTGCTTGGTACGCCAAACTCCGTGAACCTTGCCGGTCAGAGTCGCATGAGGCTGCTGAGAAAAGGCGCAAACACCTCTGGTGCCTGTACAACGTTTGCCCAGCGCCTTCATCGCAGGGCAGTGCCATACCAGCAGCCTCGTGGGCTTTTTCCAGGGAGTGCCGTAGGCACACTGATCCAGCAACACGTCTTGGTGGTCAGAAAACTCAGCCCTCAAACGAAGGATACCAGGATGAAGCCAGAGCCTGGATGTCAGTGGGTTCTCTATGACCACGACGACTCTCTTAGGTAACAGTTCCAAAAGTAGCTTCACCAATAACTCTACCATGAGATTTCCCAGCTGCACGGCCTCTCTGTCACAATCACGCTCATACTGTGGATACCCCAACAAGAACTTGTCATCATCACGCAATCTGGGAAGAGGAGGGCGGTCGCGAATACGAGTCCAGGTCGAGCAAACGATACCAACCCAGAGAGCTGCGAACGCCCCACTCAGCCCGAAGCGGTTCTCGCCCGCTTTGAAGTCGCGGGCGATGCTCCTGATGACGGCCGCACTCGAGAGGTCGGCCTTTGAACTGATCTCCGTGTCCCAGCCGACGCCGCCGATGCCCTGGCGGCCCGCGCTGTCGAGGATCCCGTGCGTGCCGCAGTACAGCTCCTGGAGGAGCCGCGGTGTCCTCCAGCGCCGCGCCCGCCCGGGCTGGGGTCGGAGAACATACCCACCTGAGACTGCATCCACTCCGCCGCGCGAGACGCGGCGGCCTGTTGTGCCGTCGACAGCTTGGCCCACTCCTGCTGCACCACCCCCGCCGCCTCGTACCGCTTGACGGTCGCGTCCGAGCTCCACCTCCCCCGGCGCTTGACGTCGAGGAGCGTGCGGACCCCCATGAGGATGTCGTAGGGCGGCCCCGCGTGGCGGATCTGGTACAGGCGATACCGCTGGGATGGGAGCAGCCCGAGCTGCTCTTGCGAGCGGCCCCACTGCATGCTGAGCTCCCTCTCGCTGACCTCGAACAGCTTGGCCAGCCGTTGGCCGCGACGTCGCCGATGCAGCGCGGGGCCCAGACCTGGGAGGTAGGGAGAGTCGAGGAGCAGCGCCTCGTCGGACACCCACCTTTGACGTCTCTCCGCGGCGGGCAGGGTGCACGTTGAGCACCCAGTGACTGCTCGAACCTCCCGGCGGCACCAGGTCCTCCTCCCTCAGGCTGTGGACGTCCACGGGCCTGAAGTAGCAGACGAACATGGTCAGCAGGCAGAGTGGGATGGTCCAGTCCTGGAGGCGGAGGTATATGTGCCAGGCGATCCAGCACGCCACCTCGAAAGGGACGGGCGGCGCGGTCTGCGCTGGCGCCAGCAGGCCCAGCCCCCGGGCTGCGCGGGAGAACCGCGGGAAACGCAGCTTCCCGATGGGGGACAGGCCGGCCAGGTGCCAGGCGGCCGCGGCGCACATCTTCATGAGGTCGGGCCGCTCGAACCCCTCGAGAAACAAGTAGTCCGCGAAGTCCACCAGCGCAATGTCGGCATTCCTCACGCTGTCCAAGGTGTAGCCGTTCATAGCCACAAAATCCTGGAGCTCCTCCCACCAGGCTGTGTACAGGCCCTCCGTGGGTGCCGTAATCGAGTGACGTTCGAGAATGGAATGCTGGCCCGACAGGGCAAGACGCTCGAAGGCCCCGAAGATGCTCTGGCGCTTCTCCCGACGGCTCTCTCTCGAGGGTCCCGAGATGCGCCCCACTGCTCCTTGGCGCTGGAGGCGCAGCGGCGTCGAGCCCACAGGCCCCGCTGGGGTGGAACCCCGGTGGTGCCGCTGGAGTCGTGAGGTCACGCCCCCCCCGTGACGCGCCAGAGCCGTCTTCTTGCACTTGGCGCGGCGGGTGGGCGCCCGAGCCGCTGCGGCCCTTCGGAGCCCTGACGTCACTCCCCCATCGTCTGGAGGATCGGTCGGCAACCTCATTGAGCTCAGAGGGGGTCCACCGTGCAGATAGACTCGAGCCAGTAGCCAACATATAGGTAGCAATACGCCTGATGATGATGAGCAGGTCGTACGATGATGCCCGAGAACGCCCAATAGCAAGAGTGTTCCCCAGCTGGTCCCCCACGAGTAGAAGACGCTTCCCAAAAGACCGAGACGACCTCATATAATGCTGTATCCCCAACAGAGACGCCCGACCTTCCAGAATAGGTATAGCCTCCTCCTTCCTGAAACGCATAGCAAACACCTCGTGCCACTTGTCGGGGTCCATGAAGGCCTCTGGGATCTCGTCGAACCCCGGGTTGACCTCCAGGTCCTCAGGAGCCTCCCCAAGGGCCTGTCGGGTTACTGGCAGGACCGTATCCACGTCTTGAAGAGGGTCCCCACCCAGGGCATGCAGACGAGGACGACAGTGAATGGGGATGACGAGAGCGATATCTCCATCTCTCGCGGACTCGGCCTATGGACGCCACCTCTGAGGGGTCTGCTCGGCGCGCAGCAATCCCTGCACCAGACTCGCACGCATCAGTCGACACAACTGTATCGTGCCAGGGCCTGTCCAGCCGAGCGAGGCCAATGAAAGTGAGAGAACGTATCCAGCGAACTTCGCGCCGTGCAGAAGGCCATGAACTCTGGGGCTTCTTCTCTGCCGCCTGCGCAAAATCGTAGCAAGCTCTGAGCACCGAGAGGACCTCCCGTCTAATCAGAAAGAAATCGACCACGTGGCCAAGGTACTGCTTCATCTGCCTACCCGTCACTGGTTGACCCCCCTCAAGAGCCTCACAGACCTTGCGAAGACGCTCCCCTCGTTCAGACCGATTACGAACCACCCAGGACTCCCCATCGATAACGCGACCCAGCGAGTACGACAGGGTCTCGGGCTCGGTCTCCTCATGGACAGTGAACTGCACGAACCGAAGCCTCCGAACGATCACATCCTTATCCTCCTTCACCTCCTCCCTCCTGATGCCCGCGACATTGATGTTGTCGCAGTAGGGTAGAACGGCCAACTGGGCCCCGAGATCCGGAGCAGGGGCCTGGCCCCTCAGGAACTTGAAAGCCAAGCCAGCCCCAGCCAGGGAAACTCTGCACTGGTGTTCCACGAGGCGCTGGACGAAATAGAAGGCCCAGGAGAAACCCATTGGAAGAGTCAGCAGCATTGGGTAAACCGAAACCTCACGTGCCAGATCCCCAAGGCCACTTGGGCCACCAATACCAGCGTCGGCTCTCTCTCCCTCCGTGATCGGCGGCATGCAGAAGTACGGGCACAGCTCTGGAAGATTGCGAACACAGTGGAAACAATCCTTCACGTCCGCCTGGGCGACCCAGAGTTTGCTTCCGCCACTTCCGCTGGCGTCAGCTCCGCCGGCCTCGGCTCCAGGACGAGCCTCGGGACGCTCCAGGTTGCCCCAAGCTGCAGCCGTGCCCATCTCAGGGGCAGGGGGTGCTCGGAAGAGGAGGTCCGTGCTTCTGCAATCCATGATGAGTCGTAACCTGTCGTGCTTCTTTACTACGAAGAAAGGGGTCACCAGGCTCAGAGGCTTCTCTGTCCAACCAATCATCTTGGCGTCGCTAAGGTCTCTCAAAAACTCAACGTAGACACCTCGCTGCGCTTTAAAAACCTCGTCGAAGTACAACCTAAACTGATGTCCCGACTCTCGATAGAACCCCACATCAGCAGGGTCAGCAAGCATATGAGTATCCCATAACTTCAGCAAATCCTGGTCAGGCTCCGGGAGGGTAGACAGCAAATCCGCCGAGGGCCTCCCGGGATCTGGAAGAGAAACCTGATCCCGCCGATAGGGACGAACCGTGGTGCTGCAATCGCTGCCTGCATAGTCAACGATGCCTGACAAGAGCTCGCGGACGGCCCCGTGTCTGGTGTACAAGGTCTGGGATGGCGGAGTGGACGCGACGTCACAGCGTATCGCATCCTGAGACAGCATCTGGCCCATCGCGGGGGTTCCGTCGTGCACCCTGGCGCAGCCCTGCATCTCATTCAAGGAACTGATGACAGAGTTGGTAGCCCTGTCCAAAAACCTCCTCCTCGCCAGGCGTCTTCGCACCGAGCGTGAGGGTTGCCCCTCAGTAGCCGACTGCTCAACAACATGAGGGAGCGGAAATAGATCCCGTGGCCGAGCTCTATCAAAAAGTTGTGGACCTCCTGGGCGTGTCACTGCCGAGGGGCTAGGTCCGTCGCCCCTCGGAGGGGGCCGCATCACCCCTGGCCCTCTGGGGCCTTGTCCTTGTGGTTCTTGTTGTTCTGGCGGCCCAGGCGACGCTCCTCCCGAGCCTTCCTCTGCTCCTTGGCCACCTGGTGCTCGTCGCGGAGGGCCGTCGCCACGTGCTGCTGGAGCAGCGGGGCCACCATCATGCCCTGACGGCGGCGGCCCCATCCCATGTGCTGGTCGGCGGCCGAGTAGTCGGGAGCCGACGGGTTCAGGGAGTGGGCGCTCTCGATCAGCTGGAGCCTCCTGCAGACGAGCTCCGCACTGCGCAGCGCGGGGGCGTGCAACTGGTCCGTGCACACCATGCTCTCGAGCACCTCGGAGAGCACCTCATGCTCGAAGACGCTACGGTCCCCGCTCGAGACGCCAGATGTCGCCCTCCACGACGCATGCTGAGACACCGGCGTCTGGGACCTCTCGACATAGGTCTGGCATCTCCAGGACACTGTGCCAGGGCCCTCAAGCCCCAAGCCCCCTTCGGGCTCGTCGGGCACGAAGCTGGCGACGCCATCCTGGAAGAGCCTCCTGCGCCCCCCCAATCCGTCGAACTTCACGGGCATCACCCTGAGATCGTCCATCTTGAACTCATCAATGCCGTCCTGGGGGATCATCTGCAAGAACGCCGTGCTGCCGTCCGCCATGGGGACGACCGCCCTCTCTCCCAGCACCACTGACCCCGCGGGGAGCTCCTCCACGCTGTCGCCCTTCTGGTGGCGGCCATGGTCCTCGGCGAAGACCCACACGCGGCCGGGCTCGGCGCGTCTGGCGGCCGCCCCGGCGGGACGGCCTAGACCCTGCCTCTGCACGTTCCGCATCGGGGCCGCCAGGGGGGCGGGTGGAGGCGCCGGCGCTGCTCCCAGCATGCCCTGCGCCTCCGCGAAGAGCCTCTGGCGCTCATTGGGCGGCACGTTGTGGCGGAACCGATCGATCTGATTCTCTGGCACGTGAGCGGGGCGACCTCCTGGCAGCCCGATCCAGTACACCGCCTCTACATCATCCCCAGGCGCTATGTTGAACTGATAGTGATCCTGATCGGCGGTGTACAGGGTAACCTCAGTGGGATCCTCTGAGCTGACCCCCGTGATCAAAGTCTCGTGATACAAGTCCTCGTCTACCCCGTTGTACTTGATGAGGATATAGTCTCCCCTGGCTGCCATACTCACTGCTGTGCGTGGCGCCCAGACTCTCGACGGGCGCGCACGGCCGCCACCTGCTCAGCGGCGAGCTGCCGCCGCTTCTCGTCCGACTCGGACGGGCTGACGTGCTGACCGTTCGCTCCTCTCTGGCTCCGCGTCCTCTTGGCACACCAGCACCCGAGCAGCACTCCCGCGGCTGTGGCAACCAGCAGCGGCAGGAAGAGGATGGCGAAGATGCCCTCCTCCAGCAAGGGGTACACTTCCCTGAAGTCGGGGACCGACGGACACTCCACGATCGGGCAGTCGGTCTCGGGGCACTCGGGCCTCGGGCAGACCACCTCAGGGCACTCGCAGATCACCTCTGGACACTCCTCCTCGTGTCCTTGGTAGCATCCCCCGCCTTCAGAAGAGGCGGACTGTCCAGGCCCTCGCACGGCCTGCCAGACGAGGGCAGCCCAGCCCGGCAGCCCTGCTATCGCGGCAGCGTGCAGGGCCTGGAGGTCTGGGTCGAGCATACACCCAGAGAAACTGAAGCCAAAGGCTATGGACACACAGACAGCGGCGTAGTGACTGGAGGCATTCACGCTTGGCTGATCATATGTATCCATATGTTTACTGTGGCGCACAGTTTGCACCACATAGGTGGCCGCCCGCGGCCGCCTCGAGGGCGCCCCGAGGGCGGCACGCAGCTTGAACCCAACCTTGGACCACAGAGCTTGCACCGCGGATCTTGCACCACATAGCTTGCACCAGCAAGCTCGCACCAAGTGGCTCACGCCAAGCCATAGAGCTGCATTGCCCATAGTTGACATATATGGTGCGCAACGTGCATCAGACCATGTCGTGGGCACATCAGATCGCAGACATCAGATCTACCATCTCTGGAGACACGTCGAACTTCCTACGAAGATCGACGATTTGATACATGTTTATCTCGACCTGTCTGGCTCGATTCCCGCACTTCTATCTGAGCCGTCCGGCCCTTGGGGGCTGAGAGCCACCTCTGTGGCGGGTCGGTTCGTGACGGCCCGATGAGGGGAAGGGGGAGGAGGAGGAGGAGGAGGAGGAGAAGGAGGAGGAGGAGGAGGAGGAGGAAGAGGAGGAGGAGGCCTCCGCGCAGGCCCCTCAACTATGTGATTTGCACTAGAGGTCCGGGGCCCAGTGACCAAACAGGAAATGCCGCTGCGGCGACGAGAAGTCTCCCGGAGGCCCTCGAATGGAGTCAAGCACGACCCGAGATCGTCCCAACGACTTCGAGCGTCGATCGACGCCGTGGGCAATTGGGACTCAGGCGCCAACAGGTCGACCTGATCATGGACGGCCCAGGTCGAGTGGCCCACGCCCCGCGGCCGCGCCCTCGACCTTCGCTCTCGCCCCGCGCGCTTGGCGCAGCGGTGCCCTCTTTCCCCCTCTCCTCCTCCTCCTCCTCCTCCTCCTCCTCCTCCTCCTCCTCCTCCTCCTCCTCATCCTCTTGCTCCCCGTCGAGCTCCGCTCTGGGTGCACGTTGCTTGGACACCGCACAGCTCGCCCCTGCGGCGAGCCCCAAAGCCAGCGCCTGTCTGTGCTGCGTGGTGCCCCCGCTCGGCGCCTCGCCTGGCCTGCTGCGCAGTCTGCACGCACGCCGGCCCCTTGGCCAGGGTGGCCACCTCCTGCTCCTGCTGGCGTGGCGGCACGGTCTGTCGAGGACACACGCCCCCACTGACCACCCTCCTGCTCCTCCTCCTCCTCCTCCGCCTCCTCCTCTCCTCCTCCTCCTCCTCCTCCTCCTCCTCCTCCTCCTCCTCCTCCTCCTCCTCCTCCTCCTCCTCCTCCTCCTCCTCCTCCTCCTCCTCCTCATCCTCCTCCTCCTCCTCCCTCCTCCTCCTCTCCTCCTCCTCCTCCTCCTCCTCCTCCTCCTCCTCCTCCTCCTCCTCCTCCTCCTCCTCCTCCTCCTCCTCCTCCTCCTCCTCCTCCCTCTCCTCGGGCCGGCCGAACGCTCTGCCACGCTCCACGCTGGACTTGGGGCACGGGTGCTGCCGCAAGGAGGTGTCCCCTGTCTCCGTCGGGCCGGGGCCCCCCTCGCCCGCCCCTCCCCCCCGAGCCTCCAGGGCGACGTTGCGCAGCGCCGTCTGGGGCAGATCTCGGCGCCAGGGGTTGGGGGAGGAGGAGAAAGGGAGGGAGGGGGAGGAAGGAAGGGGGCAGAGGAACCACGACGATGAGTAGCATGAGGAAGGCGGCGGAGGGAGGAGAGGGCGATGGAGAAGGATGACAAGAGAAAGGAGCACAGGGAGGGAGGAGAGGGAGGAGGAGAGGGAGGAAGAGGGAGGGACAACAGGAAGAACAGACAGGAGATAGAAGGAGCGAGGAGGATAGAGACACGGGGCAAGCAGAGGAAATCATAATGAATAGGGGATGAGACGGAGGACTATGGGAATGAATATTAAGATCATGCGGGACAAGAAGGAAGTAGGAGTGTGGAGAATGTGGGGATGACGAGGAGGAAGGATGATGGTGAGGAATGGTGTCGAAGAGTGATGGAGGTCAAACTAGGTGCGCTCGCGCCACATCTGACATCCTATTCCCTCCCTATCCGCAGAGGGCTCCTGGGGACCCTTGATGCCCCAAATGGCAATTGCTGCATCGTGGGGAAGGGGGGTCTCTGCACACAGCCAGGCTTCGCCTGGCAGTGGCAACACTAGATTCTTGTTGTACCACTGTTGTCTTCATTTGGGTGCGTGCTCCTCTTGATCGGGTACGACACCTTCACCACAATGTTCAATATGCGCGACTGGCTTCTGCAGTATCCAAAGAAGACCGCCCCGGCACTCTCAGAGCGACCGCCCGCGCGCATCCCCACCTCCGCTGTCGGGGGGAACGGCAGGGGAGGATAGCAAAGGGTAGGGTAGAGAATCAGCTCACGTAGCCGATTTTCCCAGCGCCTCCCAGCGCCGGGAGGCGCCAATGTATATCGAGGAATGGGCTCGGCGGCGGGGCCGACACCAGCTGCATGCAGCAGATTTCGTACCCCCCCCTTTCCTTATCCCCCCCTTTCGTTCGGCTCGGCCCGACTGCTGCCCCGGGGGAGGGAGGGAGGGAGGATGAGGGACGAGCGAGAGGGTACATAGGTGTTGAACAGGGACCGACCGTCCTGGTAAACCTCTAGACCTACCACGACATGCTGTCAGAACTCAACAGTGCTCTGAGAATACAGCCAATGTTCTCAGAACGTGGACCCGATGTGGTGAAACAAAACAATACCAGCCAGAAATGTTCTGAGAACATTTTGTGCAGACCACAACAGGTTCTCAGGACATGTTTTGGTGGGCCTACAGGAGGGCCAGGACGCTTCGCCACTACTCGAGTGGGAGGCGCTCTGGAGAGATGTTGGGCTCCGCTTGGGATCATCCGAGGACGTCCTCAGGACGCGAAGAGAAGAAAACGGTGAAAAAGGGTGAGACCATCAAGCGCCCGGCTGGGCTGTCAGCAAGAGCCCGCAAAACTGCAACGATGGGCAGAGGCACGCCCGAGCGTGAGGCGCGCACGCCAGAGAGCCATCCCTGGATCTCCATGGGCCGATACGATGAAGGACGGATCATTGAACATCGTACATCCGATCCCTATCCCCGGCGGCGTGGCCTGGGTCCGACTGGCCGATTTACCCCCCTAGGTGGGGATATAGGCCGTTCCCTTCGGGTTTCGAAGGGGGTACTTTGGGTGTGGGTCTCGAAGGGGATGAGGATGGGGATGGGGGTACTTTGGTGTGGGTCTCGAAGGGGATGAGGATGGGGATGGGGGTCGGTGAAACGATACTGAAGCATGGAGGAGGGCGGATGAGCGATACCATCGAGTATATCGAGGCGTCGAGTTTAGGTCCAGGGTCGCCCAGGTATCGAGGCGTCGAGCACCAGCGATGCCATCGGGCTTTCGGGTCCAGAGAGGGAGAGACCGAGGATCGGAGCAGGGCGAGTTGAGACAACGGCACCTCGAACTCGGTCCCGGGAAACCCCTCCCAAGGGTCCCAAGGCAGCCGTTTGCCGCGCTGCGCCCAGCCGTGGCCGCGACGGGCCCTCGGCAACGCCGCGCTGGCCTCATGGGAGCGCGGGGGGGGGCACGGGCGCGTCACTGCTTCGGCCAAACGCTCCAGGGCACGTGCACGTTCCCATCCATTATCCTGCGCGCCGTGCGGTCTATCGACGCCTTCAGGAGGCGCGGGGCTTCGCCGTCGAGGACGGCCCCTCGCACCTGAAAATCAGTCGGCACAAAATCGGGAACTCAGACTCAATCGGTACGTACCCGATCGGCCCGCATCCAGGACGGAAACGGAATCGGATCGGATCGGCCGCGCCGAGGTGCGCAATGGCTTCACGCAGACACTGGGCTGCATCGGGCCGTCGGGCTGTCGAAATACAATGATATCGGCATCGGGCCGAAACCGGCACCGAACCAATCGGATCGAAATGGCCCCTCGCACCTCCATGACGCCGGTTGGGTGGCCTATCCGCAACAGCCCGCCGTCGACCCGGAAGCCGCCCAGCGCGGCCACGGAATGCGGCACGGTCCCCGGCAGCATGGCGGCCGCCACGGTGGCGACGGAGCCAGTAACGGGGTAGGCCTTGCGGGACGCATCAGTCGGGATCCACCAAAGTTAGGAGGCAACTACTGGGAGGTTTTCGTCGGAAAGATTTGAAGAGACTGCACCCCATTGGGGGGCTGTTTTGCTGGAGTGGGCCTCGGATTAAGCCTGATCAAACGGGATTAAACGGGACTAAGCCGGATTAAGCTGGATTGAACGGGAATAAGCCAGATTAATCCGGAATGCGGACCAGGGCAAAAACAGAAATTGACCTCCCAGGAGTTGCATCCGAACACCAAAAGGGGCTGACCCTGAGGGGGAGCATGATTTCGATCCGCTGGTGCACCGGACTGCCGAAAGCAGATGTCCCACCTGTCGGCAACCATCGGGAGCTGCCTGCGGCTGGGGGGCATCTGTTTTTGGTGCGGCTCGATGCAAAACAGATCGAAAACTCACACTCCCCCCGGGGCACGCACACACACACACACCCTTTTCGGGACCCGGAAGAAGGGCATCGTTGGTAGTGCTGTGCGCCCCCTTGGAGGAACACAACCGAAGCGAGCACATCGAAGTACGGCAAGTTCGTGTCGTGACGACCCTGGCGTCGGTTTCTGACACCGCGTGGATCCTTCCGTCTTGAAAAGGCAGCAACTTTTTGATCGTCAGATCGTTCTGGATTGGCCGGCCCTGGGCCGCCAGCGGCGTTCAACCTTGAACGCCCGCGGCGGGGTCGCCACGCGTCGACAAGACGCGAGCCTGCCGCAGAGCTAGGTCGGGCGTGTCCTCCTACCGGCGGATTTTGGGCGAAAAATGAGAAATAACAAAAAACAAATGCAGCAAATGTAAAGAAATACGAATCCCATCGTCCCAAGACAATGTTTTTCACCAGTTTTGCAAGTTCCTCCTGAAGAGGGACACGCTCGACTTAACCCCAGCGGCGTTCAACCTCGACCGCCGTCGGCGGGGTCGCCACGCGTCGGCAAGACGCAAACCTGCTGTAGATTCCAACAATTTTTTGGCGAAAAATGAAACATAGCTAAAAAAAACTCACCATATGCTAAACATGCTTCAAAAATTCGCCCCCTGACTATTTGAAAACAATTTTGAATATTCTCCCAGTAGAGGGATACGCCCGACTCAACCCAGGAAGGTCCAGAATCAAATCGATAAGTCGGATCTGCGATCGAAATGAATCGGATCGGCGGAAATCGGCAGCCGAGTCGGGAACAGTCGGATCGGCAGAAATCGGCAAGCTAGTAGGCCTCCCATAAGAAATCGGAACCCAAATCGGAATACCAAGTCGAATCGAATCGGAACCGGAAATCATCGAGATCGAATCGAATCGAAACGGAGGAATCGAAACTAGACGAGCGCGTTCCATTACTCGCAAAGTAGCTACTCGCAAATGGCCTGGATGCGCCGCGGGGGATCTGAGATAAATTTCGTCGAAGCAGACATGCGTCCTTCGGGCGTTTTGCGAGTAGGCACTTTGCGAGCAGTGGAACGCGCTCGGTGAGAGACGAGCCCTGCTTCACCGCAGACCGTTGCCCGAGGGGCACGGCCAGAAAACGCCCGTCGCCGAGCACGAGCTATAGAACATCTCGGAGCGCGCGCGGCGCCCCTCCTTGCGGGGCCGGCGCGCAGGTGCCGTAATCAATTATGGTTGGTTGTCGGATGCTGCCAGGGGGGTCTGAACTGACGATGATGATGTTGATGATGATGATGATGATGATGATGATGATGATGATGAGGATCCCCGCTCGCTGCGCAGAAGAACAGTCGTCTCGGGGCGGACGCGCGGCGCGCGCGCGGCGGGCCGTAGAGAGAGACGGGCCGCCGCGATCGCACCGTGCGGCGCACTCAGGTGGCCGTGTCCAACACGGGCCCCTGGACGACCATCAGGAGGTCGTAGCAGCGCCGCAGGCCAGCCTTTGAAGAAGGAGGGAGGTAGAGGGTGGGGGCCGAGAAGCTGCAGACGACTGCGTAGCGGGCGCGAAGGGGATAGAGAGGTGCATCCCCGCTCGCTGCGCAGAAGAGCAGTCGTCTCGGGGCGGACGCGCGGCGCGCGCGCGGCGGGCCGTAGAGAGAGACGGGCCGCCGCGATCGCACCGTGCGGCGCACTCAGGTGGCCGTGTCCAACACGGGCCCCTGGACGACCATCAGGAGGTCGTAGCAGCCATACCCATGCTCAAAGCCCTTGCGAAGTGACAAGAGTTCGGCGGGCGGCTGCGAGCTGAATGGGCCACCCGGCAGGGCCAGCATTCAGGAAGGACGCGACAAGGTAGTCGCTAACAGACGCACAGTACTCGACCAGAGACCGAGAGGCCTCAGGGAGGGCGGCAAGGACAGTAGAAGCGGCAGCGTTTTGCAGGTATCCCTCGGCGGTGGACGCCTGGCGCCAGCGGCCCCGCCAGAAGACGCGTGGCAAATGCTCCGTAGCGGCATTGAAGTCTGTGGCGCCTGTGCCTTGAAGGCCAACGGGTGTGATGTCGAACCCCGCAGGCATCTTGGCGAGCGGCACGCCCAAGCCGACAAGTAGATGGTTCCACCGAGTACGGAAGCCGCTCTGACCAGAGGTCGTGGTCATGAGCGGATCGGTGGGGCCCACATGCCGAAACACAATCTCCATAATTTTGACGGTCGCTCGATCCGAACAACGAGCGTATTGAATCGGATAAGACCGACAACTCTCAGGAACTGCAATCGACAAGAAGGCGTCGCCTTCCGGCTCAAAGCGGTCGCATGGCAGCGACAAGTCACAACGCTTCGCGTGGAGAATCTCGCCTGGACGCAGGGACATCGTGAAACCAGCCAGCACCAGGGCAGCCATCTCGGGCCACTCCCACAGCAGGCACAAGCTAACCATCGCGCGAAGGAGCGCTCGGGGAAGCGGCGGGCGGAGCCCGGGGAAGCTGCGGGCATGCCCGAAGAAGCGCGCTGGAGGCTCGGAAAGCTTCCACAATTTAGCAACATCCCAGGCCTCAGTCAGCAAACCCCTACAGTGAGGGTGATTGGCCTGCACGCCCAGCACGGCGTGAACAAAGATGTACTGCGGGAGCCCCGCGTCGTGGAGCCAAACTCCGAACGTGGCCAAGAAACTGCCTGCTAAGATCCCGCTGCGGTAGAGCGTGTCAGGGACAATGCCCGTGTGCTCACCAAGCCACAGCTCGAATGCAACGAGCGAGCGTGTACGCCTGCTCTCATCAGCGGGGGTGAAACGAGAGCCCTGAACGAACGAGATTCGCGCGAGAGGAGGCGCGGGGCTAAGGCCGCGACCGGAGTCAGCTGCAGCGGTCGAGCCAGAAGGCGTCGGCGCGGCTGGGGACAGCTCGGCCCCTGGGCCGTCTAGCGCCATAAGCCGCGGGCGCTGCCGCTCGCCCTGATGTGCGGCGTCAGCCGAAGACAGGACGGCGCCTGACCGCGGAGCGCTCGGAGGCGCAGCACCTGCTGCACGGCGGCGGCGGCGCGCGGGGTGGGGGACTCGCCGATGCCAGGTAATGGCGGCACGGCCACCGCCCTGCGGCGCCGTTTCAGCCTCGCTGTGCGGGACCGTACCTACCCTCGCCTCAGCCTCGGCGGCGCTGTCCACCTCCGCGGGGGCAGCCGGCACTGCCGCAGGCGCAAAAAGGTCCGCCGCCGCCGCGGGGGGCCCGGCGGACGCGGCCTCTCTGACACAATTGGCAAGACGTGAGCGGGCGCTGCACAATGCAGCCTTACGGCGCTCGAGCTCGGCGAGGAGCGGCAGGATACGCTCTGCCAGCTCTCCCGCGCTCTCCCCAGTCTCCGCACCTCTCTCCAGCTCGACCTCGGTCAGAGCGGCATCGACAGCGTCGACCGCGCTTCGGAACCGCGCCAAAGCACGCCGTTCGGCACGCGCGAGCCTGACCGCGGCCGCTGGGACAGCGACCTGGCTGGTGCGCATCGCAGCCGAGGTGGCCCACGCCCCGACTTGGGGCGGACCTTGGGCCGCGCGCGCAGAGGGCTCCAAGGACTCGGAAAAGTGTGGCGCAGCCGCCAGCGCCTCAGAGACTATGCCATGGGCAGCTTCCCTGGAGTCGGGGAAATCCGCGTTGCCAACGGGCGGGTCTCCCGCCATGGGCGCGGCGCTAAGCGCGGCCGCGAGTTCCAGAGACCTCGGAGCGGCCCTGGCACGAGGGGCGGCCGGCGGCACGGCGTATGAGGCGGCGGCGGGCGGCGAGGCATCATGCACGCGCGCACGGGCGCTCGACTGCGAACGATGCACGGAAGCAGGCGTGGGCACATCGTCGGCGCGCGGTGCTGGTGGCGCACTTGCGGCGCGAGCCGGAGGGCCCATGCTGGTCCTAGCGCCCCGCGCCGAAAGAACGCCAGGCGCAGCGCTAGGCGCGGCCGCGCGTTCCGGAGACCCGAGGCCGCCGCCGCAACACGCCGCCGACAAGGCCGTCCGGGCGCTGGCGGGAGTCGCGCCAGACACGGCGCCGACGGCCTCGGTCGCCTGTGGCGGCCGCGGCGCGCTGTCCACGAGACCGCGCGTCGAGGCTGGGGATTTCCCAGGTTGCGCCCCCGCAACGGATCCGCCGTGGACGCGCAATTCGCGGAAGGGCCCGAGCAGCTGGGACCGGGCGTCGCAAAACTGCTGCCAACGAGCCGCGGAAGCATGGCAGCCTCGCGACTTGGTCGGGTGGTGGGGGGTCGCTAACCGCCGCCACGCCCGGTGCACCCCGGAGTCTGGAGTGCTCAACTGCACGCCGAGGAGCGCGCAAGCGGCCATCAACTTGGCAGCATCAGCTGGCCGTAACTGGCGCTCGCTGTCGAACGCGGCGGCCGCGCCCCCCGCCGACTGCGAATGCGAGCCGCCGACAGGGGGTAAGCGCGCGGGCGCTGACGCGGCGGCCACTGCACGGCCCTCATGGGAGCCGCCCGCGCGCGCTCCCTCCTCAGCAGCAGAAGAAGAAGGACCGCGAGCGCGACTTCGCGAACGTTCCGGGCGCTGCGAGCGGGACCTCGCCTCGGGCGCGCCTGCTCCTGGCCCCCCACCGACGGCACGAGCCCCTCCCTGC